ACTTCCTTTTTGCGAGATTCGTCGTACGTGCCTGGAGCAAGAAGTTGTGTGAATATCTCCGCGATGGCGTGTAGATCTGGGGCATCTAGCTCTGTAAGTACGTAAGATCATCCTTATATCGAGGTGGTAAGCGGCGTTCGCGTTGTGGGCGTTGTGATTGAGGTTCGGTGTGATTTGGTTCGTACGGTGGGATCGCAACTTTTGGAGGAGGTGGGAGTACGTTCGACGGTTCTATTAATGGTGCCGTAGGTGCGCTATATGGTTCAGCCTTATCATTATTATTAGTGTTTTCTTGCTTCGGATCATCATCTTTATGATACGGTTTGACAACAGTTGATCTGAACTTTGTAGGGCCATTTGGGAGATCAATCGTGCATGTTTCTCCGTCGATTGATATAAGTTTGTACGGTCCTTTCCATTTGCCAGGGTATCCAGTTCCTCCTTCGCGCCATACAAGCACGTCCGAATTGAGGGGAAGACGGTGTATGAGCGTAGACGACGGTCCGTTTCGGGTGTTAAGCGCGTCATTGATCTGGCGTACGGTGTGAAGCCTTCGTACTTCGGTCATTGCTTTCTTGACTGCGGCAGCGCGTTGAGCAACCGTAGGTGCAGGAGGTCTGTATTCCGTCATCCGGGGGTACGCTCCAAATACAAGAAGTGTGGGCACGTAACCATCTGGGCCTGCGGTATCGTTGACAGCTTTGACAGCCATTTGAAGCGCTAATTCGGGTGCTAGCTCTGGCACTTCTTCCGAAATAATCTCGTACGAGCGACGTAGTACGGCATGGTAACGTTCAACAGCGCCAATTGACCAATGTGCTTCGACAGGAACGCTGACCGTCATCGTACTAACGGATGAGGCGAGTTGTGTGAATTCTTTGCTTACGAAGTTCTTTCCTGCGTCGGTAACGATGAAATCCGGGGGTCCGAGGTACGTATCAATCCATAACATTCGTAGCGCGTCCCATGTTGCTTTTGCGGATATACTTGTAAGCCAACATGCGGCATTAAAACGCGTTGCTTCGTCCACAATATGGAGTACGGGCTTGCCATTGATATACATAATGTCTACAATGATTGAATGATTGAATTCAATGTCGTCCTGTAGGGTGAAGCGGAAACGGCCTGGCGATCTACCGTGGGTTTGGCAATGGTGACAGAATTTGTTGATCTCTTCTATTGCTTCAGGGTGCGTATCGTAGCCTGCGCGTTGTAGGGTTTTATGTAGTCGTCCGACAGAAGGATGTCCAAAGCGGCGGTGTAATCGACATAGTTCCGTATCTGTAAGGAAGCATTGCTCGTCGTCAAAGGATTGTGAGATATACATTGCTAGTGAATAGTCCCAAATAAGGAAAGGATGGCCGAATCGGCGTACGATTGGCGCGGTCAGGTACGGTTCGCTGCGGATAAGGAGATCCTTCGTATTATCGTAGTAAACCTTGAGGCGGTCGAGATCTTTGATAGAGAATAGGAACGGTGTCATGGCCTCAATAATATGGAATCGTACGTTGCCAACCGGGGTCTCTATATCAATCGAACCTAGAGATTGTAGCGCGTTACCAGCGCCAAATCGTATAGTTACAGATCCGGCAGTTGACGTGTCCATCGTACAATTCTTGGCAACTTTCCGAAATGCGAGATATTGAGCGTATCCAGCCGTTGAGAATGCTGCAGCGCCGGTATCAATAAGTAGCCCTATAAACGTGTTTGATGAATATCGATCTTCTGCAAGAAACGCATATTCGGGTACAGTAAGATGATGAGAGCTTGGTATGATCCGTACGTTGGTGTCATCTTCGTCGCTAGGGGTGAGCTTGGCTGTACATTCTTGATTGTTGCCTAGCAAGCAGCTGAGATAGTGAGCTGCAGAACGATTAGCGAGTTCGCTTGCTAGCGAAGGTGAGAATTTGGCATGATCCGTAGTGGCAACTGTGAAGTATCCTGTTGCCATAGTTGGCTCGCTTTTCGTACGGTCTGGGAGGTCGTACTGGCTCGGTTCGTCGATCTCAGCCAAGTACGATTCGAAGCGTTTCCCTGGCGTTGGAGGCTGTCCTTCGAATTCCATGATAAATTTGTCTATTGCAGCCTCGTATGGGCGTCTAGCAGCTTGTCGTTCCTCTTCCGTATGGTTAGTTGACCAGCAGTCTGGTTTATGGCATACGTGGCAGGTTTTCGGTGCTTCGCTTTGGTAGCGACGTGGTGAACGGCTAGGGTAGCGTAGATTGCTCCTTCCTCGTGAGTAGCTTCGTCCGTACGGTGAACATCTTCTATGTGGCGAACGTGACTGTCGGCTGTAGTAGCGGCGATCCGTATAGTACGAATCCATAGGATGTTGCGCTGCTGCTTGTTTTGAGTCTTCCCATTGGCTTATACTTGATCGTAGGTCCTGTATGAGGCTGGAGATGTTCGGTGAAGGTTTTCCGGTTGCGGCGTGGCACGCAGGGACGAGACGGGTTGCTGATACAAGCTTTGAATGGTAATAGACGTCGTTTCGTAGCTCCGGACGAATCTTGCTATAGAGTCTTTGTAGGTCCCGAAGCATAATTTCAAGGCATTCTAGAATTGGCTTATCAGGGTTCTTACTCATAGTACTGGCTAGATTCGTAGCATCCCATTGACTCTGTACGAATCGAAGGTGCTCCTCAGTCTCAAAGTAGCTTTTCACAGCAGATATAGGGTTGATTCCTCGCCGGACCCATTCGTCCTTGTTGTCAAAGTAGTACCGAAGGGCTTCTCCTTTAAGCATCACGAAAAACGCCTTTCTTTGTGCATCTTGGGTGTGGATTCCCATATGACCGCACATTTCTAAGAAATATTGATACGAATAGTCGAATGTGTCCTCATTATTGCCGTAGCGGAGATCTTCTGAATAAGCCTTTCGTAGCTGACTGATATTCGCCCCGTAGTACGAGGTGTCTTGCGTGGTATAGTTTGTATGGACGGTCTGGCGGCTATGCGTCGTAGCCGGTACGGCCTGCTCATATAACGTAGTTGCGGCAGGGGTTGTTGGATTGTACTGTTGCTGCACCGATTGTGCGATTGGGGTCGGTGTTGTGTCTCTCTCCTCATTACGCTGAGATCGTAGTGTCATTCCGTATGGTATAGTCATTGCTTGTGGTTTGGAGTGGACAGCTTGTTGAGGTGCCTTAGGGGTCGTAGCTTGGAGCCTTCGAATCGCAGGTCCATACGTGAGCTCGATATTTAGTGAGCTGAACGTTCCACGGCGTTGTACATGGTATATGACTTCGCTTTCAGTCCATTCATGCTGCTCTGATTCGGCAATTGTCTCAGATAGTGTAGTAGCTGCATGTTGTCGTCCTTTCGCTACGTATACGCCATTTGTTCGCAGGGTGTCACGTAGGTTAATAAGAGTCTTTAGAGGCGCAATTCTAAAAGCTCCTTCGGTCCATGTTGAGAAGTCTTCGCGAAATGTATTCCATAGATCTTCATCGTACAAGTCGGTGTAGTCCTCGATTCGGGCTATTATACACTTCTCAATGGTTTTTGCGTCCTTGTCTGTCGGATCGAAGCTTTTCGAGTAATCCGTAGTTGGAGGCATCTTGTCAGGGTTTCCAGCGCGTGGTTCGGAGCGTTGGAGATAGGTATGAATTGAGGTCGACTGAACGGCTCAATATAGGGGTATCGGGGTAATAAGAATAGGGTCTTGATCTGTGGGCCTCACTGATCAGTGTCGGTTTAACTACGGTCCGTATCACGAAGCATAGACGGTAGCAAGGCTAGTCCGACAAGCCTGTCAAGGGTGAAGCTGTATATATATGATATTCGATATTATAAAGCCTAACTCAGAGAAAGTAGGGGGCCCCGGGGTGTCATGGTAGCTATATACGAGGTTGCCGTACGGGCGCTAGGGATAACGTTATCCCGCTCCCGTACGTACGTGCTTGCTTCTGCACCGGGGTGCAGAAGCGCCGAATCATGAGATTGATATTCCGACAGTAAGACACTAATCAGATGTGAAATCCATATTCTCCCCAATTATTTTTCCTGCGATTCCTCTCTTCTAACGCATTATCTGCAAGGGAAGTAGAGAGTTGTTCTGGTAATTCCGGATGGCAAGAATCATTGAAAGCTTTCAGCTGATTCTGGCTCCAACCTTGAGGACGAAAAAACTGGCCGAGGGCTTCTTGTATTGCTTGCACACTTCTAAAGTAGAACAAACAATTTGTATCACTCCATCCATGAATGTGGATAATTGTGGATTCTCTGCTCGTCAGCATTCAAAGATGGAATATCTACACTACTGCTTTAGCCTAGTCAACTATGCATAACTAGTTTATACGTATGTCTTGGAAAAGTCACAGTGGCGTCTCTGTATTTATTGCCCCAATACATAGGTAGTACATACTTTGTAGCTAACTTATCCCTTTCCCCTTTCCTGCTTAACCTCGCAAAACCAGAACAGACGACATCTGGTATCACTCGCAGTCCATCAGTCACTATACCTATTAGCCTCAATTGGAATATCACAACCAGCGGGCTCCCGTGCATTCACATAGTCCTCGATCCAGGGGCCTTCACCTCTACCATCCCACCAGCCTGGCGTTCCAGGGGGTCCACAGTAGTAGTTGATTGTTCGGTCAGAGTCACCAACACACTGCTGGACACCGTTTTGGATCACATTGATTCCTCTTCCTGCTATGCTACCGACTTGATCCGCGTTAGGGGCATAAACAATAGCTGTCCCACGGTCAATGGTAGACGTGGGCCCGCAGGCACATTCCAGCACCTCGGTCACCTGTACAGTAAACGCTGTGACAGCTTGGTAGAAGAGAACGCAAATATCCCCTTTTTCATCGGCGACGTTATTGCACGAAAATGTGTTGCTAACCGAGTAGGTCTGGCTCTCCGAAATATCGAGTCCAACGGAATCAAACTCGGCATCTAGGCCTATAGACAGACTCCAGCCCAGTTCAACTGAGTATCCGGTCCCTGTGGATGAGTCGGGGGTATCACAGGCTACAAGCGTTCCACCCTTTTGGGTGATGACAAAGTTCTGATGAGGGTTCCCGTCGTTTATTTTCGAATAGGAGTAGGTTGGAGTGCATCCACCGCATACTATATCTGTGATACCCGTGTTGTAGAGGGTGCCGTCAGCCCTGACTCGTATCTCTTGCAGTTCCATGAAGTCCTCCGCGGTGATGTTGACTGCGGTAGGGTATGAATATCCCGGGACTGTGAGTGCCAACAGAAGGCAAAATAGCGACGAGACGTTGCTTAGGAGCTTCATGGTTTAAGATAGGGGTACGTATGTATACCAGGTAGAACAATTTTGCAGAGAGTTTGCGATAGTCGCGAATACAGAATGAGAGAATAAACAAGTAAGGCTTCCGGGTGGGTAAATATATAGATTCATTTCGACGAAGCAATGGTAATGAATCTCAAAAGATGCTCAACTTGCTCATCAACTTCGACCTGACCCGGGGCCAGAAACAAAACCCTCATCCAAACCTTGGAAATTGTACTCATGAGTGTGTCAGAACAAACATGAAGCCAACATATCACACTGTCATATCGCAATGTCATCACAGATGCTGACATTTAGAGCCGATATCCTAGCATATTTGCAGAAAGAATTTCAGGGGCTGATCAGCAAAGTCCACGGGTATGGTGAACTCTGAATTCGGTGAACATTTTGAAGCAAAATGGATATCATTCAAACACCCGGATATTGCAACGTCGCTGTTACTGGAGGCTGGATACATTCTCCATGGGAGAAGTCGGAGCACGGTCGAGTGGTGTTGGCCTATGTACATTGTATGCTCGATGAGAAATCAAACTTAAGGATATTACTGGCAATGTGAGCTCCACTACTTGTATTTATTATCCCTGGCTTTGCATGCTTCTGCAAGTCATGATTCTATATGAGACATGCCTTAGACACAAAGGCTTTTAGCCGAGTGAGCAACCTTCCAGAATCAACCACTTCAAAAATATAACAGGGGCATTGTCTTCTAGGATGATGTATTTTAATTAATAGACAATGACAACAATGCCTCACTTCCTCTCAGCCCCATGCTGATATGGCATTCTGCGCCGTCAGCCGTGTATATGCAATAACCAATAACAGGTAGAGGCAAGGATTCTTCGTTGGCTACCAACGCAAGATCAACGAAATTAGACCAGACAGTACTACAGGGATCAGATGTCTTTGATTCAAGGATGCGATAACGTTTGGCTACTGGGTTGGTGGTTTGAGACTCGACAGGGAATCCTACATATGACCAGCAACGAAGCAAATAAATCACAGGAAACATGGTACAAACAAAGACAATTGCAGCTTTTTGGGGCTGTGGGGTCCATTCAAATATATTGACCAAAAACCGACACATTATAAATATCGAGGATTCTCCCTGTGTCAGATATATATCTCTCTACTTATACTACAAAATTCAGACTGAAGTATCAACTCCAACAAAAATGGCCGAGCACCCATCAACCGAACACTATGGCAACAAAAGCACATCAAAACAATCTCCAACTCGAGGCCGAATATTAAATGCATACCTCATCTTCTCGTCCCTCTGCGCAATAGTCGCGCTCATCATCTCCTCGATCTCATTACATCGAGCCAATGAGGCCAGATCCTTCAACCACTCGCTCTTCACCACCGATCTCGAACGGACATTTAACAGCACTGTATATGCGATTGCGGAGACCGGCGCAGCATGTAATAATTTCACTGCCGAGACGGTGACGGGCCAGACGTCAATTCCGGGACAATGCATTACCGTCGCAGAAAGCTATAATTTATACGTGACAAGGCTTGCTGCGAATTGCGTAGTGTATGCTTATGCACAGGAAAATTGTACAGGGACTAGTAGGAAGGTTGCAGACAGTAATTTTATACCGGATTGCGTTGTTGCGGCTGCTGGTGGAGATTTGGCAGGCAAAAATGGAGATTATTACAACAGCTTCCAGATATTATGTACCTAAATCCTTGAGGGATTTGTTTTTTGACCATGAAGTACTAGAAGGTGTGGTATATGTCCGTTTAGGGGAGGATTGGAACGTATCAGTGTGATCTACGAGCCGTTGTATATAAAGTTAGGCCTAGCAGAGTGGCAGATGCCTGACAAACGAGGCTTCCAGGTTGCAGTTCACGTCTTTCGTCTCACAGATTCGGCCAAAGTTGTTTCGATAAATTCATGTTAGTGACCCAATCGTGTCTACCTCGGTAACTAGGCACTGCCTCGGTTCAGAGTGGAATAACCTGTTTATAATATAGCCTGCTGAAATCTTGATACCTTATATACACAAAATCACATACAATCTGGATAGCGAAGATGTCAACAGAATATCCATCAAGTGACACGTGCATGTAAAGCCGACTTTGTGATGCCAGCCTTGAGTCATATGTGACGCTCCAATTGTCGAAATAAGCAAATGTTGTAACGAATAGGGATTCCATAGTTCACAGATGTTCCAATACCATCTCGAGTTCATTTCCCCTCCAGGCGGCGAGGAATAGAAAGACCCATGCAAAGGATTTAGTTCGTCTAAGGACATGCAGCATTATGGCCAAGGACTTGAGCAAAGTCACTGTCTCGGCTCCAGTAATAGTTAATGGCTCTCGCCTTGCTTTCCGCAAGGGCAAGATCAAAAAGTGATGTATCGCGGTCTGAAAAGGCCGACGTCCCCAAGAAAAAGGAACCGTCCCAGGCACCTGAATGCGAACCTTCGAACTGACCATCCAGGGTAGTCTGTTTGGCCATAGCAATTTGAATATCGGTCCAGTCCGGGTCGCTCCAGGTCCCGGGGCCGCACAGAGGGAAATTGCTATACCCGAAACATGCAGTGCCTTCACTCAACCCTGTGATTTGAATGTAAGTCCAATCGGACCGCGCGTCACCAAACTGGCATTCCGGTGGAATGCTACTTCGTTTGGAGAGATCGCTGTTAGCGTTGACCACGCCATGAACAAGCGTGAGGTTCAAACCGCGATGTTCGACCTGTATCTCCCATGCCAATAGAGGGGGAACGAACACGGCCATGGCACAGGTAACGGACAACAAGTTGGTGTGTGAAAACATACTTGTGATATTGAGATGGGAATAATTTGAGTAGAAACTTGACAGGAGGAAAGATAGGGTTGGTTTCGATGAAGAAAAAGAAACTGGCATCTTGGAGAGAATCAAAGGCCATTTTCTACCTGCTTCCGGAGTTAACTTATAGCAAGAAAGCTCTTCTGGTGTTCTCTACTTACGTAGTAGATACTACTACGAAGCTATCTAGATCTCGCTTTGCTAGTGGATTTTGTATGCCTCTGCAAATCCTTCTCCACCCAACAGTCTGCCCAGGTGAACGTCCCAGTTGTCTATATTTATCATAGCCTTGAAGGTATTGGTCTCTCCGATTCCTATCCACCCAACAACTCTAAAATCACAGAATCGCTCTTAATTGCCCTTTCATAGAAGTTACGTATCATTATCATTGGTCTCTCCAACCAACAGTTTCAACACTACACAATGGCTTCGAATTGCTTAGTTACAGTGTCATAAGCCTCAGCTGTCATTATTTTAAGGTTGGAATCTCCACTTTCTCTCCAGAGTCCACCTAATGGTCCTAAGAATAGCTTCCAATTGCCAGGCCACAAAATACTAGCTACAAACCCCCTTCGATGATCGTCTCTCCAGTTCCTCTTTACCAATTCAGCGAATGTTAGAAAACACAGATCAGTGATGAAGGCGATCCTTCAACTTAATGCGAAACTGCGACCGCGAAAACCATGTCATGATCATCGTACAGCGATGTTCGAAGCCTCTGCACTCTCGCGAATCAATTTTATCTACAATCAATTTTAATCAAAGAAAAGAATTGCTACAAAGCCTAAATAAGTATATATATCATTGCAAGGCAATCCTGACAGACAACTCAACTCAGAAGCCTCCAATCTAGCAAGCTTCCGGCATTCTTTGGCGAAGCACCATTCAGCAGCCTATGGTGATACGAATCCATGCATCAGTAATTTTCGAAGTGGCAAATGGAAAAGTTCATAGTATGCAGATATAGTGGCGCAATTTTATCTGAATGAACTCTACTTAGGATCATGTACGGTTGCAATTCCTTAGTTACTACAGAATCTTTGTTCGTTCGAGACAACAATATGTTTTAGTGTTGGATCGTTGAGGCAGTCGAGTTGACCTGGTGGGTAGCCAGTCACGTGATGTCTCACGTGACTCCGGCGCAAGGGTTATCTCACAACGCTGTTGAATAGCTTCAGAGAGAAGACACAATCACATACGTTTACCCATACAAAATTGCAGTACCTGCTAAACATCCTCTACGTACGTACATTAACGTGTACACGTGCTTTATGCACCCACATTTAGGGCTTTTCTCGGATAACCCTGATTTTTACAGGACTTCTGAAAGAGTAACCAAGACTATTCACCCTCCCACACTATAGAGTTCTCATATATTTAGCGAAGCTAGTTATATTAATGCCAAAATCAATTCTCTGGCTTTCCTCTCCAAGACGTCTGAGTTCTCCTTTTGATACACCCAGCAGTTAGGGGAATGGCAAAGCTTAAAAATAAGAGATAGAATAAGTTATGGTAATCTTGGGATATCACCTCCCTCCACGTGATTACCCCTGCTTGCTATTTCCTACCATACTGGATCATTTAATATGCGCACAGCTCTCTGGTCTAATTGGTAAAACTCCTCAGGTCATATGACCAGACAGGAGACTGGCGAGTGACTGCAGGTTCGAAGACAGCCATGTTGACAAAACTCCTGGATTCATTTTCTTTAGGAAACCGGGAAATTCCGCGCATTGTGAGACCACACTGTAAAATAAGGAACAGGCGGAAATGCGTACTTGAGCAGATTCCCATGGATCTGATCGATGGGTATATATAAGGATGGCGTTAAAGCATAACTGTGGGAAAGAAGATAGCTTAATGAGTTGGGCCTGTCTAGCTACCATGACCTGAGAATCGCCAAGCCCGAATAGCTGGATTCAGGTAGGCAGTCCTCCGTGACTTCATTCTGCATCAGACCTTCAGAGGATATGACTTGGAGAAAGGACACCCGGCCTGGTTTATGCACCATGATTAGAAGATCACCTATAGCTGTAGCACATGTAACGTGGGAGTCATGTAGTAGCAGAATCTTTTCGTTACAAGCCAGGATCCAATTCTCTTCCGCTGCAAAATCTAGATGGGAGGTGAATTCTCGTCCAGGATAAAAGGACCTAATATCAAACCTACCCATGCTCGTCTCTATTACTGTGCCATCGGAAGAAGCGTAGAGACCGCCGATCAGCTGGGATTTGGCGTCGGCCAATAAATTTACCTGCCCGAGCTTCCCAGGGCTCCGTATCGCCGTGATCGCTGTTGGCCGCAAGCCGGCAGTTTGCCATCCGGGGAGAAAGCAATGGGCCTGGGCAAAAGATAGGCTTCCAAATGAGTTGACTTGGGTACCTTGACTCTTATTTCAGAGCATTAATTTTCCACTAGAGCATAGGGATGCGAGATGTCCGTCACATGGTGACCATACAAGTTGAATGACGTCGCGCAAGCCCATTCCATGTGCATGGAACAATGGAGAACCACTTCCTCTTAGTACCATGGAGAGCTCGCCCTTTGATAGATTCCAAATTAAAATGACTCCTTTGACTGACTCCGATGAAAGACCGGCTTCGGGATAGTTTTCTTTCAATCCAACGAGGCTGTGGGCCGCAGCAGCCAGAAGCTTCCCATCCGGCGAAAAGAACACCCGCATGTAGGACTTGGTGACCTCCATTGATATATAATTCACGTGGAGATCCCAAAGAAGACAAGCACGATCTCCCAAAAGAGCAAGATGATGGCGATGTGGCGATAGACACAGTCACCTAACCACGTTCGCGATCGATCGTTCAATTTGCTTGCCCACAGATGGGCTGAAATGTCCCAAAGACGGATTGTTTTATCAAAGAGGAAGAGGCCAGAAGTGAACCGTTTTTCGAGAAGGCAAATCTCTCTGTAGCACCTGTGTGGCCTTCGAGAACCTTGAGCAAGTCTCCTGGTGTCCCAGACTTTGATCTCATTGTTGGTCCTTGTTGGACTGGATTGATCATCGAGAGACGCATACGTTAAAATCTTCCCCTCGGGGAAAGTTGAATCCAAATCCCACCAGGCTCAATTGTCTTGACAGCTTTTCCAGTAGTCCAATCCCACCAAGTGACTGTTTCATCTTTTCCAGAATTCGACGTGATTATTATGTTGCTTGTTGGCGAGAAATGATTTGAGAGGCTACCGTAAAGGTATCTAATTCTTGTGAGTAAAGGTCATTGGCTTGCTACCCATGTGCACTGAAAACCCCTGTCACGTTACGCTGCGGCTGTGAGGGGGATAAGACCTTTCAATGAGTCTGACAGACAGCGGCGCTATTATTTCATCTGCTCGGATCTTTGCTCAACGAGATCGAGCAAATTGTATGAAGGTGCTCAATATCAGGACTGTGAAGACTTCGGAAGGGGCGAGATTTATACCCCTTCCCCAAATAGAGGCACCCCTTCATGAAGGCCGGAGGCGTAATTGCATTTTGGGCTGTCTTGGAGCATGATCTATTTTCCAACACTCCACGCATTGATTTGACCCAATTGAATGACTTCCGGGTGCATCTGAACTGCATGAGTTCGAGTCTAGCTTTCATCCTGCTTCGCCAGGGGCGCAGTGCTTCGCTCATCTTTGTTAGCTGTCATGGCATACAGCTCGCGATCTCCGTCATAAATTCAATGTCGCTTCGATGACTCGTACTTGGGACGAGGACAGAGGTAGGGCAGAATGCGCCTCTCGTTTCGAAAGGAGGAATCAAAACAAGTCAAAGTCCACCAAGTCGCGTGGAGATCAGTTAAGCGCATGCCCGGCCTTCTCTCGCATCATCCGGACTACAAAGCTCATAACCATACCCCTTGGAATCTTGTAAGTTACGAAATGCTTCAAGAAATTCGTGAATGTAAAATTTCTCTCATAATTAGTCTATCATTTAAACTTGGTAAAATCCGCCACGCAACCACGGCAGACAGTAAGAAAAAAGAGAAGAGAATGGTCATTAGCAGACCATTAAGCATGATCCTGAGTGGAGTAAAACAATTGGACAAAAGGATGTTTAGTAAGTGATAGAGGGAGCACAAGAAGATAAGAAAACATGTCTAAGTTGCAAGATAATAAGAAAGAAACAAATTCCCGCATCCCGGTCCGATCTATATCATGTATTTCGACTCCATAAGTAAAACAAGACAAAAAGAAGAAGAAAAAAAGACAGGAGCCACGCCTCAATGTATGCAAAAGCAAAAAAGCGGAGTGTTAAAAAAAAGTTAAAAAAGAAAAAAATAATCAAAACAAGTCTATTCCGTTAATGGTTCATTGCTGATAAAGTGTATTCGTTGAGTTGAAGGGAAAGAAGGGGTCAAAAAGAGGGGTAGAAGAGAGGAGGAGGAGGAGGCTATAACTCCATGAGTGATCCGTTGACGGACGGAGTACTGGATGAGTAGCCGTTCGGATTCAACATATCCTGTACCGGGATCTTGGGGACTTGCGGAACAGGGAGTTTGCGTTGCGTGCCGTCGGGTCTGCTCATGATGTCGCTGATGCGGGGTCCGCCGTGCTGTTGGCTGGGATTGTAGACGTTGGGACCCTCGGCCTGAGGCTCCATAGGCGCCAGCGCGGGGGTGTGGTGTAATGACAAGTGACGGATCGACGGGAGTTGCAGCTCAGCAGCAGTGTATGGACGTAGTCGAGGTGAGTGTGCTGGTGTTGCGAGAGGAGTGTGGTCGGGTGTAGGCGACAGCGAGTCGTGAGAGAAGGTAGGCGAAGAGGGCGCAGTCGAGTTTGGTGAATTAGGACGCGAACGCTTGACACGGGGATGTCCGTAATTGTCTTCGTCTTCGTGCGAATGCGACCGACTCATACTTTGCGAAATCGCATAGGCAGAGAGTGACGGCAGACGACCGGGTGTAGCCGAGTATCGAGAGCTAAAGGGGTAGTGGCGAGACGATCCTGCGTAGTGGTCACGTTCGACTTGCGAGGCGGCAGTCGCGAGCAAGTTAATATCCATACCGGACGAAGCGCGGTCGCTGTTGCGCGGGTAAGGGCCCAAGCCGGCACGCAAATGCGAGGTGTAGTTGGTGTACGAATGTGGAGGAGACACGTCGGGCGAGCCAACTTGAGATACCGGAGCGGACCGAGTAATGGGTTTACTGGGAGGGGGCATCATCGAAGCTGCGGCATTGAGCATACCCGAATCGTGACCAGCCGCCGCGGCTGCGGCGGCAGCAATATGCTGAGCCTTGTTACTCCGCCTCGAGTTTGGGTTGTTGTGAATGCGGGAGTGACGAGTCAATTCATCTGAGCGACTGAATCGTTTCGTGCAACCGGGAAACTGACAAGCATGTGGTTTCTCGCCGGTGTGAGTTCGGATATGACGAGTCTGATGCTCGAGACGGTGAAAGGCACGATCGCAAAGAGGACACTTGTATGGACGGGGAAGATCCTGTCGTACCTCCTCGGCGGCGGGGCGGGCGCCCTTCATGAGCGGCGGCAGCAGACTGACGGACGAAGCCATTTCCTTGTCTGAATTTGAGTCTGTACCGGCGGTAGCAGGCGAAGCTGTTTCTGTTTTCTCAGGGGACTCTGCAGGAGAGTCGGATTGCGGGTTCAGTAGATTGGAAAAATCCACTGAGGACGCTGACGGTGGCATGTGAAGGGTCCTTGTCGGATGACGAGGGTTTTATCTAGACTGGGGAAGGAGCAGGGGGGCCGGTGGTAATTAACGAGTCGAGCGCTCCAGCCGAGGTGCTGTCAGTGTCGTGTCAGTGTCCGCAGCTAGACAACAATATTTCACTAATCCCCAATTTCCCAGTGATAGACGGTTGGCGTAAGAAGTGAAGCACTCGAGTGGGTGGTGAGTGAGTGGTGAGTGGTGAGTGGCGAGTGAGTGAGTGAGTGAGTGATGACTGGCGGAGGACTGGAGAAGAGAAAAGAAGAGAATGAAAAATCTGGGGAGCGACGTCGATAGATGTAAGGATGAGTGAGGGAGGAATGGAGGGGAAAATGTTAAAAAGGACGGGTGATCGGGAACGGGGGGTTATCCGACTTTGGCAGAGCGAGTCTCTCTCGCGCGCTCTCTCAATCAGGAGATTTTTCTTTTTTGCTGGAGTACCGTGTGGGGGAGCGGTGATTGGGGGGGATGGGGGGGGCAAAAAAGAAAATTTCTTTCGTTTTTCTCCCTTCGAATTTGAGCCAGGGTGATAGCTTCAGCTGGTGCCTCACTGTTGCAGTGTCCACAGTCCACAGTCCACACTATCAGATTTTTATCCTCACCGAAGAGTGGCCCGTAATTTTGGTATGAATAATACAGAACAATACAAGTGGAGTTAGCAGAATGTGGGGTCTGGCTGAGCCCAAAACAGCAAATCTGGACGGGACTAGGCCAGAAGGGGCAACAGGGCTGTGGCTTTTATCCACTGCGGTGCGTGTTAGTAGGACCCCGGGTATCGCGGGTACGGCGATCTGGAGTACTATAGTAATCGTATGATGTAGATGTAACTATGTATTATATATGTGTATATATATGTATATATGTATATATATATATATGTATGTATGTATGTATATATGTATATGTAACATGTACATATATAAAATATAATACACATCTCTAGATATGTCGAGAGTGGATACAGTCAACACCAAATACTGTACTTAGATCTAGGTAGCTGTACGGAGTAGGTGTGAGCCATCGAGCGGATTCCGGGGAGAGATAAGACTAGTAATTACGTGGATGACGAGGGATGATGATAGGATGAGGTGATGTGCGTAGATCTGGGGAACTTTCTTTTTCTTTTTTCTATCTGACCGTACAATACACACAAATATCCTATCCATTGACATATTCAGTACTCAATATTCAGTACTCAATATTCAAATTCAATATTCAAATTCAATATTCAAATCCAATATTCAAATCCAATGAATCGATACGTATTACCGCATGTATCCACGCTTATCACTATCAAGTCAGCTAGGTGAGCGAAATCGCGGTATCTCCGGTACGTGAGGTAACATTCCTTCTTCCCGTCACGAGAATTCTTCGGAATGTCGCTCTCCATCATATACGTAATACGTTACGAAATCTGGGGGTCGTACAACGGAGTACAGATACGTTACTACTACGGAGCACATAGTATGGAGTTACCAGAGTAGTCCTAACCCTGACCAACTACCGCAGTCTGATGACTGTATCAGTTACATACTCGTCAGCAGAGTATCAGTACGTCCTGGTCATTCCGACGCACCTCTGCCTAGCCAGAGGTATCATCTGAGTGTATCTATCGTCGTATCAGTCATCGAGATAAGCCCCCCCGCTAATCCGATTCAGGACCCGACCATCCCCAGACTGTCTCGTTTATCTCCAACTCAACTCACTCTGCAACTGTCGTGTGACATCTATCCTCACAACTATGAACAGCGTGCCTGACCTGAGTTAACTATCACATATTATCGTATTATGTAAAAAGAATATATCCTCCGGATTTTCTCAAATCTTAATTCTTTTGGCATCGAACGCAGGTGACGAGTCTAGAGAATATGATTGGCTGCCAGGGTTACTCCAGACTTGATCTCCATATCTTCGGAGTACTCTTATCTTGAGGACACTTGGCTCGTAGCCGAGATTGATTACGGAGTACGATTACCGACGGAGTGTCTACGGGATAAATGCGTATCTGGAGTTTAACATCGGCGGTTTCGCCGTGGCAAGCATCCTCATGTTCAGCCTGGGGATCAGGCTTCTGATCTTAACCTAGGTAACCTGGGACCTCCCGGCTCTTGTCAGTCTTATCATAAAGAAACCCAGCTTCTATCCCTCGACACATAAGACCAGAGGTAAAAGTACATAACCGACTTTAGCCGGGTTATCTCCTCGCGTCTAATTCTAAAACGAAGAATAGCCGAGATCATAAGCCTATCTATCTCCTGCAAGGTTAATAGGCAATAGGCAATAGTTTTACCTTTTATGGCGTACCCCATAGTTACACCTTACCCCAGTTTAACTTGCAAAGATCCGACATCGCTTTAAACGAGAGTTTGCATCATTTTGAGCATCTGGTGTTACGGCTGCGTATCGTCGGGGATACGGAGTATGCAGATCATGTTCCCCAGGGTCCTTTTTCTTCATACTCATAGCAGAGACTTGCTCATGGCGGGAGTGTGCATAATCTTCAAAACGCGGAATAAGTACTCCGTACTCTGTACTAGCCTGAAATATGCTTGCCTATTTAGGGCTTTAAATACTGTCAGGTTTCACACAGCCACGGGGAAAGCATCCCGCGAATCCGGGGATGCACACCGTAATAATACATTACATCCCTACCAAGGCGGTAATTTACCCACGCCTCGTCAGGGTTAAATGTCAGGTCAAGCGCGAGTCGCGCGAAGAAATTAATTCTTTTTTTGTGCGTCTGCTGCTGAGTCAGGATGCCATGTAATATGGTCAAGTCATGACATACATGACATACGCGACATGTCATTTCTATGGAAAATAAACACACAGAGGATCCGATAAGAACCGCGACACTCCATCCCTCGACCCGAAACAACAACAACAACAACAGAAGAAAAGAAAAATGCGGAGTCACCCCATGGAGTAAACCCAAAAGCATCACCTCATCTTTGCACACAACAGCTGATAGATCAGCAAGTCGATCAGTCGATGTCGGAAAGAGGGTGGTATTCTGAAACAGTTCAGTATCTGTATATATATATATATACATAGTACGGAGTATATACTATGTATATATATCTATATAAGCCACATCCGATGGTTCTAGACTCCCGGTATTTAACCGCGGAGGGATGTTTATCATGTCGTCATATCGCAAAAAATTTCACATGCTAGGATTTCTGTCTTATGGACACGCACTTTTGTGTGTATTGTTACGGCGAATGGTGTCATTTCGAGATGCGTTTCAATTGGTCGGGTAATTTCGGGATATCATATGAGAAGATCTTCCTATCAACTGAGCACGTGTTTCCCGTATCTACTACCATACTACAGGATTCAACGAGACTAATCAATAATTAATATGAGTGCCGTGACTAGCACGAGGAACCATCAGAATCAGCAACATGGCACACTGATTATTGTAACTGACTGTCGACTCGGCATAGACAACCATCGGCACGATCTCGGCATCGCGTCCTCCAAAATTGCATCGGCCATCCCGAACCCGGTTCGGCAGGCCGGGTGGAGTGCTCAAATTTTCATTTCACCCTTTATCTACAGAGTACTCCATACTGCACCCTTTTTTTCAATATCCACTCCACAGTCTAAATCCGCGGTGAAAGTTCAACTATTCCAGACCTGGATACCGGCCGTATTGTTGCAAAAGTGCTGCCTTTCTGCCGAACCGATTGCCGAGTTTTGAGTATGCAGTGTATTTCCGGTTTGCGGCGATTTCTGCCTCTGATTCTGCTTCCACTTCCAGTGCTTGCAGATGGCCTGATTATTTACGGAGTACTCCGTACCTCCGTATTTGAGCTCCTTGGGGAGTAGGTGTGGATCGTGGATGAGGCATGGGTTATGATTCGTCCTGGGATTTCAGATTGGTGTTTACATGCATGTGTTGAATGTCCCTGATGCCAATGGTATATGCATGTGTTGCCTGTCAGGCTCTTATTTGATTGCTAATATAATACCTCGAAATGTTCCTTGATTTCATACAGCTTACCTAGTTTCCGGAAAAAGTTGAGACTGTTAAGTTACAGGAACGGGTGCGTATTCTCGATGCTGTTGAGGCAGCTGAGCTAGCTAGATAAAACAATCTACGGATATCCGGATGCAATTTCTACATGCAGGACCTGCAGTAGTGCTTGACGGCGTGTATCTTGGTCTGTACCTCTTCCTGGGTACGAAGTGCTCAGATTTGAGTGATCTAGACTCTGCAGGATGCAGTAGAGGATACCTATCTCTAGTAAGCTATCTCACAGTATCACGCATTATCCTACTGATATAACACTATGCGTACTCCGTACCGTAACTAACTAACTATCCAACACGGTGAAGCTATCACATACAGATAATCAGGGTTAGGGTAAATAATCATGTGACATCATATCAACATTCTGTCTTTAGGTACCGCCTTGCGGAACGACGAATGGCATAGCTTCAATCCAGTATTCTAACATTTTTTTTCGATTGACCATGTAAATCAGCTCTACACATATCCCATGAATCTTCCCTATTGAACGATATATATAATTCACGCACGAGATTGTTGCGTCCCAACGATTACCGTGTCAGATTTACCAACGGTAACAACGAAGAGAGGAGAAAATGGCACCCCCGCGTCAACGACCACCTCCCAGCTCCGGAGCATTCGACGACTCGCGATCCGAATCCTCGAGTACAGCGCCGGGAAACCACACCAGAGGCATCCCGGGACCGAAACCGAGAAAGACTGCTGCGACAGCAGCGTCAACGGCAGGTACACTTGCAAGTGCGAAAGAGCTCAAAGTTGCTGCTGCAACGGGGGCGGCGGCGGCGGCGGCGGCTGCAGCAGCTGCTACAGCAGGAGCTTTATCGCATCAGAATGGGGTTGAGTATGGGGATGGATTTGTGGGTGATTTACCCGGTGTATGTTTCCTTTCCCCAATTCTTTCGAGGATTTGACTAATGGATAATGGTGCAGATACCATGGCAACAAATGCCCCTCTCAATCCTCCACGATTACAGACACGCCTACAAACTTTCGACTCCAAGCGCGTACGCACAACCTATAGCAAAACTATACCTTTCCTCGGGAATCGGTCTGCGCTCTCCGACGGCTATCGCTGCACGGAAAGCTGCTACTTCTTCTTCTTCGTCGCTGTCGTCATCGTCATCATCATCATCATCATCATCATCAACTTCATCAGGTCTCACGCATCGATCTCGAAATACGGCGTCAAGACCGACGACAGATAGAATCCTGCACAAAATAACCAGTCAAGATCGCGTTGGGAAAGAACAGCTCGCCCTCGCGGTACGAAAACATTTTAATGCCGCAGGACTCGTGGAGCAGGACGCTATTGCGCGGTTTTTGTACAAGGTGCGAGAGGAGGGGAAGGGGAGGGAATTCCGGTTGAGATTTCAGCCTTGATTCGCTTTACCTTTAATTTCTGTTGGAGAAACTTGCCTTTTTATTTATTTATTTTTTTGTTTATCGGTTTGATACCCTACTTATCCGGCGTTGGTTGGTTTTTGTATATTTCTGTATCTATTCAATATTATCATTCTTGTCCATCTGGCAGTAGGTCATTGTCTTGTTGATTCTCCTCATCCCATAAATCATCATCTTGCGCATCCAAAAATTCATCCTCGTCTTCATCCTCACTATCGGCAATTTCATCTACTTTCCGCTTCCGCACTGTCATTGTCGATGTTGCTGATTGTGATGGTAGAGGATTACTTTGCTGTGAGGCATCCGTCGTAGGACGTAATTCTCGCAGTCCATCCTATCTCCGTCAATATCAAACTGGCCTTCAATGGGAAAGGGGGAGACATACATCCTCAATAACAAACGGGAAAACATTCCCCTCAACTCTAACAGAAATAACCTTGCCAGCTTTCTTCATGACTTCCGCATATCGAACCTTCATCCCTCCCCCCTGGTAGTCGTGGTCACGATATATCACAACCCTAGTCTGTACGCAGTTCTCCCATGATCCACCCGCCAAGGCAGGATAAAGCGTCGGTCGTGGCTGTCCTTTAATTTTCGTATGTGTCTGATTCAGTAGTAGAACGGCCAGATGATGCTCAGCGGCAATTCTCGTGATCTTATTAATCATGTCGCTGGTCACGTTCCATTTGCGGTTTAGTAACCATTGGAGTTGTGTTTGAGCTGGGGTTTTGCCTTGCCCTTGCCCTTGCCCTTGCCCTTGATTCTGAGGGGGTTGTTGGAGAGCAGTCAATCCCAAGCGAGATTTTATCTCTGTCGCATTCGGGAAGTAGGACTGAAACGGGGCCGAGATGGTGTCTACGACGAGTAGACATGTTCCCTTTGCGGGGAATTTGGTGGTGGTTTAGTGAATAGCGATAATAAATGAGGTAGAGAATGAGTTCGGATGTGGATGAAGCGGGTTATGCAGTTGTTTAACCTTTCTTCGAGCTCTTCTTGGCGATCGAGTGATGATTTGAGGTGCTAATAAAAAATCTCTGAGTCTAAGTCTAGGTATCGGTGAGCCGGTATCTATCTCAGTCAGAATGCGCATACTCAAGTGGTGTATGACTGATGTACAGACCAATCCATATAACCTTTCTCGTCATCCCCAGCCGTCAGAACTTTGGCCGCTATATTCAATCTGCCGCAGAATCAGCTCTCTGCTCATTTGTAAGTAGTAAGGCAGACGAACGAAATAGCAGTCTTGCCTACACCAGGCGGTCCATAAATTTCAGTAATACTTCCCCTGGGGATTCCGCTGGATGAGGGTCTTGAAGTACCAGGCGCGCATATGGCATCATCTAAGCCATCGAGACCAGTGCGTAATGGACATGTGCCAGACGCAGATGTCGATGGTGAAGCGTGCTGCGTTGATGAGGCGCGGAGGGCTTGGGATGCTGATATTGATGATATTCGAGCTGCGACTTTGTTAGTATACAGTTCAATATGTAGGGAGACGGTGGACGTACGTGTTGTAGTTGCTTCGTTCAAGAAGTCATAGTCTGTCATTGTAGGTGCATTTTATGTCCTTTCTGGATTCACTGGTCTTTTATGATGCATTGTTTGATAGTAAATTTTGCCATGTATTTAATCGCATCCTTCCTGTTTTTAATATCGACGTGATCTGATTTGTCATAGTTGAGGTTATTCGACGCGGGAGACGGATCTGATATCTGACGCGACACTAGTCGATTTTTTGACACATCCAATCGTACACCTACATCATCATTCATGAATGCATTGCATCTCATATAAGTTGGAAAGAATATTCCTGCAGGTTAGTCTCATTTTACATTTTTTCAGAGGAAAATACAGTGGTCAACATGAGAAAAGAACGAAACTCGTATACAGCCCTAACCCTAATCGATCGACGCGTCAGATCTAACCGTCAATGGACTTATTGATTTTGATATTGGCCTGAGTATTCAGGCATCACATTTACTTTGATCATTTGATCTCTGAACTGAGATGTAAGTCTGATGGAACACAGTCTCAGGTTAGCTCTTGCAATATCACGAAAAGCAGATGCCGGGGTTTACTCTTCGATGTAGCGGTGTCGCTTATATGTTAGCCGGTACTGGGCTCATTCAGCCGACCATCAGACATCGACGGGTCTGGTTCGGTGTTACTCCTTGCAGAATGGATGAAATGGTAGTAGAATTCGGCTATTTGATGGCGGGTTGATTGGCAATGCTCGTTTAGTATACTGCCTACTACCTACCGAGATAGGTAGGTAGGCACGCACCTGGGCAGCTACAGGGGAGAGATGCCAGGTCAATTTCTTTTGAGAAATATTGTTTGAGACAATTGGGAAGGTAGCTCTGAAGACATCTCCAGATCTTCATACATTGAACAAGTAAGATGTCATTGAGAAAGACTGTTCAACTCAATCCCGGTTTGATCAAACATGGAAGTAAGTTGAACATGATCATGAGCGCCTGTACGGATCTGATGCATAAACAGATGCAAGACTTGGTCGCATTCCACCTCGTCATGGCATATTCTCCTCAAGCCGGAGCCCTCCGCAGATCAATTCCTATACACGAATGTTGGCAACCTTTCAACATGGCAGGTATGACAATCTCCTACAGGACGTGTAAGGAACACGACTCACCGATATTGTATAGTACAAATCTTACTCCCCTAGAACAACAACGCCTCCGTCGTCCCGTCTCACCGCATATGACAATCTACAAATGGCAATATCAATCTCTGACATCAATTCTGCAACGATTCTCGGGTATATTTCTTGCCGGGGGCCTTTATGTGTTTGCTACGGGTTATGTTTTGACGCCGATAGTTTCGCCAGGGTATACTGATCTGTTTGATATCGAGACGATTGTGGGTGCTCTGCGCGAGGTACCTGGTTGGATAAAGGGAGTCGGAAAGTTTGCGTTGTCGATGCCGTTTACGTATCATTTCTACAACGGGGTAAAACATTTAATGTGGGATCTGGGTGTTGGGTTGAGCCATAAGAGATTCTTTGGGAGGTTAGCATGGGTTGTGGCTGGATTCAGTGTTGTGAGTTCTTTGGGGTTGGCTGTATTATAGTAGATCAAAAAGGTGAACGTGAATTCAATATATACAGCTATTTATGAAAGTTTCGCCGACTTCCCCTCGCCATTATCACTCGACGAGAGAGTTGGATTTGCCGACGCTGCTGCTGTCTTATTCTCTTCAACAGTCGTATCACTATCCAACAAACGAGTATCAGTGTCTTCCTCATCATCTTCCTCCGGAAGCAACAGATTCAAAACCAACGCCAGCAAACCCGCAACCACAAATCCGGTCGTCATAATCAACTCAATCGCATCAATAAGACCAGTCAATCCCTTATTGTTACCGTGATATGTAAACACATATGAAAACCAATCCGGCACAAGCGTAGCGCCCATACCAACTGCAAACGCAGCGGTCAAAATGAAACGATTCCGACGCGTAAACGGCATAGTGGCAATAATACGAATACCGGAAATAGCAACCGACGAAAACAAGAACGTCGTCATACCCCCCAATACAGGGGAAGGAATAGCAACCAATGCCGCAGCGAATTTGGAGAAGATACCCATCACAATCAAAAAGAAGCAACAGAAATAACCGGCCCTACGACTTGCACAGCGGGTGAGAGCAATAACGCCATTGTTTTGAGCGAATGTGGACATTGGGGTGATTGTACAGAGACCGGCGAGCAAACCTGCGAATCCGTCGGCGAGAACACCACCACGAATTCGGGAGTCGAATAGTTCGCCCTCGACGTCGAGGCGGGAGACGTCACAGGTGGCTGTAACGTCGCCGATGGTTTCCATCATAAGGACGATATAGAGCGCCAAAAAGGGGAGGATTAGCGGGGCATAGATTTTCAGCGGGAATGTCTTGACCCAAATGAATGACGCGACGGGGGCGGCGTCGATGGATGAACGGTCGAAATAACCGCATGCAGCTGCAACGATACAGCCAACTAGCAAACCCAAAACGACGGAGCAGGATTTCATAATAGGGGATCCGAAACGTTCGCATAAGATGATGGTTAAAAACACCAAGAATCCTAGTCCGATAAACTCGGCGCTTCCCCAGGGTAACGCATGTGGTGCTGTGGCAGAGGGACAGAGTGCGCGAGATGAAGGGTCCATAGAGCAGTTCCCAGATCCACCAGCCCAACCTTTCAAGCCGCTCTCAATCAGACTGACACCGATCAAGAGCACTGTAGGACCGGTGACTAGAGGCGGGAAAACTCGCTTGAGGATATCAATCGAGACGAACGAGAGTCCAATTTCGAGTAATGCGCAGAGGCAGGATGTGCCTAGTATAGCGCCGTAGCCGTGAGGACAGGCGAGTTTTGCGCCTGTTTCGGGGTCGACCGGGCAGTATCCCGACGCATACATTTGAGACAGTGCATTGTTGGCAATGGTCAGGGTAGAAAATGATGTACCCGCGACAGAAATCAGACCCGTGCCGAGATAATATGGTGTCTTGGGGATACTGAATCGAGTAATTTGAATGGCGGACAAGATCCCGGAGACAATCAACGATGTTGAAACGAGGTATTGCGATGTTGAGCTATCGAAATTCGCGACTCCGCCGATGATAATTGGCGGAGTGATTACGCCCGCCAGCATGGCCAAGGCATGTTGCAGACCGAGCAGCAGCGCTAAGAGAATGGGGATTCTGTCGTGAAGCCCGAAAAATGGAGCGCGCGACCGCGCTTTTTTCATGAATGGGAGATTTGGTCTGAAGAGGAGGGCATAGTCGTAATCACCGATGAGGCCTTCTCTATACATTTGTTAGTTTACTCTCGAGTAGCTAAGTAGGAGACATACTTGGTTGTGAATGACCGGACCGCTCGTCGAAAGCGATCCGAGATTGTTCGTTTCGGGCCTGTATCAGGCCCGATTTGATCGGGGCCGTCCATTGCGAATTGATGATTGATAGAAAGACAAAAGGCGATGGGTATTACCTAGATATTTATTTATACAAGGATGGCCTTAACAGACGATATTATACACATCGATCAACGAGGATTTTAGTGACTGGGCTGATAAGCGACAGGAATCAAAGAACCGTTATATACGAACGGTTTCACGATATGAAGGCATAGATACCTATCTAGACCCGCCGAAGTCCGTTGTCTAGACACTTGGTATCGGAATATTAACAGAGAATAAAAACAGGTCGAGATGAAAGAAATTCTTATTACTCGATGTGAAGTTGTAAAACTGATAGGATCCACAAGCTGATAAACTTGATCGGAATGGGGAATTTCACGCGTGCTAACCAGGATTAGTGCCTGCGATAAGACTCTGTTTGCTGACAGGCTCGAATTATTGGTCTTTTGTTCGAGCCAAGTCCGATAGCGCTCTTTGACTTATTTTCCTACATTTTGATGATGCTTGAACTTTTGTCGTTGAATGTTTGTATTGTCAGTTAGGGCTAGGGCTAGGGCTCGGCTGGGTGCCTGAGGCATAGCACGAACCTCACGGCATTGACGGGAACATACTACGTACGTAGTAATTGATGTTCATTCAACATTATCGTAATATCAGTAAAGCTCTCCAGTTCCATAAAGTGTAATCTGAAATTCAGCCATCACTGATAGGCGCTGATCGTGGGGACCAATGAGCATCTGGTAATATTCTCGTCCTGATATGCTCGTCGGACCACGCCGATGCTCTGTCGCGACTCGATGTCGTGCATCTGATATGTAGTTATCCACTAGTTATATGCTTGTCGATAACATCACCATACAATGAGATTTTCTATCTTGCCACGGATTATTTCTATCAGTTTAGGACTGCAAATATTTCAACGAGAATCCCATCCGGAACTGACCGGCTCTGATGCCGTATAGTAGTGTAAGCCATTATGATGTTTAGAATTGTCGGAGTGGCAATTGTTTGCAAGATATAGCATAGATCTATTTAGATCTTGATATGTTGAAAATGAAAAAAAAAAAAAAAGAATTGGCTGTTGGAGATGCCCTAAGATGTTTGGATGATCTCGTGACCAACCGCGGGTACACCAAAAAAGTTTACAATGATTTCGTTTCATCCAGTCGAGCAACCACCAAAAGAACCGCCGTTACCATCAGCCCAAAAACACTGGGTTATTCTGATCAAGCCGGCATGTCAGTGTACAAACACTGCCACAAGTAAGACGTCGATCGCAGGCGCAGTTTTACAGTTTACGTATAAAGACTGCGGCTGAGCGGCCCCTGCGCAATCATCGGCGAATGGACGGGCTTCTGTGACATTTGCTTCATCTTCCCCTGTCGAATATTTCTTCAAGGCTATTGTGAGCACTGAAGAATAGACAAGAAGAATTGGCTGTACGACGGCCAAGATGTCTGCAAACCAGGTCAAGCCCGCCATAGTGCGCATCTCAAAACTGCTCGTCACTTCGTACATTCTCGACTGGATCTTGATCGCGTGAGTCGGCACCTGTGATAATGTCTTTCCTCTGCTAATGTTAGCAGTGGCCTCGCTGGCATCGGCGGCGGTTTCTCATCCCTCACACCCAGTCAACGCCCCTTCTCGCTCACCGATCCAGATATTTCCCTCCCTTACAAACCAAAAGATACTGTCTCATCTGGCGTCCTCATCGTTATTGGACTAGTCATCCCAGCCGCGATAATCCTCCTCTTCAGCTTCGCGCTCGTGCCTTCGCTGCACGCCCTCAAGGGAACACCATTCGCGTTAATCTGGCGTCGCAAAATCTGGGAATGGAACGCTGGATGGATGGGTTTAGCGCTTGCGCTGGCCGCTACATTCACAGCTACGGAAGGACTCAAAGATCTAATTGGGAAACCGCGTCCGGATCTGATTGGAAGATGCGATCCTGATTTATCGCAGATCGAGAGGTATGCGGTTGGTGGACTGGGAGCGTTACTGCAGGGTGCACCGACTTTTGTCACGTATGAGATTTGTCGGAATCAGGGGAGTGAGTTGAAGAATGATGGGTTTGCGGCTTGGCCTAGTGGGCATTCTTCTTGTATGTCCATCACTATCGACCCTTAAAGAGTTTGCTATGTGCTGACAGGTTAGTTTCGTTCGCGGGTATGTTGTACTTGACTCTGTGGCTATGCGCCAAATTCTCAGTCTCATTTCCCTACCTCGGTCCATTACCCTTTGGAACTCGTTCGCCTGCAGCAGCAGCACCACCACCACCAGCAGCACCACCAGCAAACAGTCATCTCCAAAAAGCTGAGAGTGAGAGCACAAACTCATTCACCACCGACACCCTGCCAACATCAACATCCCCCCGTGATCAAGGTGCCGCACCGCCAGTCTACCTCCAAATCCTCGTCTTCGTCCCCATCTGCGTCGCATTCTTCGTCGCATGCTCGCGCTACCATGACCACCGTCACGCCGGCTTCGATATCATCTCTGGATCTGCCCTGGGTATATTTTTCGCCTACGTCGGGTTTCACATGTACCATCTACCGCTTCGACGAAGTGATGGATGGGCTTGGAGTGCGAGGAGTCGTCGACATGCTTTTTTCAGGGGGGTTGGGTATGCGGATTTGACTGTTACGGAGGGGTGGGCTGGTCAGGAACCGATCTCTGCGGTTGCTGAGAATGAGGTGAGAGGTGAAGAGCAGGTATAGTCTTTTTCATTTGCTCTAGATGCATTCATGTCTCGTTCATATGGTGGTTGTCATTACTATGTACATTATCTAAATACCTAACCTATGCTAGCTAATCAGGGCTACGTAGCCCCCAATCGAATACTATGCAAATTATTAATCTTTCTAATCACCTTTTGCTCATTCGATAAATCCACGAAAGCCCATTTCCCGCCTCGTTTGAGTTTGATCGCAACTAATAGAGCGATAAATACGATGACCTGGCAGTACCCATTAGCCATTGCCAACAAGATCAAGGAGGAGGCGTACAATAAGATACGAAGACAAAAAAGGCATAACATGAAACCCATCCCACAAGGCAGCACTGTTTGCGACGACAAGGACAAACATACATCCTGCCAAAGCCGCATATGCGAGAAAAGGTTGTCCGCTGCCGCGGTAGGGGTAGTCGGTTGGATGTTTGTGGCTCCAGCGACGAACTTGGGAGATGCCTTCGCGTTCGAGGGTCTCGCGGTGGGTTGATATACTATCCTTGTCAGCCATGATATGCGTTTTAATGTGGTGATGGGGAGGGTACCAGTGGTAATATCGTATAAAAGCGAGACATTCACATGCCCATACAATCAATATGCCGACAGAGGCCATTTCAGCCAGAATTTCCACAAACTACTCAATCAGCCTATATCATGGACGTCATGAGGGAGAAAAATACCATTCCAATAGGATTATCCGTCCCCGTGCCAGACCTCAACTGCAAAAATGGAACCCACCAAAACGCAAACGCCGACAGAATCATCGCTCTTCGTGGGACACTGTATTGATCTGTCTTTCCAAAGTACGCCATTGCGCGAAGGTACCAGGGCTGGTCCCGGCCGTCGTCTAGACGACTTGTAAGACCGAAGAGCGCCCGAGAAGCGACGTAGAGGTTTGTGCTGGCGCAGCTGAGGCAGGTGAAGACGAGGAAGAGGTTGAATATGTCTCCTAGATGTGGGATTGAGGAGCGTGAGGCGATTGCGACGAAGACTGAGGATGTTTTCTCGCCTGTTCCCGTGTTATTGGGAGGTATATCCGCAGGTGAAGGGGCGGAGCAGGGAGTAGTTGTCGTCACCCAACTCAGGCGCGGAAGTTGACAGTCATCCCAGGGGATCTCCAGAGTTGCGAGGACACTTGTCAGGGTATATGCAAGTGTGGCCATGACGGAGATCCAGATAGCGGAGAATTTGACTGTGTTTCCGATTAGGGTGTCGTTGGAGCGTTGGGAGGGATGCGAAGATAGATCCGATTTGATGCGGCGTGGCCATTTGACTTCGAGGGCAGACGCGGCTACGATTTCGACGCCGACGTAGGCGAATGTTGCGATTGAGATGGACATTCTATTATCTTAGTACAGACCATAAAGAGGTGAAGAGGGTGGAGGTACATAAATGCTGTGGCCCAGTTAGGGGCGGCATTATGGTCGAATACAAGCACCAAAGACCAGTCTAATGAGTTAGTAAGTCTTTTATACCAAGGTATCAAGGAGACGACGTACTCTCGGTGTTAAATGGTTGTAGAGCAGTTTGGTCCGGTCGAGCTGTCGAATTAGCCTTATTCAAGTACAAGGGAGAGCATACTCACCCATGAATTTCAACACAATCAGAAACACGAATATAACGATAAGAAAGCAAATCTTGAGTATCCCCGTATACAATTCCACATGTCGATATATCTAACCAGTCAGCCTATTTCTCCAACTTGAGAGGAGACATACCCCAATACTCAACGCATTAACCAATATCAAAGCCACCGGAATAGCAAAATAAATCACCAACCCCTGAAAACTCTTACTATCATTGATAACAGGCCAAAACACCAACTCTGCAGCCGAAGTAGCCACCAGCGCAGAGAAGGATACCGAGTACGTAAACCAATAGGTTACGCCAACGGCAATACCCAACTCGGAGTCTACGAATTCGCTGACATATACTGACAAGGCGCCGGGGATGGGCCAGATGCAGAGCATTTCGGTGATGCATTGCATCACAGCCCAGGCGAGGAGGCCAACTAATAGAAAGGATAAAAGGACGGCGAGGGGACCGCCGAGTTCGAGGATTTGGCCGCCTCGCCAGTAGAGGCCTGTGCCGAGGGTCCCGTTTATTGTGATCATCTACAAATTAGCTTATATACTCAGATATATGAGTGCTAAGGTGTAAAGCGTACGAAAAGATGAATCCCCCGTAGACGACGTTTTGTAATTCGATCGCTACTCGGTCTGACAGGGACAATGATTGGAGGTTGTTGGATCCATTCGATTGTGCCTGTACCGGCGGTATCATCTTCGAAGATTTGATCTGACTGTGAATGGGAGTGAGACTGGGATTGCGTGTGGTACAGAAGTGGAGATTGAGGTTGAAAGAGAGGTTTTGTCTCTTGTTTGATTTCTGTTGAAGTATCTTTATTTTCATGAGGACGAGGTGGGTTTGGTTGAAACCAGCCGTGAGTCCAGTCTAGTTCGGAGAACCAGGTTGGATAGTCGTCTGATTGAGACATTCTTTCCCATTCTTTCCTTCCTTCTTTTTTTCGGGGTTGTCAGGTCGAGAATATCAAGTCATGGTGTTGGTTGTTTATCGAGCAATCGCATTGTATATGAGGCTGATAAGTGCGGAGAACTCCGTCCTCAGATCGATCCATTCAGCATCGTATCTAAGCGGGCTCGGATAGCTATACTGCGATGGTGCTAGTATCATACATCGGCCATATTGATTGGCGGCAATGGCTTTATAAGAGAAATAGTGGCGGGGACAAGCCTCATATTGGTGAGCACCGAGTCAGAATCTGTCCAGCAGTAAACTTGACTTTGTGTATGTAGAAAGCCTTCAGTGGATACGGGCCGGGCCTTATCCATTCCATGGAACTGAAGATGAACATTCCACCGTCTCAATTGATGACATCTAAACATTCTTGTCATACTATGAAGGAAGCCTTGAGTGAAGAACCGGAGTAGACTCAGCTATACACCGGCAACCAATCAGCCCTGTCGTATCTATGTATCACACGACTTCTTTAGTTACCTAGGCATATCTTTTCCTGACGTGTCCTTATTGATAATTATCAACCCAAGAGGCTCTGCTGGTTGATGGTACTGAATATTTAAGATCAAGTAACATAACGCTACACCATCGAGTACGACATTACTTTCTACTCGAGTACAGGTCTATCACAAGGCATATTCTTCCATCATCCAGTACTAACACCTCAAAACTTAAAGAAAAAGAATGCTTTTCCGAACAACAACCACATCATCCTCCAAGCCCTCCGACGAAACAACCACCAAACAAGTCGCCCAAAACACGACGAGGAGCTATCTAAACAGACCGAGTTTGCAGGCCCTGCTAGAGAAACTGTTTCCCGGGCAGACGGAGTTTAATATTCAAGTATATACCCACCTATTCCGAGATAAAGTGGGCTGAGGCTGACATGCATACAATAGATGAGAGATGATCAGTGGCATTTCACGGCTCCGCGGGTAATTGAAGATGTAAGCCATCCCCCAATCTAAGCGCTGTTTATAACAAGGACTATGCTGATTAGAAATTGATAGGCTGAACTCGAGTAAGTAAATCACTTTAAAAAGGTTAGTCTCTTTATTAACATTCTGATTGTAGTTCCGTGCGACTGAAATGATCGGTGAATGGGTTATGGCTTGTGGAGGCTTAGAGGAGGGCAGTGATACTAGGAATTAGCCTTGTCTGGACCTTTTTTTTTTTCATGAACAGCGTCAAGGTGTTTGATCTATTTCTTATTGTTTCGGATTGTAAATAAATTGATAACCATCGCATCTTCTTATCTTTGCTGGCTAGTCAATACACCAACATACTACCAATATCATAATGAATCAAAACAATTCCTTCATCTCGGAAAAAACGCTCGTTGAGCCGGTGGAAATCATCGATATTCTACTGAAAGAAAAACAGATAAAGCACTCGAAACACAACGACAACTCTAGCCTGATAACCCATTTCAATGATCCGGGTAATAAGGAATATACATGTCGCTACATGTTTGTCTGGGGTCCTCCACCATATAATAGTAGATGCTAATAGGGAACCCCCGGGGATAGATCAATATGTCAACGCAATTCCTTCCAACCACTCCAGCTCACGGCTGAGATGTTACAAACTCTCATTTCCGAGCACGGATTGGATGACCATGCGGCGCGGAGTGTGTGGGAGTTGACGTCTGTGTTTTATACGCGAAACTTGAAGACGGAAATGGTCTTTTGTGTGCCGTTCACCGAGTATAGAGATGATGATGTTATTGGTATGTATACACTGATAATAAAAAAGAGAGACGGGAAGCTAAGAAAAAAGATATCGCATATACAATCCGTTACCCGGAATGGAAGCCCATGGACGAAGAATGGACAATTCGTCAGACGGGGGTATATCATCGTTTAAACACGAGAACAAAACAGAGTTTGTATATAATTTTCAACCCTACACCAGGCTCAAAACTGCATAAGTCGTTGGTGCTTTCACCAAATGATTACAGCGGTGAATCGAGACGGTCGTTGGTTTGGGTTCATCAGAAATTATTCGCAACTTATATGCCCGCATGGAGATATTATATTGCTTCACTGGAACGACGATTCTTGCCAATCGCCAACACGGCCGCGGCGACATATATCAATGAAGAATTGAGAATAGGGCACGGCCATCTCAGTTCACTGATCAGTATCGAAAAGGATTTTTTACAAATCCCCACTATTGTCGCTGCGGCGGCGGATGTGATTACCGCGTTGAGGACGTTGATGTCTGACTTGCAAGCAGAGCAAGGGACGCAGCAGTTACAAAATATGCAGCGACAGTGCGAGACGTATTCCCGCACGGCGGCACATTTGCAGCAACGCGTGCAGGTGACGGCACAGTTGTTGGCGGATACACTCCTGTTTCGGGATCAGGTGCTCGCCAACGAACAGAATGGGAATATGTTGCAACTCAATCGGTCGGCTGTGTTTTTGACAACGTTGACGTTGCTGTATTTGCCAGCTTCTTTTCTTACTGTAAGTCTCTCATCCCTTGCTTCATCAATGGACTGACTAACGGTGTAGTCTTTCTTTGGGATGAATTTCTTCGCGATGGATCAAACAGATAACAAAATCGTCGGGACGTCCATGATCTGGATCTTTGTGGTCAGCGCGATTCTGTTGACTGTCGCCACGTTCATCATGTACAACTGGCTGTCCAGTCATGATACATTCTTCCGCACAATGGCGCCCAAGAAATGGATGACGGCGGACCTCAACCTCAGAAAATTGACACGCCGGTTTACGGGGAGTAAAATGGATGGTGATAGACAAACAGGCGTTTGAGACTTAGAAGAACTAGGTGGCTGCTGACGAATCCGGTAATGAAATACGATATATCCAGCGTCGACTCGCATTCGTCAGAGCCGCTATCAGAATATAATCCCCTCCCTGTTGGAAAGAATTCGAAGAAAGAACCTGCGTAAACTCGTCATCTTGTGATAGATCTGGTAAGGACACAAGTTCCGTGACGGTGACTCTGTCTACTTCAGACTGTGGGACGGTCATTTCTAGTAGATAGACTCGATTCGTTCCAGAGGGTGTTCCCAAAGCGAATATTTTTCTGTCGTTCCAGTCCATGACTAGCTTCAAGACGCGGTAGTTTTTGATGGAGTTTTCAATAGCAGTGGTGCCGGGGTACGCCAGATTTTGAATATATAACTGTTTTTCACGCGCTATGAATGCGCATGTTGATTGTTGCTGGCGGAAGGCTGTGAATGCCGTAAAGAGACCTACTGTGTTGCCGGGGTCAACTCCCTGCGCATATCAGCAGTTGAACAGATTATTTGAATCTAGGAATATTACCTGCGACCTGACAAGCACAGTTTGCAATAAACGAGGCCTGGTCTTGAGCGACAGATGAATGATTGGAATCTCATTCTCACGACTTCGAGCCGTGATCTGCGGCTGTACGATCAAATATACTTCATCAGGTGTCGGAAACGATATATAAGTAATATCACTCGCTGACCAGTCAAGCTTTAGGGTAGTCGAGTCATGCGGCAATCCTCGTCTTGACAAACTGCCTTCACTTTCAGTACCAGAGGACCCCTGAGTGGACGGTGTCATCCTGTTCTTGTCAGTATCAACTCGACAACGATTCCGAATGGGCGACTTACTGCCTTGGTGCCTCTTGTATCAGTTCTTCGATAGGAACAATAAATACGGAGCCACATTCCTGTCCCTCTTCTTTACTTTGCATGACACACGCCATTATTCTGCTATCAGGCGAAATAGCCAGTCGACTAATCTCCGGTAACTGCAACGTAATCCGATATTGACGAATAAAGACCAGATCATAGACATAACACTATCCATTTAGTATGATCACAAGCAAAGTAAAAGAAGGACTAACCTGAAAAACAGCCCCCGTCGTAGAAGCTATCAAAAACCTATCCGTCACAGCCACCGACTTCCAAATACAATCAGTTAATCCTAAAGTGTACTCCGCCGCCGGAGATACAACCGGTGGTTCTCCAAAGGTGACTTGTGGTGGAAGAGAGAGCTCGTTGTATAGTCGAATTTGGTTGTCGCTCCAGTACGCTACTAGATCTCCTCTGGGGGAAATCTCGCAGCCTTTTAGGCCCTCGGTTGACGATAATTGCCAGGAGTCAACCTGCCAATGTGAGAGGGGAGTGCCTCTACTGCGAGTTCTGACATGTCTTGTTAGTGTGCCATCTCCTTAAGGAAGGGGGCGACCCTACCGTCTATGTCGGAACCTGTCTATCCACGTGTGGTGCTCCCCTGTTAGGTGATTCTCAACAGGTGGCATACTTTTAAAATAAGTATATGTTTGAGCCAACTTCTCCTTGACCGTCTTCACGCCATCCCTTTTCCTGTAGTCTAGAACAAGAACCCTGTTCTCCAAATATCTCAACATGAAGTGAACTGCATGCATTTCCTCAGCCTGCCGCTGAGCGGCTTTATTAATAAGCCATGTGTGTGTCTTGTGCACTTCTGGATGATCCTTGTTTGGTGTGAATCTTCGACCTCGGACAAAGAATCGATCGTACCCGTCCGAATCTGCATGACGGAGTCGTCTCAACTGATAATTCTCAACACCCTCGCCGCCATCTTCTAGATATGCGAATACAACGCTCAATACGCAGCCCAAAGACCAGACATCGCTTGCTGTGGTCATGGTCCGCGTCGATGTTAATGATTCGGGAGGCAGATACGTACCCTCCCCACGCCTATTTCGTGTTCCTGACGGAGATCGTTCTGCTTCAGGTTTGATTCGCTGAAGGAAAGCGCTGTTGAAATCCATTTCTTCTCGCTCCACAGTCTGGCCCCGGCTCCGATACTTGACTCGAGCCATACCAAAATCGCTCAATTTCCATACATATCTTATCCCACCGTCGTAGGCAGTGTCACGAAAAATTAAGATGTTGGAGGGTTTCAGATCCATATGGTAGCATACCATATCCTGCTGATCCGGACCTTTCATCTCATTATGAAGAAAATCCAACCCCTCTGCAAGACCTTTTGCTGACAAGACTATCTTTGCCTTTTCGTGTACACTACTGGGTCTGGTAGGATGATATTTCGTCATATAATCGCTGAGATCACAGATTGCACAAGGCATAAACAGACTGTAGGAATTGGTGCCGATGCGAAGACTTCCAAAATTTCCTAGGATATTTTCGCATTTCCGTGTTGATCCCGTGAGGATTCTCTCCATCATGTTTCGCTCATCTTGACCATCAAATTGGGTGGTCGTAATATAATCCTTGCGGGCGACGTCCATAGACGTTGCATTAAGGGTTCCATGTCGTGTGTCTTTGAAGTGGCCCTTGGCAATCTTTACTTTGAAAACTTTGCCAAATGAACCACTACCGAGTTCCTCCTCTTCTAGGTACGGCAGACGCTGAGAACTGAGACTTTCAACAACGACTTCTTGCCGGTTGTGGATCACCACAGTACTAAAGCATGCCTGTGAACTGCAGAATTTGTCGACAATAACACTGTCTTTGAATAGATGCAGGAGGTCTTCCCGACTCGCCGGTAAGCGATGAGTATCTTGTCCAGTGAACCTGCCTTTCAAGGGCCAATCATTCCTGGCTACGAGTTTCTTGGTGAACCGTCTTGCAGCCTCAATTCCACACGAAGCAAATAATAAGACTGCAAGAAAATCATGTAATTCTCGATCATCTACCCTTTCAGCAAGCTCTTCCTCGGCTAGTCCGAATTGCTGGACCGCCGTGTTATTTGCAACCAGTAGACTCTGAAAAAGACGAATCAAGAGATCGTTATGAAGCACTTTCTCAGCAGTCCCATTAGTCGCAAATCGCAAATTAGGGTCGTCCTTTCTCTCGAGTCTGTTGTACAGTTGCCAGTATACTTGATTGCAGAGGTTATCGAATGTCTCGGATGCCATAACTGGCAAGCAACCGGTAGACGTTTGTCTTACGTTGCATGTCGCGAATCTCCCAAGTCAAAGATCAATTACGTGATTGACCATTCGAGTGACTTGACGGCTTTTATACAGTAGAGCGTTATCTTGAAGTGAGGCGATTGAGGCTGAGAACTGAGGCTGGTAGGTAGTCGCTGTGGCGCAGCCCAACTATACGATAGGGTAGGGCGCCTGGGTTGTACATAGTAGTTACCGGTAGTACTTTTCCGCGTCCGAGCGAACGTTCTGTCTTCGTCGCTAATCGAGGACTCTTGCACGATGGGACTTGGCCCTGTCCGAACTCGGATCGAGACTCGGAGTAAGACGTGGTTCTTAAGAATAACCGCTGAAATGAAGCATTGACATGGAAAGAAGAAAGGCAGTATGTGGCAGAGAAGTTGTCATTGCTTACACTAGTTAACTACTACGTACATGACGGCGGTCCTGCCATAATCACCGTGGATGCCTCAGGTGTATATCCCACCCGTCTACCCAACAGTCAAATGTCAGCCATATGAGTACTATTCGCATGATACTCAACCCAACAACCGTCAGCATCCACTCGTCAATACCAGTCATACTACGCCGGAACTGAGATTCCCGTCGAGATTGTCACAGGAAGTGAAGTCATACAGACAAGTCAGCCGAGGCCGTGCAATAAGAGACTTTCTGCCTGAGGCACAAGACGGGCAGACGGAAGCCAAACACGTGTTAGCACTAGGCCCGATGTAGCAGCGTTGGGGCAGGAAGAGCGGCCCCACTGTGCCACCTGGAGCTAGTGTCCGATCAATCACTTCTTCTCCAGTACAGAGTAAAGAGGGGAGCTGTCGAATGATGCAGTTCAAGTGTATGACTACGGAGCGAACATCTCCTTAAGAGCTTTCTCGGTTATATTTTGGTGTTTTGCATGATTGCCACATTGCAGACTAACTTATTCCGGCTAGCATGTGGCCGTGGCCTCTGATTGGAGCATGTGCGGATGTAGGTCCCCCTGCAGCCAATCACCGGCCGCAGATCCATCTATATCTGGAATTGTTGGGAACTGCTCAACGAAACCGCTGTCAGTCGAGAGGTTCTCTTCTCGGATATCTCTGACCGAACATCTCCTGTCGTTTCACTCCCTCATATCATGATACAGCTTCGTCTCAGCTCTCACTGCGCTACTCCATAGCGAATGCCATCACCGAGCCGAGGCCTGCCCGTTGCATAATCTTCCCCAACGTCGCCCGATCACGGTGGGTCCGCCCAACCTTACTTACTTTTTGCCTCCCCGCCTGCTTACTTATATCTTTAAAAGTCTCTCTTTCCTCTCACTACTGTCATTCTTTCAATCATCTATCCTCATCGTGTACTCACTGCTCACACTGTCAATCCCCCAGCTGGGCAGGCATTGATTGACGACAGCCATGTCTGCAACCACGGCAGATGCCAGGTCTCGACCTGCAGACACCAAAAAGGTGCACATCGCCGACACCAAGATGACCCTCAGAAACTGGTACAAGCATGTCGACTGGTTGAATGTGTACTTCATCATTGGAATTCCTCTCATCGGATGCATCATGGCAATCTGGGTCCCTCTGCAGTTCAAGACGGCTGTCTGGTCTGTCCTATACTACTTCTACACTGGTCTGGGCATTACAGCTGGTAAAGTTGAGATCTCCAAAATATGATAAATGACTGGGCTAACGATTCTAGGATACCACCGTCTCTGGGCTCACTGCTCCTACTCAGCCACTCTCCCTCTGCAAATCTTCCTCGCCGCCGCCGGTGGCGGCGCCGTCGAGGGCTCCATCCGCTGGTGGGCTCGCGGCCACCGCGCGCATCACCGATACACCGATACCGACAAAGATCCCTATTCGGTCCGCAAGGGTTTCATCTACTCGCACATGGGATGGATGGTCATGAAGCAAAACCCCAAGCGTATCGGCCGCAGTGATATCACCGACTTGAACGAGGATCCTCTGGTCAAATTCCAACACCGCCACTACATCAAGATTGTTCTGTTCATGGGTCTCATTTTCCCCACGTTGGTCGCCGGTCTTGGTTGGGGTGATTGGATGGGCGGTTTCGTTTACGCCGGTATCCTGCGTATCTTCTTTGTCCAGCAGGCCACTTTCTGCGTCAACTCTTTGGCTCACTGGCTCGGTGACCAGCCTTTCGATGACCGCAACTCTCCTCGTGATCACGTCATTACCGCTCTTGTCACCCTCGGCGAAGGTTACCACAACTTCCACCACGAGTTTCCGTCTGACTACCGCAATGCTATTGAATGGCACCAATACGACCCCACCAAGTGGTTCATCTGGACCTGCAAGCAGCTCGGTCTCGCCTACGACTTGAAGCAGTTCCGGGCCAACGAGATTGAAAAGGGCCGTCTCCAGCAACTTCAGAAGAAGCTCGACAAGCGCCGCCAACAGCTCGACTGGGGTATTCCTCTCGACCAACTTCCCGTCATGGAATGGGAAGAATATGTTGAACAAGCAAAGAATGGCCGTGGTTTGATTGCCGTTGCCGGTGTTGTCCACGATGTGACTGATTTCATCAAGGATCACCCCGGTGGCAAGGCTATGATTTCATCTGGAATCGGCAAGGATGCTACTGCTATGTTCAACGGCGGCGTGTACTTCCACTCCAACGCTGCCCACAACTTGCTTTCTACTATGCGCGTCGGCGTTATTCGTGGCGGTTGCGAAGTCGAGATCTGGAAGCGAGCTCAAAAGGAGAACACCAACGTGGACTATGTCCGAGACACCAACGGCCAACGCGTCGTTCGGGCCGGTGAACAAGTCACCAAAATCCCGCAGCCGGTTGCCACTGCCGATGCTGCTTAGTTAAAATGATGACCGTTACGACCTTTTTTTTCCCCCTCCTCTCTCTTTTTCTCGCTCTGTAATAAATATATCATGGTTGGAGGAGCTCCAGCCTCATTCCTTCCTTCCCCTTCCTGGTGTTTTAGACGGTTGCTTTTTTTTTCTCCCTTTTATCTGGAGTTGGAAGGAAGGATGTATCTTTATCAGACAATAGTAGTCATAGCGAATACAGAATTGCATACAGCAGAACCTAGCTATCACGGAAGAAAATATCAGCTTAGATATCTTTAATCCGGGGCTGAAGAGCATGCGATTAAAACAGATTAATATATGAGAGGTGCCTAGATCAAAGTCACTTCTGGATATGTTGACTGAAGAGGCCCTGAGAGGCATTCCTTTCGTTATTTCAGTCACGTATCCAAATTGCGGTTTTGGGATATGTGGAGTAGACTTTAGCCTGAGGCAGAATTATCATAGCTGGTCCGACAGCTGCCAGGTGAGCTCCAACTTGACAACGCACCACCACACCAACACTCAGGGATAATCAAACTCGCTGTACAACGTGGATACTTCACCCCTCCCCCGCGTTTTTAGACCGTCTTTTCTCATCTTTCTGCTCGTTCTGAGCTTCGCTCTCATCCTGGCTCCTCTCCGTTTCCCCTCCCCCGCTTTCACGTCGGCTCGACTCACAGCACTAGTGAAGCAACTACAACTACCGTTATCATCAAGACCATCACTTTACCCACAACAATCATCCATCAGAAGTATTACAACCTCAAACATGGCACCCGAGTTACTCAAAAAACCGCCCCAAGCACCACCCCTGTTCGTCGCGACACCTACGTCAATCATCGACGATACCAAACGTCTAATCGCCCGCTCCCGCAAAGTTCAAGACGAAGTAGCCAACGGCGTGAAACCGGAAGACGCAACTTTCGCCAATGCCTTGCTCCCACTCGCCCAGGATGAGAATGCAATGACCCTCGAGGCACACATCATCGGCTTCTACCAGGCCGTCTCAACCGACCAAAAGCTCCGCGATGCGTCCAGCGAAGCTGAGAAATTACTCGACGACTTCGGCATTGAGACTGCCATGCGCGAGGATTTATTCAAGCTTGTCGACGCCGCGTTGAAAAAGGACGAAAAGTTAGACCCGGAGTCCCGCCGGTTGTTGGAAAAGGAACACAAGGATTACATCCGGAATGGATTGGGATTACCGGCTGGACCGAAGAGGGATCGGTTCAAGGAGATTAAGAAGAGGCTTAGTCAGTTAAGCATCGAATTCCAGAAGACTCTCAATGAGGAGAATGGCGGGATCTGGTTTACGCGTGAAGAGCTTGATGGTGTTCCGGAGGACGTCCTGTCTGGATTGGAAAAGGGGAAGGATGAGAATGAGGGGAAGTTACGATTGACGTTCAAGTACCCTGATCTATTTCCAACACTGAAATATGCGAAGAACGCAGAGACGCGGAAACGTGTCTCGATTGGGAATGAGAATAAGTGTAACTCGAATGCCCCCCTGTTCAAGGAGGCGATGGTTCTGCGTGACGAGGCTGCCCGATTACTAGGGTATCCGAACCATGCCGCTTTCCGTATTGAGGATAAGATGGCCAAGACACCGGAGACCGTGAATACGTTTTTGGGCGACTTACGATCTCGATTGACAGCGGGCGGATTCAAGGAGATTGAAAAACTAAAGGAACTCAAAAAGGCTGACGTGGAGTCTCGCAGTGAGAAGTTTGATGGACATTACTTCCTTTGGGATCATCGGTTCTATGACCGCTTGATGCTGGAGAAGGAGTATCAATTGGACCACCAGAAAATCTCAGAATACTTCCCTCTACAAACGACGATTCGCGGCATGCTTGAGATTTTCGAGGAGTTGTTTGGCTTGGTCTTTGTCGAGGTTAAAGGCGAGGATCGTGCTAGTATTTCTCCTTCTGGGAAGGGAGAAGATATTGTTTGGCATGAGGATGTGCAGTTGTTTAGTGTGTGGGATGATGAAGCTCAGGGAAGTGGATTTGTGGGCTACCTTTACCTAGATTTGCATCCTCGCGAGGGCAAGTATGGACATGCTGCCAACTTTAATCTGCAGCCGGTATGGCCCCCTCCCCTGGAGAAAACAAATTGCCAAGAAGGGTACTAATGTTGTAGGGCTTCATCGACTCCAACGGTAACAAACGCTATCCCGCCACAGCATTAGTGTGTAACTTTTCCAAACCCACGGCCAAAAAACCAAGTCTCTTGAAACACGACGAAGTCGTAACCCTCTTCCACGAACTCGGCCACGGGATCCACGACCTCGTCGCAAAGACAATCTACTCTCGATTCCACGGCACAAACACCGTTCGCGACTTTGTCGAAGCACCGAGTCAAATGCTGGAGAACTGGTGCTGGACGCCATCTCAACTCAAATCGTTGAGTCGGCATTACTCTACGCTATCGGACGAGTATCGCAAATCCTGGGAAGAATCATCTGGTAGCTCGACTGCAGCACCGGCCCGTATCCCCGACGACGTGATTGAATCCCTGATTCGAACAAAACATGTCAACGACGCACTTTTCAACCTCCGTCAGCTCCATTTCGGCATCTTCGACATGACCATGCACACACCTTCCTCGCACGAAGAAATCGTCAATCTAAACCCAACAGTAACCTACAACACCCTGCGCAAAGAAATCTCCCAAATCGAGGGCCCGGAAGTTTTGGGTCAGGGGAACGAATGGGGTAATGGCCAAGCGACCTTCGGCCATTTAATGGGCGGCTACGACGCGGGTTATTACGGGTATTTGAGTTCCCAGGTGTATTCCACGGATATGTTTTATACGATTTTTAAGCAGAATCCGATGGATCCTGTGCAAGGGAGGAGGTATAGACACACCGTGCTGGAGAAGGGCGGCAGTCAGGATGAAATGAAGTCTTTGACGGAGTTTTTGGGCAGGGAGCCGAAGACCGAAGCCTTTTATAAGGATTTGGGCTTGGCTTGATTATCTCCAATGGGGGGGGGAGTGTTACTTGACTGTGTAGTTGTAGTTGACTTTGCCAACGGAATGATATATCGGGTGGATCCAGGCTAAATTTAAGCTAGCTCTATCAACTCATTCAATTTAATTTCCATTTCTTCCAAAGTCACCACCAATGCTCAACCCAAGCTACAAAGAATACATACACTCAATAAAAAAAGGATATAATCAAATCAAAATGAACGACCAACACCCCAACCAGGCGAACCCCAGCGAATCGCACGCAGAATCGCAACCCCTCAATGGAACGACCGAAGAAACAGAAAACAAACTCCCCATAAAAACATACCACTGCCGGTTCTGTTCGCATTTACTAATCGCATCGACGAGGGATTTATTATCGTCTACGACCCCATTACGACGACGGCGACAGTATATTGCCAAGGGAGGAGAAGGGGAGGGAGGGGAAGGCGGATTAGATGGTGCACTGATACTAGAGATACCTTCTTCCAACACACCGAAAAACAAGAGGAGGAAAGTATCAGAAGATCATTCAATAGAAGAATCTGATCCGGTCGAACGGAATACACAATCTACAACGACAGCACCTGGAACCAACGACCAAGAGGCCGAAAAACTAAACCGCAAACCAGAACAAGCGCATTACACCATCCTGTTGTCAACACTCATACCAGACACCAATCCAGTAATCATCCGACGTGAAGACGGGTTCGAGAAGAGGATTATATCTCGATGTGGACGGTGTAGGGTTGTTGTTGGGTATGAGCTTGCTACCGGCAACACACCTCACTCTCACGAATCTGACGGAGATGAGGAGGATGAATTCAATCGGAAGAATACAACAGATAGAGCGATTTATCTCCTACCGGGATCTATTGTCAGAACTGAGGATTTGGAGGTTGGGTTAGAGGATACTGGTGTAGGAGGGGATGTGTTGAATGCGATCGTGGAGAAGAATGCTGTTTTGAAGGGGATGGAGAGGGAGTGGATGGACTGGGTTAAGTAATCTTATGACAGAAAGCACTTTAAATGAATAGTTGATTGATTGATTGATTGTCATAACTCCATATGCACGTAAAATACAGCCATCAGGACCAGTTTCCAGCAGAATAAAAGGATATAAACAGTGTCGTTCGAAGTGAAAGGGTATAATTGCAACGCGCGTCATCTAGTTTGCGAGGATAGTGCGCACGAGATCTATCAAATCAGTCTCTGTTAATTCAAGCAGATAAGAGGGCACAAACCGGTATAATTAATCTCGCCCGAACTCGTATCAACAACCTTGAGCAATTCATCGACTTCCTCGTCTGTCATTTTCTCGCCGAGGTTTGTCAAGACTATCCAGTCAGTATCCCAACCACCTGAGATGTAGAGGAGAAACGTACTGTATCGCAACTGGCCCACACCAATAAATCCAGTCAAATCCTTATCAAATACCTGGAAACCACGACAATATTCCTCCGGTTCACCAGGATCACGGAATCCGCCAGGGCGATTAAGGACTTTTTGGAAGGAGTCGAAATCAACTACCGACAATTAGCATTCCATTCCATTTTTGTGTGTATTCTGTTTTGAGGTGGTGTTTGAGGACGTACACTCCCCGCCAATACTCTGCTCCAAATCACGGATTTCAGCGAGGGTGGGATTCTGGCCGCAGGCGCGGAGGAGGTCGCCTAGAGAATCGAGGGGGACACGGCCGGTGCCGCGTTTGTCGAAGAGGGAGAAGGCTTCCTTGTAGTTTGTTGAGGCCTGGTCGTTGTTAGACATTTTGATTTTTCCTTTCGGTCTGTTTGTTTCCCCTCTGGTGTGGTGTCTGGATGAAAGGTGGAGAGGGATAGAGGTAGAGAGGAGGGATGTTATTGGGAGGAAACGGATTAATCATGCGCCGAGACACCAGAGAAACCAGACTGACTGAGACTATAAACAATAACTGATGATAGGGACCATAAACGTACCATTTTGTATTGTATTGTTTTCAGTGAGTCGATTCAATTCGAGTCAAAGAATATAGTGCGGTGACAGTCGAGGAATGTTTATCTGTATATGTATAGTGATATACGATCGGAGATGATATATCAGTTGGAATATTCTTCAGTTGATCTTATTCTCTTCAGAGGAATTGGACAGACAGAATGACAGGAGACAAAAGTGAAGCAGAGAGATAGAGAAATAGAGAGCGAAGAGGTGGATTACAGTGGATCATCAGGTCAGTGTCCGTTGTTGTGGTAACCGGTGGATAACCTATACAAGCATATACAAGCAGAGTTAATACCTAGGTTACACTTACAACTTCATATATGTAAATGATCAATAATTCAATAATTCATACAGGGTATACAGATATAGACTATCTACCGGGTGACTTCAACTTCTCAACGCAACTGTCCAGCAGCAACGCCGCCTCATGAAGTAGCTCCCACCTCGTATTCAAAAAACTCGACCGAAGATGCAACAACAATCCCAAACACTGATTCCGGCCCGTCACATGCTCCAAATCGTTCGGTTCGTGGACTGCACCCACCGTTTGTAAGAATCGTTGCATGTCTTGTAATTGTGCGGCTTCGCTGCTGAGTTCCGGCGGTGATGGGATCGGTCCTTCTAGTGCGTAGCCGTATGACCAGACAACCAAGGCTGAAAAATAGACTACCCATGATCGATGGAGGAGAAAGTCGTCTACTGCAGAGTACCCCGGGGGTTTCCCGCCTCTGCTGGGGTCGCCGCGAGGATTTGGAGACGGGAGTAATACATGAGATAAAAACTTCAAAGCGTAGAATGTTGCGTCTCGCGCAGAGGCTTTCGTAGCCCATCGCTCGGTCATTTTCTCCCGCGCTGTGCTGTAATCCTTGGGAGTAATGGATCGACTCAGCAGTCGGCTGGCGCCTGCGAAAATCTGACAATCCACAATGTCGACATGCGTGGCTATGTGTGCTAAGTGGTGCAATACCGTACGTGATTCGTGTGTATCGTCTTCGTCGATTTGGAACTGTAGATGGTGCTGTTGATAGAAACTAGGACTGTTTTTAGAGTACACCCGATGACCAGACTCGGCAAGCGCGTCGTCGTAATCGTGCTTCCAGTTATCAAATGCTCGTAACAACGACGCTCGCCACTTGTCACGGCCTCCAAGTGCTTGAGTGACCCCTAGAGAACTGACTTGCAAATCACGCTGGTTCATGTGCCAGCTAACACTAAGTAATCCCGCGATCAGGATCGTCCGGCCGAATGCATTGGTTCGCACTTTCTGTCCGGTAAGCGTCTTCTTCAACCCGTCTAAAAACATGGTCGGTTTGACTCCATTGGACTGGAGAACTGTCTGCATACGTGAGACTTCTGCAGCACTGCCTGCCGACCACAACGCTTCATCGCATGGCAACGGCAGCCGCAACTCATGCGCTACCATTTTGACTGAATGTCCAAACATCGTCGAATGGATCGAATCCATTAAAAACGCACCAAAAGCGACCCGGCGCGTGGCCTCTGTCCGGATCCAATACGACCAGGGATCTTCCCGCTCACTCACATCCGTAGCAGAAGTCATCGACCGCTGCACACGCTCATCCCTAGAGCTAGCCGGCGTATCATATGCAGAACGACCCAAGAAAGAACTACCCCGCCGCATCAACGTCAACGTAGTATCATGATGGATATGCGCCCGTTCATGCAGTGCTCGGGTCGAGTAACCCTTCTCGTAAATTTCCAACAGCAGCAATGTCTGGAACACCCATAACTTCGCTGGTGGCCGAAAATCCACATCCATGAAAATCTCCCACCGGATATGCCACGCCAGAAAATTGGCCAGTTCGGCTGCCGCGTCGATGACGCTCTGTCCGTGCATCTTCTCGAGAGTAGCCGCTCCAATTGCCATGAGAGACAGAAGTAGTAACGACGGGGTCCGGTCTGCGACGAAGGTAGGTCTGTGTAAGATTGGGAGTTGCGCATGAAAATGGAGCCAATACGAGCCGACGTACGTTTGCATCATTCGCAGACTTAGAATGTGACCATCCGCGTCGATGTTTCCTTCCATGAGCGAGTCTTTTCGCGTGTTTACCGCGGAATGCGCCGTTTCGTTGAATCGGGTGCTGATCAAATGTAGCAGGTCTTGTCTTTTCTCCTCCGACATCATGGCTTCTGGAGGAGTCGAGTCTACGATATTGGTGACGCTCATGGGATGTGAAACTAGACTGGATGGAAATCCGTTGAATGAGGATGTATCGTTCGGAATGAAGGATATGGGATTCGTTTGCGGTAAATCGGTATACCCTGTAATCATATTCGAGTAGTTGACAGGAGATGTCCCCGTGGGCTCACTGAATAACCACGCCGCAAAGTCATCCGCCATAGCAAACGGTGATCTATTATACGACGACTCACCACCGAATACTGGATACGGAAGCGACGAATCAAACAGTTCGCCTTCACCAGTAGATTCTGGGACCATACCCGCAGATACCGAACCGAGCACGTTCATGCTCGTGGTGTATGCTGTTGTCTGAGGTAATTCCGAGCCCGAATAGCCAAGGTCAGGCATCAGCCCTTGGTGCGACATGTATGCAGTTGGACTGTTGAGTGCATCTGAATTTATATATCCTGAATTCGTCGTATTCGTATCTCGCAGGGCATTCGGACTGAACGAATTGCCCTGAAAATTAGATCCATACGCAGTTCCTGATCCGTACATCCGTTGGGTCTTGGCTCCAATTCCAGGATTTCCGCCGTATCTCACAGATGGATATGCATCCTTCGAGCCATTCAGACCATCATAAGCAGTCATAGGTTTCGATGTCTGGGACGTAGGAGACAAAACGGCGGAACTCGGATCGTCTGGTGCATGTAAAGACTGCGGCGAGGAGGATACATTCGCACGACCTGCCGCTTGAGTAAAGCTATCGCGTTTCTGTAATTGCGATCCATGGGTGGTATGTCGCTCTCGGTGACGGATACATAGATCCTGTCGAACAAAGGAGCGATAGCAATCAGGAAAGTCGCAGCGATATATCTGTTTTGGAGTATCTGCATTATTATTAGCATAGAGCATATAATGTTTGACAGCTAAGAAGCGTAAACCCGTACGATTCAGTTGGTGGCGATGCAGATGCTCTGCGCGGGAATAACTCTTGCCGCAGCCCTCGTGCTGACACTCGAATTTCTTATCTGGTTGCGCTTTACGATTTCTCTTTCGCTTTTTTGATTCGGAATTGTGTTTGGCATGATCGCGCGGTATATCAGCCATTGTGGATATCGCCGTCATCGTCCCTCTATTCTGTTGTAGTGCGTATATTCAACAATGTCCTGTTGAGTCGTCCGTCCAATGCGCGGAATGACCGGGATCGTATATCCAATACCTCCTGTCCTGGCCAGAGACAAACGGAGTCTAGTCTGGAGAACGCATACATCAGAGGCTGTCTTCAATCGCATTCATTGTGCAGTATTGCGCCACTGTGGTGAATTTCAAGATGATTGTGAGATGCAAATGGAGAAACATGGAGAAGCATGGGTTTTGTGTGGGGAAATTCAAAAGCTGGGACGGCTAGGCTAACTAGTAACGGCAATACCACAGAAATACCGCGCAGAAAACACGTGTTGGTGTAAGTTACAACGTTGATACGGTAATGTTACGACTGATCCTGTTCGCGGGGAAATCGTCTTGTCTTCTCTTCTTCTTGGAGCAGAGAAGAGACAACGGTATTTGAAGTCCTCTCCAGATATCTGATCTGAGATCGGCTCAAGAAATCAATCACGCCATCAACACGCGAAATAGTTGGAAGATGGAAATAAATATCTGGGATCTGTGATCATGGAACGGAATCTGAATTTCCCACTGCCGCTACATGCGCCTTTTCAGATGAATAATACTTGTCGTCACTCGGAACTGCGCCGAGGACCTTGCTATATGTAGGCGGTATAATGCCAATGCGCAATTCGACTTAGCATGAAGCATACACTAAAGAAATGAACAATATCTATGGTCGAGAATTTATATCGCGAATGGCGGCCCTATCTGCAAAATCCCGAGATGATCTGCCACATATCCCATGTAGTTAAATTTACATAATGATATTGCTTCTCCGGTAAGTCCTCCTGGCCTAAACTCACAAAGATATTAGAAATATGCCAGAAGCAATTTATGCATTCGTATATGACAGCGTTGGACGAACTCAGCCGCGTCTCGTCACCCCTGTCTCGATAGATGCTCTAGACTACAACAGTTATGTCGATCTTGATATCACAGAGGAACCTTGACTCGCGTTGAGAGGATCAGCAACCGGTATCTTCCTAGGTAGGCTTTGTTGAATGCTGTGGTACAACACAACTTAACGACCCTCGAGATATGATGTTTATAGAATTCGCAATTGCTGGTGGTTTGACTCAAAAGCAGTCGTTACCTAGTCCTTACAGATAAGATAGATATTGACATGATTGTACAAGTATAAACATGATGCCTGTGAAGGACATCCATATGCCGTAGGCCCATAAAGTCAGTTCAAAGACAAGCCCTAACTCCCTGCCCTAACTCGCAGCTGTAACTCGATAGACCCAAAATAGCAACACCTGTACTTTGGGTATATAGCCTGTGAAACCTCAATATCAAAGACAAAGAGAAAAAAAAAGAAAAGCAATAACTTCACCATATTTCCGACATTCGCAAATCTACATTGTTCCAGCCCAATCACCCCGCCATTCTTGCCCATGTCCTACCTACGGACTCCTTGGGACACTCTGTACTCATTTCATATTCGTATACATTGGTGTATAGACTCGGGGATCGCCAGCTCCGCCATAATGGACATAACCAGCCAACCTACATGTTCGAAACCGGAAAAGTGAAAGAAAAAGCAAAGACAAAAGAAGAAACAAAAAGAAAGAGCTAACCAAACCACGCGCTTAAAAAAGCTAGATGCATGCATTTATTTTCTCGGTTACACGGATTTAGTCTAGTTATATCATATATGAAGGGAGATTATATTGATCGTTAGGTTGAATCCCTGGAAATTGCTCCGCGCAGATGTTTGTATTATTGTATGCATCAGATAGCATGTTGAAGGTAGGGTGATGCATGCCCTACAAGTAGACTGTTTTAGATAAAAAGTAAAATAATCTTATCTTCCTAATCTTGTAGTCTAATCCTTGTAATCTTGAGACCGGTGATCATCCAGTCATTGTCTAATCTATGTTGGTCATTCTACTCTACGTGTATACCGGCGAAAGCCGAAGCCCTAAGTCATATTCCAATAAAGAAGTCGACTTCCGAATATCGGATCTGGGGATATACCGACGATCGATGAATTCATAATATCTAATAAGGTGTTTATCAAATCATATAATACAGGAAATATTTGCTATCCTGTATCAAGATTGCGGACATTGCCTGTTGAAAAGTCGAATTTTAAGCGGTTGGCGCGGTAAATCTACCTAAACATAGCCATAGGCTAGTTGCTCAGGAAGAGCACTTATAACCTTTATTCCTTTCTTCTTATTCTGAATTATGCCGAATATGAAAATATGCTACATGGATCTTTGATCAGGGGAAAAAATTGATCAAAATGGTTGATAGGCCCGATTCTCCTTCTGTTGTGGCAGGCCTAGGAACCAAACCGGAAGATAGAGATTCAAAATGAACGGATTACTTTTCTCATTGAGGGTATCTGCTAATAGTGATTATCCGCTGAATCGGAAGCGTGTGGCTTCCAGCCTTCCGAGGCCGTCTCGTGGTGCAACGTTCCGTCGTCGGTAGGAATTTGTGAAGTCTACACATGTCAGTAAATGTATTAAGTATAATAGGTGAATGACTAACCTTGCAGGAGGACGCGTATCTTGCGAGATTCTAATAGTTGGATCTTCTCGGAAATGTTTGTCAACAATCGTGCGGCTTCGCCTGGCTTCATCGTGCCTGCTGGAAGTTGTTCTATAGTCGATTGCACCCACAGCCCGGTCTGCTGCGGCATCAGTTCGAACTGTGCCATGAGTATACCAGAAGCATCCGGGAAACAGTCCTCTGGGAAACTGAACATCATCCCCGTCAAAACCCGTTCAACGAGTAGCTGGCCTTGATTTCCAATCAGCTCTTTCACGGCGTTTCGTACTTCGGGTGGGTTGGAATATGGTTGACCACTAGAGTCACTAAAGTTGGAGATGGATGGCGTCTCAAATCCAAAGCTCAATAGATCCCGGTAGTAATGTAGTGTTGCAATAAGCGGATCGACTTGTTGTAAAGTAAGGGCAGTGAGGCCAGCAGAGAAGGTAGGAACGATAAGCGAAGATGTGACACATTCTTTGGGGTAGAAGCGGATTGCGTCGCTTGCAAGGCGGAAGAAGTCCTCGATCACTATGCTATTGTCAGTAGGTGCCGGCAGGATATAAGATTTGGTTCTCACCGTCTGGTAGTTGCTCTGGAGGCAACTCGTTCAGGATTCGCAAAAATGCAACACTTTGTTGCTCAAAGAATTGATACACAGCCTGACTTGTCGCCTTATCTACCAGTTCTGCACCCTCGGCGAATTCTCTAACAACTGCATCCGTAGCCCACAAGAAACAACCCTCTCGAGAAGCCTCAAACCCAGCTGCCAAGCTTTGTGCTAGACTCGGTAACAAGGGAATCATCGCTGTTCGGTAAGAAATAATCATATATCTCCAGCAACGGCAAACTCGTTCCAGTATCGGCGTAGACTTGGTAAAATTCATCACCAGAGTGTTCAATATCGGCATAATCTCGCCACAATACTTCACCGCAGGATTCTCTCCTTGCGGTCCAACATACGGCGTGACGAGCTGGATGAAGATGGTAATTAACTGCAGGTGGTCTATCAATAGTGAGATTAGTTACCCTAGCCACAAATACTTAGTTATGAACCTACCTGCAACAGCTTTCTGGCCTTGTTCGTCTTGCGCATTGTTTGCAAGAGTCATGATTCGCGCCATGATCGGGTCGCAGAACAACTTCATCGATTCATATATCTTGTCAACAGGCTGCACTGCAACAACCGCAGCCACACCTTCCGTAATTTCCTCCTGGCTAGGTGGCTTGAGCTTGTCTAGTACGGACTCGTAGAAGGAGTGTAATTGTGGTATATGTCCTCCAAGAAGCTTATTGCAGTCGCTACCCAGGTATTTAAAGGCAAGCGCCGCCGCTCCAATGACTTCTTGAGAGCTATGTTGGAAACCAGATATCACGTAGTTGAGCTGTGCTTCTAACGTTTCTGGATGGTTGGCTGTCCACTCTGTATACCGGCCGAGCGCCATAATCGCAGAAAAGCGCACCTTCTCGTGATCTGGAATCTGAACAATTAGAGGTATTACTTGGGGTAGCACCGTACTCTCTTCCGAATCGACCATTCGTCCCATGGCTCTCATGCTGAAAAGAGGGGCCTCAAGCTCTTGCCAATGGGGAACATTGTCGTTGCTTGCTTGCGACGCGTATTTTGATACCCATTGCTGAATTTGGCGATATGCTTTCATCAAACATTCAGTGACGCCAATAACAGCGCAACAGTCTTTGAGCACATCGCCCATTGAATGACGGAAAGCACGGAATCGTTCCTCTTGTGCACGGTCACCATCAAACAGATCTGCTAAATCTCCATCTTCAGGCGTCGGGAATTCAAGATGCTTGATCATGATGTCGACTAGACGGGAGAAAATATCGGTATAGGCGGCTTTTGCTTCGGCATAACGTTCCAGCACCAGGTATTGCTTCAACTCGTACCAGAAATTAAAGGTGAAAGAAACCGCCTCTCGGTCTTTGTCGAGAACACAGCACTCAAGCACAGATTCGACCAGACCACGAAATTCTCCTGGCATCCTCGCGACCAAAACGACCCACGCTTCTCCGGCCTCAGCAAATAGTCTAGTTATACCTTTGAATGCTTCGACGTCTTCGGCTTCTGCGAGTTCTTGCAGCTTCGGTCGAAGGGCCACTATCCGGGGGTACAGTCTCTGTATAGCTGGCAGCGAATCATCCACCTCTCTGGTATCTCTATAAATCGAGCAAATACAATCCACTGCGGAGTCGAAAGAACTGTCGTTATCGAGCGCCTTCAAAACAACGTCTAGTAATGGCGACTCAACTATCTGAGTAGCTGGGATCTCACGGAGCCAGGATGTTATACAATCGATCAATCTGGGATTCGTCGCAGCGGTGGCTGACATGATAACAAAATCAGATAATGCTATACTATCTGCACAAGAACACATACCTGATGACTGCGAATATTGTGTAAGAAGGTGCATGACCTGCTCCGCATTATCGTCCAAGAGCTCTCTGGTTCTAGCCGCAAGTTCATCTTCCTATTGATCGTTGACGAATTAGACTCTTCAATCCTTGCCGAAAACTATACGCAGGTGCTGTTGTCCGCGCAGACGCTAGTTGTATAGGTGGATGATATGATCGATCGAACATACACTCAGGTTGATTTTGCGACCTTCGGTCACTTCCTCAGGAAGAATCTTCAAAAATTCCAACACGCAATCTCCAGCATTACTCCCCAGTGCCGATCCTACCGTTGCTAGGACATCTTTCCATGAAGTCATCTGAATGGCGAGATTAGCCAACCCCACGCAAAGCTGTGTCTGTATCGGTCGAGGGCCGGAAGCAAATGCAGCAAGCTGATTCAACATGGAGTCCCGCAAAGAGGGTACGGCATCAGGAGGCAATTGATCGAGGTCATATGTAATCTGATCAACATTAGTATTCGCTATTGCTCCGTAAAATCGACCGACCGTACTTTTCCTTTCAATGTCGTCGCAGCAAATAGTTTCGCTTCTATAGGAATATCAGGGGTCTGTAGCATAGCATGTGTGGCAGTCCACGCTTCGACCTAAACGAAGATGACCAGAGTTAGAAATGCGTGTCGTCTGAGGTACGGTAGGCGTACTGATTTCTGGAATTTCTCAAGATATTCGTGTGCCTGTGCCTTTTCAGAGCGCGACACATTGCCCTGCATTGTCGCGACCGCTGCCAGGACAGCGGCGAATGGCTGCCCATCGTTGGATTTGCTCGCCATGTTCGTGACTGTAAGAGGGGTAGATGGGTAAAATTGAGGTGGCCGATTGGCGAGAGGTTCACGTAGGCTTGATGTTATTTTGCGTCATTAAATCAAAGCAGATGGATAAATTGGAGATGATACAACAGAAAGAGTGAGAATGGATATTAAAACAGAATATCTTGAATGAAGACGGTTGCAAAGTCGTCAGGTGGGATGGAGAAAGTGACGGAATCCAAACACGCCAAAAAATTAAAGTGGGTCGCTTCAACGACAACTGTCAACTGTATATAACTTCCTCTCCCTTACCGGCTATCAATATTTTCTATGCCCTTCATACCGATTGCAAACCCGCAAATTAGCATACGGGCTCAATACAAGCCAGAGAATATGGAGTCTATATAACAACTCCCCTATCTCACGGACGAACCCTGCAGCTACATACCAGCTGTGGGAACAAAAACTACACCATTTCACCATCATCGCCTTTCTGGTAATTGATTTCGAGATGCTCAGTGGCTCTTAGGGTAGATTTAGCCTTCGAACACGGGCGGGCTTGCAAGTCCACGTATATTCCCTGAGGATGATTATTTTGCATTTATTCACGACTACAACATCGGGTTACAGAGAATTCCGAATGGAGAGACTGAGGGACGTTGCAGATAAGGCCATTGATTAGGTATGAATGAACCCGTGTTCAATATCCATATGTCCGGACATCAGAAAACCACTGTATAAGAGACCAGAAAGTTTTCTTTGCTTGGCTGGAGGCCATCGTACATACAAGGCTAGATATACAAGTATACTAACATAAATCTTGGAACATCCACCTCCTTGCTCCGGAATATCACCTCGCTCCTCTACTAGCCATTTACTACCATAATAGATCTCGCAGCATTTTGGTCTCATTGGTAAGAGCTCAAAAATAGATACAAAGGTAAAGTATAGGCCCGAGTTGTCATCCCAGATATGATTGAGCTCACCAAGAGCTTTTGTGGACCAAGGTACTCAACATGCCTAAATATATTAGCACAGAACTATAAAAGAGAACTTTGGATAACATTACCTTTCGTGCAAGCCATGATAATTAGAGTGGCGACAGTTCCCCATGGCCTCGAATCATCTTCCAGGAATGCCCTGTGAATCCGTCCATTTTCGTAACAGCATCTAACTCCAACATTTGATTCATCGAAAGTTACATATCCAATCTCAACAATCTTGCATAAGACGTCCTTGACCGGTTGCAGCCAGGAGAACGACGAAAGGAGCCGGAAGGACATCATGTTGCTGCTGCTGCTGCGGCGCCGCTGCCGGTCATAGCAGCAAAAGCTCAAGTGTTCAGTCTACCCATCGGAGCCGGTTATTGCGTCGCGCAAATCAGCGAGCAAAGGAATCAGAAGAGTAATAATGTCGACAGAGAAGAAAGGACAAAGACCACCGAAGGTTGCCTGTATATTGCCGTGATTGTATTGATAGCGGTTACATTCCGGTCCCTGAGAGCTTGATTTTCGGTGTTCGAACAGTTTCACCTTCAAAGCGCAGTCTACACTTTGGTTGTCTTCCTATACGAAGTCAGAAGTCAGCACGTAGTCAAGAGAGCGAGTTAAGGGAAAAGACGCATACGGACACGAGAAGACGGCATATGCTAAGACAGTGAGCATAATCGCTCCGACAATATTCAAAGGGTCTCTCAGAGGCATCAGCATATTGCAAAATTCAACATTAAATAGATAAACCAACCCGTGCCTTCATGCACAGTGCCATTTGGCTCATCTATTATATCTTCAGAACTCGGATGGTAGGCCTGCTACGGCGTAAGGGGCAAGTAGAAGCTTTTCAAACTTGAGGTACTCGTCATTGGTACAAACAAATTGATAGACTGTCTCCTCTGACATGAGTTTCAACTCTGAGGCTGCAATGGCGGGGAACAACCACCACAAAGCATGAAGCCATTGTGGTGACTTTTGCACCCCCAAGCATGGAGTGGAGGCCAGTGTGATGACTTCTGCCACCACAAGCTAGGAAGCCATCGTGATCACTTTTGTGGCAGCAGTAATATCCAGTTCTTACTGCCGGTACAGCTAAGAGTGCAGCTATTGAAGCATCAAATTGACTCTTCATAGAGCTTTTTGTATCAAGACTGTCAGCATTTGGAAGGATCCTCAATCGCATATAAGAGATGGACCAGGTGAGTAACAGACCTGCCAAGTATGTTCACGAGAGCCCAGAGGTATGAGATAAGGAATACAAAGATATATTGATACAAAGAGACGAAGAAAAGATGAAATAAGGAAAGAAAGAAAGATGAGAAAAGAAGCAAAAGAAGAAAACAAAAAATTGGAAGGGGAAAAAAGAGAAGGAGGAAAGAAAGACGAGCGGCTTATATACCCCTTCGCCGAGACACTGCTTGCCCTGGCTCGTCAGGTGATCAACGATGTTGTGAACTGTGCAGTTAACCATGGCAAAGCCAGGACTCATTTATTTTCCTTGGGCAGGTGTGAGTCAGTATTTAAAGGAGGAAGATGAATTCTGAAGGAGATCTGTCATTCTCGGAGATTGATCCAAGCTGGTTCCTGAAGGATAACAACATACACAGCCCTCGGGAAACCATCGCTGCTTGTAGTCGATACGCTGAGCAAATGGCTGTGACGGTGGAGCGCGGGAGAGAAATGACTTGGAGAATGGTGCTATACGCTAGTCTATTCTCAAAGAGAAGGATGGGATATTTCGACCTTGGACTCGGTCTATGTTCCATGTGGTCCGTATAGTGTGGAGGATGTTCGAAGAAACGTACCTGACGAACATGCAGCTGGTGGAATTGTTGCCTAATATGCGCGTCTACTATGCTCCAATCGTCGCATATGGGTGTTGAAAATTGAAGTACCAAAATGACCGCTGTGAAAGGTCTCCGTTCGTGAGGCCAGTGTATGTATTATGGCTGGTATAGCAAAATTAACTTATGATTGTGACCATGCTTGGAATCCGAAGATGAGTGAAAGATCCCAATTTACTATTCCGCAGGAAAGACTGGCTCGTTATGAGAAATTCAGCTTTCTGATTCTTATGTGAGCTATATATAATGTTGATAATGAACCTTGGAAGCCGGAGACTAACTTTACATATCAGAAAATGGCTATACAATTTGGTGGACTGCTTATACCCCCAGGCATATTGAACGGAGCACTGGAGACAAAAAACTCCCATCGTTTCTCCGTTTTACAAATCCGAGCAAGGTCTTCTAAATCAAAGAGCTCACCAATGGGAAAACCCCAACCAGCCAGCAACACTTCATGCATAAAGATACCTTTCACTGCTCCATCTCCATGCCCACGAGGGTACATCTGTTTAGGAGGGTATACTTCGAACGATATGGCATCACTAGCAACAGCTGCAAATCCCGTATCCCATATCCAGCGCAGCATTTCCTCTGTGCCTTCAACGCCTGCATGCTGGGGGCTGCAAGATGCTCCGTATGCAGCCTTGTCGTCTCGTGTCATTTTCGTATCCCATTCATGCGTGACCCCTATCCGGATGAAAAGTATATCCCCAAATTTGAACTCGGTCTGTTGTTCTCTCGCTATATCTTTCAATACATCCAGGGAAATTGAATGATCAGAAAACGTGGAATAGGAGATGCCATGTCTAGCTGCATATTCCACATAGTCAAGTAATACACCTCGTCCACATATCCCTTCCTTCGCCCAGTGCTGAAGTCCTATACGCGTATTATTCCGGTCCATAATCTCACCCGCCGATACACCACCATAGAATAATCTTTGCTTGGGCATATCTTCCGTCGGTACAGGAGTGGCAAAATGCCTCAATCCATCCCATTGACTAGACTGCTGCGGATTAATGATATACAAATCATCAAACGCAATCCCATTCATGATCGGTAAAACATGGTGCTGCGTCGGTTGACGGTTGAAGTTCGCGACTTCGAGTTTTGTCAAATCCCAGTTTAGAGAGATTCGTTGACCGGTTTGAATGCATGTTGATGCTGCGGCACGTACAATATCCGGGGTGAGGATTATGAGGCGGCCTAGGCCTTCGGAACGGGAGTTTGGGGGGCGGTTCCAGACTTGGTGTTGGTTTGGGAGGTGATCGTAGGGGGTTTTGTGAATTTTGAGAATGGCATTAAGCTCAGTTGCGTCCATTCCAGCGCGCGATGAAGTAGGCGGATCTTCGGACATTATGATTTATATGAATTGAGTTGATGTTGAAAGCGTGATGAACTTGGCATGCAACGCTTGATATCTACTTCTTGGACTTAAGAAATGGGACCACAATCCGGAGAGAGGCAAAGCTTGGTAAGGATGAAATAAGAGAAGAAAGTGTAAAGGAATAGAACAAGAGAAATGTTACGAGCACGAAAGTGCCAAGTCCTACATAGGTAGAACAACCTGTGTATTGCGGAGTACGGAGCTTGCCACCATAGAGTCACCAGGAGACCTCCGCACTTTTCGCGGAGATGGACCGATTCCTAGGTAGCTGGGGTTTATGATATACCAGGGACCTTCTCGGTGGAGTCGTTGAAGTCGAGAAATCAATCTTTATACTACATATTGGCCGGTGACTTATGACCTATACTGCATTTAGATATAGAGAAAGTCTTGATGTGCCTGTTTGTCCTCCATTAGAAGAATTAATATAAGCTGTAATAGTCTAGAAATCAATAATGATCCTTGATCAACATTGTACAGGTTTTGCTAACGAGATATTCGTCAATAGCAATGTCCTTTCCACTCTCTTTCCCCCATCCACTATCTTTCATTCCACCAAAAGGTGCTTCAGCAGCAGAGCTGTTTCCCACGTTCTATAATAGCCATTAGTACGTCATGTAGAAGAGCTCCTAAATTAAAAGAGGAGGAAATATTCATACCAGTCCAATCATCCCGGCTTCCAGGTTCTCCATCATCCGCCAGATCCGATGAGTATTATCCGTGAATACATAACTTGCAAGACCGTACGGAGTGGCGTTTGCTCGTCGTGTGATTTCTTCCTCTGTGTCAAAGGAATAGATTCCGAGCACTGGACCAAAGACCTCTTCATGAGTCATCGTCATGTCGTCCGTCATATCAACCAGAATAGTAGGCTTCATGAAGAATCCCTTGGACAGGTCTTTACCATCGTTTTCGCGGACTCTGGTGCCCACACCAAGCACAATTTTGGCTCCTTTGCTCACTGCATCTGAAACAAGGCTTTCCAACCGATCCAGACTACGTTCGACAGTAACTGGTCCGATGGTAGTAGCAGAATCCAGTCCGTGACCCAGTACTAGGGACTCGGTCCGTTGCACTATTCGTTCAATGAAATCTTCATAGATGGTACGTTCGACATACACACGGTTTGCCGTAATACATGCTTGTCCAGCATGTCTCCATTTCAGCGCAAATAGTTGATCGATAGCAACGTCCAAGTCTGCGTCAGCAAAGCAGATCAAGGGGCAGTTCCCACCAAGTTCGCAGGTAGACTTCTTCAGATTCTCCGCACATAGACGAGCGACGATTTTGCCTACACGAGTGCTGCCTGTAAAGGTTACTTTCTTTACTAGCGGATGAGTACACAATGACTCGGCGACGGCTGGGGTATTCTCTAGACTGGTCGTTAAAACGTTAAATGCACCCTTGGGAAAACCAGCTCTTGTCGCGAGATCCGCAAGAGATAGAGCTGTCAGAGGTGTCTCCGGGGAGGGCTTCACGACCATGGTACATCCTGCAGCTAGAGCTGCACTCACTTTGCGTAGCACGAGTGCTAATGGGAAGTTCCAGGGCACCAGTGCTACTGCAACACCCATGGGCTGTTTGATGGTGACTGTTCGTCGATTTTTCGCTGCACTGACTAACGTCGATCCTCGAATTCGGTCTGCTTCCCCGGAAAACCACCATGTGAAGCTGGCGCCGTACTCAATCTCTCCATAGGCTTCCGCGAGAGGTTTCCCGGTTTCGTAGACCAGGATCTTGGCCAGATCGTCCTTTGCAGAGAGGATAAGTTGATACCATCTAGAAAGAAGCTGAGCTCGTGTTCGGGGATTAGTTCGAGAATAGAGTTGAAAAGCCGTATGTGCTTTTTGCACTGCATTGTCGACGTCTTCTGGAATGCAATCGGGACATGCCCCCCATTCAGTTCCTGACCCGGGATCGGTGACACCGAAGTAATTACCGGAAAGTGAAAAATACCATTCACCGTCGATATAGCATTCGTTGTGAAGGAGTGTCTTGTCGAATAATTCGAAAGGGACTCGTATTTGTCGAGTTCCGCTATCCATACTGTCTGACTGAAGAGACATTTTCACGATACTCGTGCTGTGAAGCTAAGATATGTGGTGTTGATTTACCGAAACCCGTTGGACTTTATTGCTCCCTCTGGTGATTCATTATTGAAATGTCTACAAGGTCAACCGACGAGTGATCAGATGATTGTAAAGATATTCTCCGATCTCACATCTCAGAATGTGCGAATATTCCCCTCATCGCATGTTGTGGCACCGCCCCGACTAAGAAGTGGCACAATCCGAATTAGATGCCGAGGAATTCACCTATGGAGAGAAGAGACTTTTATCCAGGGATGAGTATGATTCCACGACCAAGCAAATTCTAAAGCACACTTGCCATTGTAGTTTTGCTTATAACAACCGGGCGAGTTCCGGATAGTTATTGGGATAAACTGCTATGCTTGGCTTCAAAGATTGCACTATTTTTATCTGCTATCAAATACGCAAGGCATCTGGGCAGTCATGACCGGAAAAGAAAAACACGGCACGACCGTGTACAACAAATTGATCACTGTTGCTGTGGCATTTGGATCACTGGTGTGTTGATTCCCTCCTGTAACGATCTTTTACCTTGCTGATCATCGATACAGACATACGGCTATTCCTCATCCATCATTGGGAGTACTATCGGGCAACCCGGATGGTACTCATTCTTCAACTTGCCCGAGGCCGGTGAGCCTGGATATGCAACTACCACGACCGAGGCCATTGCAACAGCGAATGGTCTATATAGTGCAGGGGGTGCCGTCGGTAGTCTATTCATAGCATGGTCAGCTACTTCGCTAGGTCGAAAGAGGAATATACAGCTAGGAGCATTGCTTGCTCTCCTTGGAGGTGCGCTACAAGGCGGAGCAGCAAATCTGAGGTACGATTGCTCCCTATCCTCGCATTTTGCATATTTGATGACACGTACTGATGATGATTATGAAGCATGTTTCAAGCCGGTCGTTTCATTGCTGGACTGGGAATAGGCATCTTAGTCACGGTTTGTCCTATGTATCTGTCCGAATTGGCCCCGCCGACAAATAGAGGTTGGCTCGTTGGCCATCATGCAATATTCCTCGTCTTTGGTTACGTCCTAGCCTCCTGGTTGGGTTACGCCTGTTACTTCGCGACTGACAAAAACCCTTCGTTTGCATGGAGATTCCCACTCTGTATGCAATGCTTCGGACCTCTTGTCTTACTGGCCACTTCAATTTTCATTCCACGATCTCCTCGATGGTTACTACAAAAGGGGAAGACTGAAGAAGCGTGGAAAGTATTGCTGAGACTACGAAAGTCGCCATCAGATGGGGACGATCTCGTGGCTCGCGAAGAATTATTTCAGACTAAGCAACAACTTGCCTTGGATCAGTCGAAACTTGAAAGTCTCGGATATGGACCGTGGATGGCTGTCATCAAGAAGAAGAGCTACCGCAAGAGAATGATTATTGGGTTTTTGACTCAATGGGGGGCAGAATTTGCTGGTCCACTGGTTATTGTACGTTGATTCCCAGGTGCACTTTATATCTTTGTTCCTCGTCGATAAAGTTAACCACATATCAAGAATAACTACTCGGTCATTCTATACACGAACCTGGGACAAACCGGCTCGATGCCCCTTTTACTTTCAGCACTGTGGCTCACCACAGCAGGTAAGTCTTAATGACATACGTCGTTCAAAAAGAAATCATTTAACAACAATCTCAGGGCTGATATATAACCCACTCGGCGCCTGGCTTCACGATCGTGTCAACTCTCGACGATGGATGTTCATTGTAGGCTTGATAGGATGCCTGGTGACAACCTCCGGTCTGGCTGGATGTGTTGCTCAATACGCCGGCACAATGAACAAAGCCGGGAATGCAGCGGGCGTATTTTTCATTTTCCTATATCTCGCATTCCAAGGGTCAGTTCACTCCCTCGCTACTGATACTCCAGACCGACTACTAATGCCTGCTCATGTAGAACCTGCTGCGACACAACAATGTACCTCTATGTCTCCGAAATCTTCCCCACAGAAATCAGACCCATAGGAATGGGCTTCTCTCTCTTTGGCCAATTCGCCGCTACCCTCATCCTCCTGCAGACAGCTCCAATCGGAATCCAAAATGCCGGCTGGAAATATTATCTCGTCATAATCTGCTGGTGTATTTTCTTCATTCCGGTTGTCTATTTCTTCTGGCCGGAGACCGCACGGTTGTCGTTGGAAGAGATTAGTGCTAAATTTGGGGATGATGTTGCTGTGCATTTTAATGATATCCCGGAAGAGCAGAGGAAAGGGTTAGATGAGTTTTTGAAGGGGCAGGATATTTTGCAGTTGGAGGATACTGCTACTGCGGGTGAACTAAAGGCTAGCATGGCTTGAATCTGCGAACTGAGTGATCAATAGCTGGACCTGTGAAGTTCTTTTGAAGGAGTATCTATTTTCATGGCTAGTGGCCACGCCGCTTCGATATGGGCTTTTCAGTAGAGATCTGTTTCAAATAAATCCGAGCTGGACGTTCTAGTATGCATGTGCATCTTGAAGTGAAATAAAAATACTTCTTGCTGTCCCATTGTAGACGCACATACAATAGAACCTAACTACAGTAGAACCTGGCTATAACGAAATGAAAGCCTCTCCAATGATTATACTAATACTAATATCAACTTTAGTTGCTTTAGTATAGAACTAAAGAGCATCGTAATTACTAATGATAAGATAGATTGACTACTATTCTCCTCATCTCTGAATTCCAAGTATCTGACTTGGATTCCGAGAGAGGGCTTCTTTTCGTTATAGCCAGGTTCTACTGTATAACCAAATGAAGGTTTTTCCATAGCTATACTGATATCGGCTTGAGCTGCCTTGATTAGAGACGAAGAGCATCCAAGGTTCAAATGGACTTATACTATGTATTCATCCAGTGGTCTCAAAAATCTGAAGTATTCGCACAAACTTACGAGACAAACCCCAGTATTCTATCCTTTGCAACAAGGCCTGAGTTCGGATACTAATATGACTGGAAAATTTCTCAGAATAGATATCGTCAACATCAGCTATATAAGCTGGACCGCCATGGCGGATCCAGTCACTGATGAGTGGCGTCTGACATCCAATTGTATTTTGGATTTCGTCCAGCTTAACGTACGGCAAGTCGTTTTTATCGAGTTCAAAGTAAGATGGGCAGGTGCTATACTTTGAGAAGGCCATTAAGAATATAGAGCCCATGAAGATACGCAGTATCTCGCATGGGGCGGAGACTAGGTATTGGTTGGCAATAGCAAGGATTTGTGCTGCATGCCAGACCAGCTTTCGTGTCCGGGACGCATCGTTACTGAATTTTGCTCTCAGTCGATGTTTTGCTGCTTCGATTAGTTGGATGTTGGTTTGGTTGTGGGAAGTAGTGGCGACGTTTCGGACGATATAGACCACGAGCTCCATTACGTCGTCCGAGCTATAAAGATTGCAATAATGGACAATCAATTGCGAGATACTACAGGTCATTTATCAGCATGACAAACATAAGGGATGGAGAAGGGATCTCACTTGTTATCAATCAACTCTTTGCTTGAACCTGGGCTCCCAATGGAGCGCCCGAGATTCTCAAATCCTTCAAGCAGAGCGAATTTAGCTTGTTGTTGAACAGACACTAACGAAGGTAGACGCAAAGCCTTGCTCAGGTATGCAACTTCAAGCTGCTTCATATCCCACAGGAGTCGCCCAATAATCTGACTGCAAAGTCTTTTCCCCCATGATGACAATGTGGCTGGTACAGATCTCCTAGTCATTACTCTTTCAAGAACAGATGTGACAGATATGCCAAAGCACGAGTGTATTGAAAGAGTTTTCCACGCTTGTGCGGATTGAGCTTCCCATAAGGATTCAGCACAAGGGAATGTATATGGCAATTCTCCGAGATCGACAGCGCCGCGGCGACCTGTTAGTGTGGCAAGACTACAGTCGTATTCGAACGATGCCCAAGTTACACGCTTTTCTCTTTCTCGGTCTATCCACTGCCTCCATTCTGCCTGCACATCGGTCGTGTTAGTGTATATCGAGGCTTGCAGATCTGCTTTTTCGGCCTCTATAGACACACGGGAGGTTAGGAGTCCCATGCCTCGCAAGCCACCGATCAAAGCACCGCGGGAACGGTCTGCGTCCTGATATAGTTGACGGTTCCCAGATCCTAGTGAGAAGATTTGATGCAGACAAGAAGCACTAAGATAGGACAGGTCGGAGTAACTATTGCTGTCCGAACAGGCCTTTAACAGAGCCAGTCAATATACGACTTATAGAACGACAAAGGAGAAACACAGTTGCAAATAAAACTGACCAGCCAAAAAATCATCCGTGTGCATATCTCGCTAAAAGCATTCGACACGTCTGAAGAACCCTGATCTTCCTGTAACATAGCTCCGATGCAAGCCATACTAGCAAGTAGCACAGTTGGGTATTTGAATAAATTCCACGTCGGGACATGGATGATAGGAAGAATGGGATGAAAGCCGGCAAAGAAGCTGCCAATCGCTTCCTGTAACAGATTGAAAGCTGCAAGTCTTGATCCGACGTATGATGAGTTGTCCAACTTTGGAATGTAAGGGACAGATAAAAGCTGGACGATCTCTTGTAAGGTGTCCATGTTCTTTCCGTAAACCGAGGTAACACTCCCGTGTAGGATGTCACGGAGAGGTGGCAGTCGACATCGGGGTGGAAACCGTTCGCGATTTTGGTCGAATGGCCACTGCTGCGAGGCTGGGATATTGACATTTGTGAAGTTTCCGCCGTTATCACCTCGGTCATGGATTGTCAACCCAGCGGTATTACTGCCATACATTTGATTGTTGCCAAGAATTGGATCCATTAAAGGGATGATAGAATGAGGTGTGCTTGTCATAAGGGATTGTTCCTGCTGCAATATTGGTTCTTGAAGCTGAAAGTCTAACCAGTCCAACCCTCCGGACCCGAGATTCATCGTTCCGGGTAGGTGATGGGATAGCGAGCAAAGGATAGACTCATCAATGTCCGATTGGAATTGAGTAGTAAAGTCAGGTAAGAATCCTTTATCTACATAGAAAGCAGCAGAGTTTTCTGTTACTCTTCTATCAGATGGCTTTGACTGGTGTGGAAGCTCATCGTCCAAAACTGAGTTGCTTTCTTGTTCAGGCGTAAGTGGAGCTTCAAAGCGGGTATTGCTGGTCTGAGTTGGTATATTTTGATTAATTGTTTCTTGAAAAGCGTCATACTGCTCAGATGCTGATTCTGAAGGAGTGGAAGATATAGACGACACAAGTTCCTCATGATATGCACAATTCGACCGCGAATTGACGCATGATTGGCATGGCTGTGCCCGGTCACACTTCAATTTTCTGCGTGCGCACTGAAGACATGATTTTCTGAAGCTCTTCTTACGGGGAGTTTCGACTTGATGTACGGCACGCATATGGCGCAACAACACATCGTTCCTTGCAAAACCCTTGTTGCAGTGAGGACAGAATACGTGGCTTCGTTGATGGCGAGGGTTATGAGATGCTACATGTCGGTCTAGGTGGCTAGGACGACTGAATCCGAGCCCACAGTTGCTGCATTGGTATCGCTTTCTTGTTGCCTGTCCGATTTCCTCTCGGTATTAAGTAAAGGAGTTGAAGCGCAGAAGGTGACATACCTTCGGATGTATGTCTGATGGAGACAATGGCATTGACTGGGATGGTGTAGATTTCATTGTGTTGTACATGTTGAGTTGCTGAAGATTTGCTCAAGTATTTGTCGTGAGGTCGTTGGATCCTTGATGCAGAAAAGAATGCGGGGCCCCATGGGGATAGAGTCGCTAGTCCGTATTCAGCATGGTCAGTGTTGGAGTAGCTTTGGTGGTACGCTCCGAAAACGTAACCCCGCACGGTACTTCCAGGATACATACTCCGTACATTATCATTTCTATGTCTTTATATTGTTTTCACTCTATATTTGAACTCATTTTCAGAAACTGGTGATCAAACATGGAATCATTGATTCAATCCAAGTATATGTAACTACAACAGTTCAAGATGATCAACCCTGCTAACCCTGAAAATACGCCGCCAGTTCATATACAACGTCCGCCATCGACCTACAGCAATATCAGTTATCCGGATATGGGATTGCACCAATGAGGAGGCGTAACGTACCTCCAGATCAATCCCAGTAATGAATGCTGCTTCATCGCTGGCAAGGTAACAGCATGCATTAGCTACATCAGCCGGTGTTGATGGACGACGTAGTGGGATAGTTTCCACAAAGGCTGCTCTGTTCTCCTCAGTATCCGCCTTTCCGAGAAAGAGATGTGTCCTAGTTGGGCTATGTTAGTGATCTGATAAAGATAGAATGTAAAACCCGGGAGTCCTCGAGAGTTCTCCCATGGTATATAACTTACATCCCCGTACTTCCAACCACCGGACAGACTGTATTGAATCGCAGCTGCCGAGGACCCCATTCAGCAGCCATTGTCTTGGAGGCGATACTAACCGCTCCTTTCGAGGCGTTATACCATGTCAACCCTGGCCGTGGCCTGATTGCTGCCGTTGAGCTGATCTGAATAAACACTCCGGGACGACTATTATCGAGGAAATACGGAACGATAACGTCGGTTGAGAGATAAATTGACTTGACGTTAACATTCATGACAAGGTCAAAATCCGCGTCTGTAACTGAAGTAGTCGGTTTGTTGGCGTAGGTTGCTCCAGCGTTATTGACAACGATATCCAGAGCGCCAAAGTCATCTATGACTTTGCGAAAGATCTCTTCCCAGTGTTTCCGTTGCGTGACGTCCGCAACGAGAAAGCTGCAACCAAGCTCTGTGGCGACTTTCTGACCTGCTTCTTCGGATAAGTCGACAATGAGAACTTTAGCGCCTTCTTGTACAAACTTTGTAGCGATGCCCTTGCCAAAGCCGGAGGCAGCACCGGTGATAATGGCAACTTTGCCCGTGAGTCGAGACATGGTTTCCCTTGTATTGTAATTGAAAACTTCAAGCAAATCTGTCTATAGTAAGATTTCCTTTATGTGATAGGTTCGTGGTCGAGTATTTCAAGTAAGATGAAGATTGACTTGGTCCTTTTCGGAGGAAATAGCTTGTTGTTGTCGCAGAGATAACCGATGGACATCTCTCCCCTCATACCGGAGCGTACCGCCGGAATCGAGTAGTCACGCCGATTATTAGATATGTTTCCTATTTTGTACATAATGAGACAGAATAATGTTTTGGAAGGAAAATAACACCAGTAGGAGAATCATTTTGAGAGTACACACGGCTGAGTAGTATCAACCACACGAACATTATTTTCTATTTGCAATTCTCATCCCCCTGGATTCGACAACTCCACCACGACTCTTAAGACCATGGCTGAAATCCGAAAACTCCTAGTGCTACCTGGGGATCACATAGGGCCCGAAATCATAGCAGAAGCACTGAAAATACTGGCAGTGCTAGAAGAAGAACTGCCCAACTTCAAGGTCCAAATAAGCTACGGATTAATAGGAGGTGCGAGTCTAGACAAGACTGGTTCCGCAATAACCGACGAAGTCCTTGAAACTGCCGTCGCAAGCGATGCAGTTCTTCTGGGCTCCGTGGGAGGACCAGAATGGGCACATGTGCCGGGCGCTCTGAGTCCTGAAAAGGGTATTCTCCACTTGAGACAGCGGCTAGACGCATTTGCGAATATCAGGCCTTGTCGGTTCTATGCGTCAAGTCTACTTAATCAGTCACCATTGAAGCCCGAGATAGCCGCTGGAGTGGACTTTGTTCTGGTTAGAGAGAACTGCGGAGGGGCGTATTTTGGAACAAAGACCGAATTCGAAGATGAGGCGTCAGATCTTTGGATATATAGGCGAACTGAGGTTGAGAGATGTGCTCGCGTATCAGCAGCGCTCGCGAGGACTTTTGGCAGGGGCAAGAACACTGACGACAAAAGCCCAGCTATAGTCTGGAATGCGGATAAGGCGAACGTTTTGGCAAGTGGTCGTTTCTGGAGAACAGTCACGCATGATATATTCGAGCGCGAATTCCCTGATATTGAACTCCACGACCAACTGGCTGATAGCATGGCTATGGTCATGGTTAAAGCACCAACGAAATTCAACGGCGTGATTCACACTGATAATACATTTGGGGACATCCTGTCTGATATATCAGGAGGAATCGTGGGGTCCCTAGGAGTTCTTCCCAGCGCAAGCGTATGCGGAGTACCTGGTAGTGAAAAACCTGTTAAAGGTATCTATGAAGCGGTCCATGGAAGTGCTCCTGATATTTCGGGAACGGGGCAGGCGAATCCGATTGCACAAATACTCAGTTTGGCGATGCTTCTTCGATACTCGTTTAGTATGCCGCGTCAAGCCGATTTACTGGAGGATGCTGTACGAAAAACACTCGAGGTGCGCGAGCATGGTGGATTAGGAATTCGGACGAAGGATTTGGGAGGTTCTGCCTCTACGCAAGACGTTGGTGATGCTGTTGCATTCCAATTTCGGACTCTCCTTAGAAGCGCTGATATCAAATAACTTTTATGGTCACGAATACTGACCTACATACCAGAAGGAGTCGAAAACGACAAAACATCGATTCAAACACTCAGGAATTCCAATTGCGCGCTAAGGAGGACAAGACTAATCGTAGGTACTAACTATGAGATATGTAAGACTCCATGAAAAGCACTCACTTATGATGCATAAAATTTCTCTTCTTTTCTCTTTTCGCTTCCCAGATGTGCATGTCTGCCGGCTTTCCAACGTCTTCCTCCTTCGCTCCATGTAGACAATAGATAAATAGATAGTAACGATAGTAACAAGTTTCGTTTCTTCGACCGATCCCAAGAACATAAAAAGATACATACTCCCCATCACAAAAAAAAGAGAGCTCATTAAAAATTAGAATACAACAAAGGCTAGCCAAGAAATCATCGAATGCTGTTGTCGATTTGCACCCTCAATTCTTGCGCCATCTGGACATATTCACTAGGTAACCCATTCCGTTGAACCAAAACCAACATTTCGGAAATTCTCGTTGCCATGACATCGCTTCCAAATACGGATCCGCCAACACGTAACGTATCATTGAACCATCGCTGGATGATATACAACAGATCTGTGGCGATGTATCTCTTATTGGCGCCTGTGAAGGGAGCTTCGTCGTTATAGAACATGGTTTCAAGAGTGGTGTAGATTGTTTCGTGGGGGACTTCAAGGTCAAGGAATAAGTCGACTACCCATGTTGGGGGTCCGATGCCGCGTTGGTGTTGCAATGAGTAGCGCTCAACGATGGGGAGAATGCTGGGGATTGGGAATACGATTTCGGACATGCGAAGACGGCTTCCTAGAGATCGGATTTTTTCGATCACGGCTTCATACGGCTGGGCTTGGCCTTTGGTGACGGTCTGTTGATGGGTGATTTCCAATAGATTTTCCCATGTTGAGAGGATATCGGTCATGTTCCGGTAATCAGCTGCATAATAGATTTGTAGACAGATATCGCAGTAGCCGCCGGCATCTGCATATCTATTGAAGAGCTGCGAATATATGTTAGTATAAAGTTATGCATTTTGCCCGTAATTAACGTACCAGTGTAAGATCATGGATAGGTCCATCAATATCCTTCAAGACCTCCTGCTTGCTTCCCTTGTCCAGCCGATCATCCTCTTTCAAACGCTGCAATAGATCATCCTGAATGTTCGCAACATCCATAAGATTACCAATTTCTTGCAAAAGCCTTTGTCGCGATTGTCGGCCAATCTCGTGAGTGAATGTCGAAGCATTGGCGCGAGCTTGACCCAGATATTCAATACGTCGGCTAAGGGGCAGATTGAATGCACTTTGTGCAAGTTGAAACTGAACCCTGGCTGCATCAAAGTACCGCTCGGATTGGGCGTAGTAGCGCCAGAGCAAGTCAGCATGGAAAATATCATCGATAGACTTGCGCTCCAGGTATGTAACGACAAAGGGAGACTGTGTTGCAAGAAGACGATCGCTCCAGCCTTGCTCCAGATACCAGTCGTACAAGCACGTCAGAAAGACTTCATCGTTAGAATCAGCAATAACACTGTAGGCCTCATTTCTGCGTTTGGCGAGCGGCGTGTACTGGCCGTCAATCACGCCTGGATCGTTAGCTGCCGACTTGTCGACTGCAACGATAACCTTGAAAATGAGATCGTAGCACTGCTTGCGGAAATAATAATGTATCTTGCGTGAGTCCTATTTTGTATTAGTATCTCGAATAATATTATATTCTTGCATGACCAACCTCCTCTGAACGACCTTCCATCACCCAATTGAGAGCCAAATTGGCTTTATCCGAGCTGTCAGCAACGTTGAGACATAGTTGAATAGCGCCTAGATTATATCAGTTTCCAATGTCACGACATCCAAAAATCGTCGATTGTGACTTACCCGCAAAAAACTGATTCGCAATGTAACTGTCCACAGCAGATACAAGATTATCCATTGGTAGCTCCTCAGATACTTGCCGGAACAAGCGTAGACTCTCGTTCAGAAGGTTTCTCCCTATCTCCGAATTTGCGCCTGCCTCGGTCGCTCTCTTCAACTGTTCTTGCGCTTTGAAAATGATGACATCTTCGGCGCTGCAGAAATTGCCACATCGACGGCGCAATGCATCGGCAACGGTTTCCACATTCGAACCCTTTGCAATATTCCTGTTGACAATAGCCTTGACAAGTTCCTTGGCGATCTCGTGACCTTTTCCAGTACTGAATAATTCCTCAAAGGTGAGTTTCAAGAAGCGCTGTCTAGCCTCATCAGGCAAAGCAAGGACAATTTCATCCACACGCTCGTCGAAGAGAACCAAAACAAATGAAATACCTTCGATTGTATCTGACAGAAGTTGGACCAATGAATGTAAAGCACGATGTTCCGCCATGAGGGCAGTCTCTTCCTGCTTCGTGGCTGCACGCGAAAGTGCTTCCGGCCCACTGAGACCTTCAATGAAATTCTTGTTCACGTTGAAGAATCCTTGCAGTGCTGACAAGTCTCGTTGGATGCTCTGTAGCTTGACAATGCTTACTGAAGGTGTCACATCCAATCCCGTCTTGGAGGGCTTGGCGACTGCAATCTCCTTTTTCCAAATAGAGCGAAGAAGCCTTGACATGTACAATGCGATACCAGCGTGACGAGGGGAAGGAAGAATCGAGTCAATTGCTGGAGTGCTGTTATCTGCAACAGCGTTTTCATTCATAGACGGCTTTCCGCCATATTCGATGAAGATCTTTCGTGCATATTCTAAAATATCCGGGTCTTTGACCTTCGTAAGGCGAGAATCAGAGACCTCCATTCCCTGACCACATGCAACTGCCAACGCCGTAGCAAGGGCCTCGCTGCGTCCATAGACACGAATAAAGTTCTTGGTATCACCTTCCAGTCCATCTTCACCCCCTCCATCGCGAACAAGCGCGGCAAAGATATCGACAAGACGGCGTCTTCGGATTACATGAACGCCTGAGTTTGTCAAAATGGCCAACTCTGCGGCGGTCTGGTCGTACTGTATAGCCAGTTCGTTTCCAAATCCATTGGCTGATGCCACAGCTTCCAAAGGAGTCGTGATTAAACCAATATCTTCAGCCCTGCTTCTTAGGGGAAACCACCAACCCGACTCTGAAGGCTTTGGAGGAACAACATTTTCATGAGCGCGTGCAATGCGGCCTGAATCCGGTGCTGACATAAATAGTGTATCTTCCTTTTGTGAGGGATCTTTGCAAGTGAAGCAGAAGAAATACCCAGGAGGGAATCGTTGAGCCATAACGGTGGGATCGAGTGTATGAATAGGGACTTTAGTAGTGGTTGCAGTCTGTTGGAATTGCATTGCACCAGGTACAGCTGGTTGAGTGTCGAAAGGAGGCGTTTTCACGAAATGTGCCTGCATACTGGTCGGAGGGCTAGTGCCACTGGGTGTAGGTGACCAGCTGTAAGATCCAGTTGCGCTAAGATAGATGCGATAGCCAGTAGCTGTCGTAGCAACGAGATGGTATCGAGACGCTTCAGGAGTAGGAATGGGACAGATGGAGACAATCTTCACTTTGGGGTTCAATGCCTCGTTGGAAGGGATGATATGCCCGATATTGGAATATATGTCAATAGCCGGTTTCGTGATGGCCAGTGCAAGTGTTCCGTCAGGCTTTAGGTGGAAGACCCTGATTGTAGATAACGATGACAACGTATAAAGAAGATTCCGGGTGTCATCCACAATCATTTGCTCAACGAACTCAGTTTGTCTCTGGGTGAAACTTATTGATAACGATGGCGCAAAAGATGCGATCCGTGAACTGGTCTGGTTGACTTTGGAACATCGTCCCTGGAACCATTTCTCTTCCTGTTGGTACTTGAACTCATAAACGTCATTGTCAGACGATCCAGCAAAGAAAATCCTTCCAGACGTGTGAGATGAAGTTATGACGTGCACGTCAAGCCCACGAATAGAGGTTGACATGCCAGTCTGATATAACGTCACTTGTTTCGCACCCCCAGCCACCGTTTCGCATCCCATACCCAGCAGAATGATATCCGCAGTCGTGGAAATGACCAGAATGTGCGTAATAGAAGGAAGGAAGACGCCCGGTCGAGGCTTAGCAAGCTTCACGGCATTGATACTGTTAGACTGAGACTCGTATCCAACTAGTTGTGGGTTCGGGTGGGTATAATCCCAAAGGTACAGCGCATTGTCAATGGCAACCCAAGCGTGATTCAACTCAGCAAAAAGTCCCATGCTCGTAGAAATTTGTGCTCGATTGTATTGATCGAGGATCTGCTCGGGTATGTTGTAACTTTTTACTCTTTGGAATGGGGCCCATGCTTTGTTGACAGGTATCTCGTAGTCAGATGAAAAACCTTCTACAATAGACGGTCAGCAAAGATTTCCAGCAGAAGAAAGAACTCCTCAATTGACGCACGAGAAAGATAATTATCAAGATCTGGATATCGAGCTTCCTGTGCGAGTGTATCATTTATCGTCCGCGCAGCGCGCTCCTTTGTGCTCAGGGTCTCAGTCTTGACTTTGGGAGCTGCTGGTGACAATTTCTGAAGGGTTGAAGCGGCTGTTGATTCCTGCTGCGCGGCAGGCGCCGACGGTGTCCTCGTCTGAAATAGTTGTCCATTGCTAATGTTATTTGCTGCTGGAGTCTGAAAGAATGTCCCTGGCAGTGGTCGAGTCGGGGTGAGAGCTGGATAGGACATTTTCGTAGCCCTCGCTCAGCACGTCTCCCCGCGTCAAAGAAAGAACTGCGCCGCGAAGCCCAAGTGTCGCTGTTATAAAGAGTTTCCAGCTATGAAAGAATATTTCAAGTTCAATCGAAGAAGAAATTTCAAGGTTCGCAAAGAGGTTGAGTGAGCTCAGCGCGAGATCGAAGCTGTTGGGTGCAGAAGAGCTGGCGGTGATGCCGAAACAAGGCGGCTGGTCGAGATCGCGGAACAGCTCGAAACAATATTTTGCGCACAGACCAGGCCGTTCCTAGCTCTTTTTCGGTCAACAACGGACAACAATAACAGCAAGCTATTCATTCTATCCAGGTCTCATTTGTATGCCCAACACTTTTGTATTATTATTGTTGTTGTTCAATTAATTTCTTTGGCGTGTTTCAATATGTTTAATGCCGTTCGATTCTCGTCCCGGGTGGGATTACGCACCGTACGATGGAATTCGACCAGCAGCTCCGTTCCTCCATTGATGGTCAAGCTTCGTTCAGATCTCAAAGACGCAATGAGAGCAAAGGATACTCCACGGTGAGCTCTCTATAATCATATCCATGGATTGCACCAACTGATTGGCGCATCGAACAGACTCAATGTCCTGCGAGCTCTTATTTCTGAGACCAACAACGCCGCCAAAACCTCATCTCCAATCGAGACGGATCTTCAGCTCCTCTCTCTGATCAGGAAAAAGATTTCTGCCTCTAAGGACGCTGCGGAGCAATTTCTAAACGCCAACAGATCAGATCTGAAGGAAAAGGAAGATGCTCAAATTGCCGTATTCGAGGAATATGCCAGCCAGGTCCAAACAATGACACCCGATGATATCAAAGCTGCCGTCACTAGCACCATTTCTCAACTGGGGGCTGACACCAAGCTGAATGTGGGAGCCGTGCTAAAGAGTATCTTTGCCCCCGGGGGTGCTTTGGATGGAAAGCCGGCTGAAAAGTCAGAGGTTGCTCACATTATTAAGGAGCTCCTTTCGAAGAACTAGATACCAATGATGCGGGTACATCATTAATCTCTCTTTCTCACCATGTACTACTATATCTCTTCTCAAAACATTGATGCATTGCTGAATTAATCTCGAAACGATCTATAACAGACACGACACATGCCCCCTACTATAAAGAGAAACGTGCCAAGACTTTGATTTTCGAACATCTGACATAAGCAGCATACAGGCTGCTAAGTTAGAGCACTCTCAAGTCTGTACCTAGGTATGCATTTATATTTATGCAGAGTACTTGATCTTGAATTCCCCCTCTGTCTCTCAAGCGAAATGACAGCTTGTCTAATATACATGCTAGCGTGAATATAACGAATACTGGCTTGCAGAAGCCGAATTAAGAGCACCACAGCACCAACCCGCCGACAGAAGTTGAGATTATTCCGAACCACCACCAGCGTTCAATGACAACGGGGTCGATTCTCCTTATCATTGAAGATTCATGGTTCCTTTCAACCGTGACTGCCCTCTTTGCCTTAGCAGTTGTCTTGCCAGTGGGATTCAATGTCGTCGTGGGCAACATAGCAGGGGGCCGATAGAGGATGTATAGCGGTTGCAACGGGGACCCATCGAACTGGGCAAAATCAAGCCGCAGGATGCCATGGTACTTATCGGTATATATTCGGTAACTCTGCCACGGATCAGCAATCAACAGACTACATTTATACAGACAGGATGGCCGTCATCTTACCTCGAAGAGCACACTCTGGTTGTAGTGCGTGTACGTCGAGTAATGTCCCGCACATGGATCCGACATCAACTGACGGCCATCGGAAGCAATTGGTGTCAATACAAGTGATCCATTCGTTTGGAGTGAATAAGTGCCATGTTGCCATTGCATTATACCCTTGGGGCAATCGGGACGTGTTGCTATACGCATGTTAGGGGATTTGATATCCAATTGAGAAAAACAAACTCACGGTTAGGTATAGCCCTGTAGTATGCTTCTTCGTAGTGACCATCGTCCGTGAAAGAGTAAGATATTCCTGTCAACGGAGGTTCTTGAAATGCGTCTGCCACGGGGTCATAGAAGCCCTAATTACTGATTCGTGAGAAACGGCAACTTGATACGGAGAATCATGAACGTACCGGCCCCGTAACGACTTGACGCGACTTAGAAGACCATGTCCCAGTCAATTTTGTATCAACCAAGGCTTGGGATGTCCAAACCAAGGAACTAAACAGTAGAATCAGTGATCTGAAATGAGTGGTAGCGGCCATTCTTTCTCCTGTGTTCTCCCAGAGCACACACAGTTTGGACAGTAACGACACGACTTGAAGGTTATAACTGACCGTCCCGCGCGTGGCCAAAGCAATAAGACCGAAGACAGATCCCTTGATCTCGTCTGCAATGTTATGGTGTTAGTCAGTTGAGGAATCTTCGAATTCCCCGCGGAATGGAATCCAGCCTATGCCGATTTTGTCCATCCCGCACTCGACATGACGTTGTCCATCTTTCTTTTTGCACATTCCTTCCACCTCCCTTGTTTTACTACTCTTATATTCTTGCTGTGTTATTGACGGCGGAGGGAGAAGGACTATGGCCGCTGTGCAAGTAGCTAAAAAAGACCTGAGGCGGAAGATCCAGAACCTGCTCAAAGAAGTACCGCGTGAATCGGTCAATGCTCAATGTTCGGATACCTTGCTCTTCTGATATCACCACCGATTGCACAAGAATAAAGATATTTCAAGCACTAAATGACCGAGAACTAACCATATCAATCATCCTACAGCTACGGTTGTCACCAATAAATTATTTACGTTACCAGAATATCGCAATGCGCGCAGAGTCAGCATCTTCCTCTCCATGCCCTCGGGCGAAATATCCACCGCGGGAATCGTCCGCGATGCCCTCGACAGAGGCAAAGAAGTCTTCGTTCCATACACACATAGACTCGAAACTGGCGACATCAACCTGCCCAAGGTGTCCGTAATGGACATGCTCCGTCTCGAATCCATGGAAGAATTCGAATCACTTCAACCAGATAAATGGGGTATACCGTCACTGGACAAGGACTCTGTTCCCCGGCGACAAAACTGTTTGGGAGGTACGGGTGTTTTGGCCGAAAGATCGAGGGGAGTTTCGGATGATATTGGCTTGGATTTGATTGTTATGCCGGGAATGGCATTCGATACTGATTTGCGACGACTGGGTCATGGGAAAGGGTATTATGATTATTTTCTGAATAATTACAATAGGGAGATTGCAGGCTCGCCACGTGCTAGTCAGAGACCATTTCTCGGTAAATTTGCAAACATTCCAGTCTTTTCTTCCATGGCAAATCTCTGATCGAGCTGATTTGTTGCCTAATCCGCAGTTGCTGTTGCTCTAAAGGAACAAATAGTAATCCCCCCCGATGAGATACCGGTTGCCAACCATGACCAACCTGTAGACGCGATCATCGTCGGCGACGGGAGACTGATATTCGCAAACGGCCGATTAATGGAAGAATAACACCTTGGTTTTCTGTCTCTTGTCACATTCCTCCAACTGTAGTATATTGATGTCCTTAATCTAAGAAAACAACAAAATCCTTTAAACGCCGAACAAATTAAATCCACTCGCCAATTTTTCACCCATTGACTTGACGAGATTGCATAAGATATCATTGAACAGCTTGAATGAGTGACACGTTATCGCCTTTGAGGAGTATTTGACCTGTTCAGAGCAGCATTAGTGACGAAATTTCAGAATGAAGATCGAGAATGGAAACGAAGAAAAAGATTTTTCAGCATACCTAAATTCCGTCGCTTTTCCTCCTCACTCTTTGTCGCCAAACGAACCTCAACAGCATCATCCACGACCAGGTTCATAAACTCATCAAATCCCTAGAAAAGAAAGCCAAAATATCAGCTTCCGAATCCTCGACGATCATTTGGACATCAATCACATATGGACAACATACGCGAATCTTTCCTTCTATGCGAAAAGAAAGCTGCTCATATAACCAGATCGACACCGTGGAGCGTTGTTGCAGCAGCTTGAAAATAAAGTGAATTGGCGCAAGGAGCGTCTTTCGCCCTCCCGCGTTCCCGCGACCAGTCATGGCAATGAATATTCGATATTGTATACGGCGTTACCGGTAACGACTGCGATTCCTGTCTAGAGTCCGAGGTGGTTGTGATTCAGCGGCGTGGTGGTCGTGGTTTGTCTTGAGTGAGCTCTGATGGGATGGCAGTTCATGAAGAGGCTAGTCTGTTGTTGGAGGCGGTGAAAATGCTGACGCAGCATTTACAGCCAATGATATGCACAGACCTCAATATTGAATGTGTGGAGCTAGGGTTATCATTAGGGTTAATAATTATATCATCATCCCTAACCCGAAGTCGGAAGATCAAGCCCTAATTCTAACATCATCCGAGCTGTATAGTAGGATCAGGATCCCTCGTGGAAAGTCACCTTCTCGTGGTGAGGGACGCCAGTAAGCTGGATTTTATGGTCTAGCTAAAGCTGAGAACTTTCCAAGTCGAAAGTCCGGTGGAAAAACTCTTATCGTTGGGAGAGCTTTGAAAGGACACGCCTACAATTACAACCACGTCGACGAGCATTCTAATTGTTTTACCTACCTGCCACCAATTGATACTTACCGGATTTTACTAAAGGTAACTGTCGGAACGTGAATATCAAACCCTACACGTTTTGGCACCGGATATAGTTAGTCTGACGCGGCACGTGCGTGCTGCGTATATCTAGCTAGCTATCCCCGTCCCCCTCATTCTTGGGGACAAGTCACAATATTAGGAATCAAGATATCTTCATATTGTCAGGCTCATTAGGCCGCTTCGTGTTCGCGCCTTACTACCGTCTATGCTTCGTGATACGGACCGTAGTTAAACCAACAGTAACTCACCTGCCTTACCGGTTCGGCCGCATTTTGTTTAGTCAGTCCTTCGTCTGCTATCTGGAGTTGTCGCCAGCGAAGCAGTGGGCTACTTCGAGCGCTAATTTGAGAAGTACTCTTAGTAAATTGCTACTAAGGGAAGAGGTTCACGAAACTACACCGAGAGTGTGCGCGTGGGGAATCCGGTGTCTAAGAGGGATGGGTTATTGCTTTTGGGGAATATGATTATAATGACAAGAAGGGAACGTACACGACATAATATATCGGCTAGAGGGGTTTTGTCAGCTGATACAGCTTTTCCTTTTGACATGAGACCACGACCACATTGTATGCAATGCAGGACAAATAACGTATTGGAGCCCTTTAGGCTTGGTGCCTCCGGGCGTAATGAATTTACTACTACTGTATAAAAGCTCACCAGGCAATAAAATGGACACCACTTTATCCCCTCTACTATATAAAATGTGCCAAGACGTTTATTTTTGCATAAGCAGCATACAGGCTAACTAGATAATATCTGATTGGCTGGAGGAGGCCCAAGTCTGTACACATTGATATTTATACGGAATACCAGATTTGATCTTGAATCCCACCTCTGTCTCTCGAGCGATGCGAGAGAACACAACTTGTGCGCCTATATATCTCTACATACTCTTCAAGTCAGAGATACATTGTTATTTTGGCGACTGCGGTTTTGCGGTCTCCTCTTGTATCTAATCGCTGCTGCTGCTGTAAAGAGAGTCAACTTTGGGACTGGTCAGAACAAGCCAGAATAGAGAGTGACAGGGACATGAACTGCTAAGCTGGTAAATGATGGGAGTATACAAAGGTTGAAGGGAAGTGAAGTTGGGAAATAAGCAAAGAAGTTGCTCATGCTCGCAGGGTATACTCGGGTAATACTCTCTTCTGATATAGACCTCTACTTTTGATTCCTACTCTCATTCAATCGAGATGCCGCCGGCTTGCTGTCTTCTTTGCAGGTAAGGTTTCGTTACCATTCCCTAATTTTAACTGCGAGGGTCCTTGTGGCCGAGAATTATGAATAATTCTCATTTAGGGCTGCTGTTTTGCGGCGTGAGCTATATTCGATTTCTAGAGAAATTTACGATTTCACCTGTAAGTACCTGCCCCGAACAATTTCCCTATAGTTAATAAATTCAATACTAACTTTCTGGATGTGTATAATAAAGGGCACGAATATAATCTCGCCCTCTGGAGTCTATCAGAAGTCTTCGTCATCATCTTCACCGGTAGCTTACCAACGCTGAAACCACTTTGGGATAAATTCCACAGGCAAATCACAAAAAATTGCAGCTCGAATTACACATATACAGATCTGACATCTATTCAATATTGAAATATATACAATGGGGGGGTGCTTCAAGATATCTTCTCCCGCAACGAGAATCCCCCCAGTATTTTCCTTTAGGGCATACTTCAATTGTATGCCATATGCTAACAGGTGTACATATGAATACTGAAAGATTAATGCTACGAATTATATTACCATCGATCATAATTCTTGTCCTGTATGAAGTTGTTTGTGACTGTTTGGCCCTCTTCCAAGCTTGGTGTTGGCAAGAAATGGATGGGAGATATGTTCGATTGAAAACACCGGAGAATATATACGGTTATATGCCCCAGAACGTTACAATGAATGAAGTATATCAACATTGGAAGATATATAATTCCTACCTAGCCTAATCCCATTACATGCTTTATTATCGTAAGTATTGCAGGGTCAGATGCCACCTAGGCAGGCAACAAATTATAGGCAACGATGAATGCGACTCAGCTGACTATCAGAGCTCTTTGGGGTGTGATATCTCCACATAGATAGATTCAGTAAGATGGTCCAGTACTTGGGTTGTTCCAATCGACGATACAGATATTTCCTCAAAAAGACCACACACCACGCAGCTGGCAACGAAGTGTTCCCCATGCCGAACCACCACGCGCAACTCGCTGGCTGCCTCAAATCAGTCTTTACAAGCATTGTACGAAGTGAGATTGCAGTACCCAGGCTGCAGATGATGTAATATAAGAAAGAGAAACTGCACTCAGTCCCCGCAATAACGAGAAGTGTCACCTGAATAATAGACAAGAGTGAGAGATAGAGTATTGTCTGGTCACCCATAAGAACAGCAAGGGATTTGGCGCAGGCTTTGATGTCATCTTTCAAGTCCTGGTGGGCGTATATAGATTCAAATATAATGATCCAGACTGTGCAGGCAAAATATAGGCATACAACAGCTCCAAATGAAGGAAAAGAAAGCGGCTCTTCGTCTTTGGCCTGGCTTAATTGGTGAAGAGGATTCGCACTGAGCATTGCAACACACGTGAAGACGGATACAACAAGTCCGAAACCAAAAACAACCTGTGGAAGATGTGTGATGCGTTTTGCCAATACGTTTGGCCAAGGGACAGATGCACAGAGCCACAGTTGTCACACCTGCATAAAAGCGAGATGCAGTATGTAGTGGAAGGAGTAGAGTGTAAAGTACGCTTAACAAGAAGAGGCTGAAGAACACTGGTTGTGTCGTGGAAACTGCACGGCGAGGGAGTGGGCGAAAGCGTGTACGTTCCACGTGTCAATCGAAGTCCTGGTCGAAGATGTCGTTCCATGTACAGGCAATCCCACAAAGCACAGCCACCCGGAGAGCTAGATAGCAGTCTAACAGCAGCACATCTGGCACATCTGGTACCATGCGCTGCAAAAGCCCAGCCCGATCAGGTAGTTCCAATAGATAACATAGAAACCCTGGGGTCGATCCAACCGCATCAACTCGGATTAGGGAATCCATAATCGAGAAAGTAGGACGAAGATGTCATGTTTAGGCGGCTTATATACTGGGACTGCGGTCATCTGCTGGTGAATATGTTTCTTTTCTTTGGTGGTAAGTCGTCTGTAGATGACAAGGGTGGGCAATTCTGTTCATGGAGAAACACTACCTTCAAGTCCAGCGCAAGAAGCCTCCTATATATACCTATCGCTTCTATGGTCTGCTAAATGAAGGTTATCATAGATGCGAGAATACCGACTTGTATACAAAGAGAAGGAAGTTTTCACGCAGCCAGGTGTACCCTAATCACAGCATTTTCGGTAAATAATTAGCTGTCCCTGACTAAGTAGGTACATAAGCTGTTTTAAGCTTTGATATACCTACCTAGGAAGGCATATGATCCATTCATTCATGGCATAGATCATCTACTCATTGACCCCTGATCCATATCTAGATTAACACCTATACTATCTATCTGCGAAGTTTGGTAAAAGCTCTTTGTTTGCAAGGAGCGTTCCAAAGAATTCCAGGGGATTTCTTAAAAGAAAAGAAACTATTAATGCCGCTAAAAGGGAATTCTCGGAAAACGCGTCAAGTACCATAGTTGGCCACTTCATGAATCTAGTATTTTATCATTAATCCCTGTTGTATGAATCTTTATATTGATAGAGGCACTCTCCAGCCCTCAGAAACTGGGACTCATAAGTTGAAACAGCTAAATAAAATATTCACAGATATGCGCAAGAGCCTTTGCTCGTAAAGACTATCCCATGGATAATCTAGGAACCACGCTCGGCGCTAAGGTTGTAGTTGATCACGGATTACCTCTCTGGGAAAATCAATTGCCGGTCGAGCTTGATCGCTAACGGTGTAAAAGCATTCGCATATGCAGGGTTACTTACTTTGATAGGATCTCTTCTTTGTCAAATACCTGTGTTCACATCACATGTGTTCGAGGTTAAGGAGATCCTTTCTTCTACGTAGTTGCCGATCAAATATTAAGCTCATTACAGCACTTAAGATGCCAGGGCTCTCAAAGACCACAGCAATATTAGAGAAGAAAGCGGTGCAGTTGATAGTCCAGTAGAACCTGGCCATAAGGAAAGGAAATCCTCTCCACGTATGTATACTGTAATATGAACGTGTGGAGCATCCTGGTTGCTACTAGTAAAAGAGATTAGAATATTAGAGTACCTTTTATCCCTAATCAAATACTCTTTGGATATATGATTCAGGTACAGACTGTGATCCTTCATTCGCGATAACTCTACCAGTCTGTAGCAGGCGAACTAGTAGTACAAATACTTCGTCTAATGCGTCTCATTGGTATCAAAAGAACAAGACTTCTAGCTCCTTATTTTATATTCCATCACCCAAACGAAACATTACGTTGAAGTCAAAGGGTCCAGCCTCTAATCTATGGCCGTCAAAAGGCCCCGGACCGCAACTAGCCGTGCCAATTCCATGATGGGCAAAATCGACATTAAGCTCAGTTTCATCAACCAAATCTGAAAGCTCATGTGGATGTTTTGCGCGGTCAAGCTCAGTAATGGAATGCTGGCGGAGGGAGAAATTAAATGGAGTGTTCATTCCCACCTCGATCCCTGGTAACGGCGCAAGTGCCCCAGCGGAGGTAGCATATGAGGTATCTAAAGGTGAGGAATGGATACGAGCCCAGAGTGTATCAGTTCGGTTACCGTTTTCCTGAGGCCACTCGTATGGCGTTTGAAGACCATCACATAGGCTAGCTGTGTACGTCCCAAAGCGAGCGGCAGACTTTTTGTCACGATATGACTCTCCTGGGCCCCGGCCAAACCATGTTGAAGCATCGTAGCGTCGAGGCAGACGGATAGTAAGACCGAGTCTCGGGATGTATTTCGGGTAAGTTCCGGTAAAATCGCCCTTCACATGGATCTTGATAGATGATTCGGTAATTGTATAACTTAGAGTAGCTTCAAGTGCCCACTCAAGAACCGTAGGCGCAACTCGGACATTAGTGTCGATATTTACAGTTCCGTCCTCATTGCAACGCCATGTCACGGACTGAATGAGCATACGAGCACTTTCCACACGAAAGCGACTCCATTCGACATGTGGGCCTTCTAGTCCAAGGTCATTCTGCGTCAACGCTCGGTATATCCCTAACTGCGGCCCGCTATTGAAGATTTTACTCATGTCACTGGACCAAGACAGGCTACCCCTAATCAGGTCGTAAGTGAAGCGTGAGCCAAAGGTATTCGAGGCTATATGCAGTTTACCTGCTCTCTCGCATATGGACAGGACGGACCTTGGTGAGACGGGAATCGAAGGTATTGAGAGAAACTGCTCCTGAAACAACGGGATTTGTGCCCAGGCAATCTCATGGCCCTTTGGTGCCCAGGCTGTGGCATTCTTGAGACAAAAGTTCAAGGTAAACCAAGTTGGCTCAGTGGTCATCTTTACGCCGTTGGGGAGGTCAACCAGCTGGGAATCCCCTGGTTTGATTTCCGGTAGCTGCCATAAGTTCGGCTCTGTGTTTCCTGTCTCTTTTACAAGGTGCCATGAAACCGTTAGGTGGTCGAGGGTACTGAAATCGTAGTGGTTTTTAACCTCCAGTTGATTTCCCCAAAGCTGCACTGTGACGGGCTCAATGACTTTCTTGTATTCAAGTAGACCAGGAGTTGGGGTATGGTCAGAAAATACCATTCCATCAAGAATGAAGTCTGCATCATTGGGCTGATCTCCAAAATCACCACCATATGCATAATAAGTCGTATCACCGTCTCTTTTGAGAAGTCCATGGTTACACCACTCCCAGATGAAACCTCCTTGTAGTAGTTTCTCGGTACGGTAAGCCTCGATGTATTCTCTCAATCCGCCTGGCCCATTACCCACTAGAAAACAATTACTAATCAGGGCTTGAAGCGCTTTAAGGATTTGAATCAATACTTACTAGCGTGGCCGTACTCGCACTGAATCAAAGGCTTGTCAGTTTTCTCTTTAATATGGGCTTTCAGAGCGTCTATACCCCAGTACATGCTGGAGTACAAATCAGCTGTGAGAGCGTCTCTGTCTCCCTCGTAATGGACAAGGCGGGTCGGATCAGTTTCTTTGATCCACTTATACATGACAGCGTGATTTTGGCCATAAAAAGCCTCGTTTCCAAGAGACCAGAAGATGATACAAGTGAAATTTTTGAATCTCTGAACGAGCTCCACAGCACGGTCAAGGTAGGCTTCTTTCCACTCTGGATTGTCTGAAGTCCACTTTTTAGCCATCTTGTACGATGTTTCTTGAATTTCATACTCGCTCATAAGGTGTTGATTCTGTATATTAGATCTTTCAACCGGATCAAACCCATGTGTCTCGAGATCCGCCTCGGCAATCACATACAAGCCCAACTCGTCACAGACTTCATAGAGTCGGGGATCGTTCGGCTGGTGAGCACACCTCAAAGCATTGATGTTGTGCTTCTTCATAAGCACCAGATCTGCACGCATGCTCTCATAAGAGACAGCACGACCATAAAGGTGGTGGTGTTCATGGCGATTCATTCCATACAAGATGATACGCTTCCCGTTAACAAGAAAGTTAGAGTCTTTTTGCTCAATACGTCGAAAGCCGATCCGCTGAGGAATGGTACGGCCATTGAATGATAAGAGCAATGTGTAGAGGATAGGGTGCTCAGCTGACCATAGCTGTAGATCTTCTCCAAGTACTTGAATTCTGTGAGACTCTGTGGAGTGGAATGTTGAGTCGTTCAGGAGCGTGCCATCCGCACCATATAGCTTGGTCTGCAAAACACCATCTTCTCCCTGTGTCTTCACATTAATGGCAAGCTCACCAGAGAGTAAGTCCTCGCTCAGCGTCGCAACTGCACTAAAATCTATTACCGCGTTTGATGGAAATGCAAGCAAGCCAACATCTCGAAAAATGCCACTAGCTAGCCACTGATCCTGACGTTCAAGATACGAGCCGTCACAAAACTCATAGACACGTACTGCAATCGTATTCGCAGATCCCGAAGGTTGAAGGAAACTGGTAATGTCAAACTCAGCAGGATTCCGGGAGCCTTGTGAATACCCAACTTGCTCTCCATTAATCCAGAGATGAAAAGCACTATCGACACCCTCGAAGCGAATGCGGATCTGTTGTCCCTCCCACACTGACGGCGTGACGAACTGTCTCCAGTATGATCCAGTCTCGTTTAGAAGAGGCACATGAGGGGGGTTGACGTGAAAGGGATAGTTGACATTGGTGTAGGTTGGATGCGAATACCCCTGAAGTTGCCACATTCCTGGAACTTTGATGTCATCCCAGTCCAAGGGGTCAACAGATGACCATTCCGGAGCTTCTAGGGGAGATTCGTCATGGCGGAACTTCCAGGTGCCGTTCAGAGATACATATTCGCTTTGTTGGCGGTTTAGTGTGAGTGCCTCTTTCTCGGAGACATAGGAATAAAAATGAGCTCTTGGTAGGAGTGTGCCTTTATGGATAACTTTGAGGTTATTCCAGTCCGGGAGCGATTTTGGGAAAGACATGTTCGGCGCGGGAGGAATGCAGCTTTCTGATACGGGACGAGTATATACCTTGTCGTTTTGGCTGCACCTATGAGAGAGCAACTAATCAGCTGTCTGGGTGACGCTGTGGGAGACTAGAAAACTTGTAAAACAAAGTAATGACTGGAAGTGAATTAAAAATTTAAGGTACCATTCAATGTTCATGGAGCCCCTGTAGTGGTAACCACAGATGGGATGAAAACGAATCCAAAGAGCTTGCAATTGTGTACACACCGACAGTAAACTACTTCTGGTCAATCAATTACCAGTACGTGGAAGAGAGAACATATCACTCCCCTCAATAGCCAGGGATGTATCTCTTTACAATAGATTGAATTAATTTACCATCCCAGTTCATGTGATGCTATCCCCGCTGATAAGTTAGCCGGTCTTTGCCGGTTTTGACCGATACTAAAACCCTAAACACCCCAAACAATATCAAAGTACCTTTTCCAAGGTTCAAGCTACTTCTGGATTTAGTTTTAAGCATAGTGGGCCATGAAACTGACCCCCAGCTGTTGAGACAATCTCAGGAAATATGTTGGTCATTAGGAGGGAGGCCTACGTCTTCCTATGTGTACCTCTCCATATAGCGTAGGTATGCGGTATTAGCTCCACATTCGCACAGAAACATTAGGAATTCTATCTTAAAAACTTGAAAGGTAGGAAATGTCCTCCATACGGGAAGTCAAGCAAAGTGTAACATGTAACAAGGTATTTTCTAGGATCTCTGGTTCATACAAGTAGTAATTCGACGGTAAAGTTGAAATGGTCTCAGCAACTAGAAATTCACATATCACTCGAAAAGCTACACATCAAGTATTACACGATGATTCCGAAAACTGCGACAATTGACAAACTTCCACTCAACAGGAGTACTTGAACTTGAAGGATATCTTCGGCGTTCCTGTGAAGTTAGAAGGCACAACATAGGAAACATTATACACTCGGTTATCTTCGACAGTAGCCCCGTAGACGACTGGCTGTTTTATCAATCCATCTGCGGTGATGTTCACATCGAGGCAAGGCACATCTTCGAGACCATTGACAACCTTCTTCTTGATGAGCGTCCAACTAGGTGGCAACTGCGCAAGTGCGAATGTGAATATGTCAGTGCCATCTTGAGTGGTATTTAGGTACGAGATTTCGAGGATGTTGGGCCCGGCAATGGCATTTATACTCGATGCTGTAGGGTAGAGACTGAAAAAGGTCATATATGGATATGGAGTATGATCCTTGTCGCCAGCCCACTGGACAATCGCTGGAACATATTGCTGTCCACGATTGACAGTTTCGTTTACCTGTTCGGCGCCAATCATAAGAGGAGAGCTGATCCATGAGGTCACGATTCGAACCTCTGCATCAGCACCGAGGGCATCAGGGGCACGTTTTGTTAGCATGCGCTCTCCCTTCCACTCCTTGCGAGACGAAAGCCATGTGGCATTCTCGTGCGAGATGTGGTCTGCAACAATGTCGACAACAAGGGCTAGGGCAGCACCCTGGGTAACATCGTATAGCAAGTCTGTTTCGAGCTTGTTGGATTGGGGTCCGTTTCCGTAACCATACAATCCCCACCAGAAGTAGTCGATAACAGCCGAGTTTGTGACCACATCACGAGTATAAGCACGATCGTACTGTTATATAGAGCCTCGTTAGCAGACGGAACGAACTAATTTGCGAGTTAAGGGTAGGTCACACCGGTCCCGCTAGTCGGGCAAGGTAAGGGCTGTAGTGGTTCGCGATATCTTCCCACAGATCTGTCAAGATTACTTTGGCGTTCTGAGTCATTGTGGCATTTTTTGGGCCGTATTTGATGGCCCCTGCAAGGGCCCAAATATCCATCCCGTAGTAGGTGGGTGCATTATACTCAGATAGCACGTTAGAACCGGTGGATTTGAAGAGCTCTAGGATGGTATTTCCCTGCTCATTGGCATAATTGATAAAGGTCTGAGAATAACATGTGAGTTCTAGTCATCAAGAAAACAAAACCACAGCATTTTCATACCTCGTTTTGGCGACGTTCACCAATCCAAGAGACGTACCAAGCACGCATAAGAGCTGGATTAGAGTACGCTGGGGTCAGGTTGTCCCCTTCCGGAAACGAACCATTGCGACGCATAGATCCAACAGCTGCAATCTCCAAGCTGTCTTCAATGCGAGACACAAGGCTGGATCCTAGCATATCAGAAAACTCCTCGACAATCTGCACGAGTTGCGTTCCGATGAATTCTCTCCAGTTAGGATCGTATGTATTCTGAGGTCTCGATATCAGTTGATATGCTCCAAGACTCGGTACATCAGACACTTACATAGATACTTGGAGGATATAAATCCGAGTCCGGGGTAGGATATGGCTCGTCAGGTGAGAGCTTAAATGTACCATACCAAGCTGACTCGTAGTCGTCACTCATTTGGCATGAGAGGCTAGAAATAGTGGATCAGCTTCAAACAGAAATCAAAATGAAGGGTATCAAGCTTACATATTCTCAATGGCTGCTTTGGCATTGGATAGATCGTTTCCCTTGTTTCGATACAGCAGACCGGCAACGTACCAGGCCGTGAAGCGAGTTGACCAAGGGCCATTGTCGGAATACCAGATATACTTGTAGGAGTCATCCCAGCGCAGGTCATTGACGTAAATGGACCAGTCAAAGAGATCCTGCGCGTCTGTTTCATGAATTCATTAGTCAACACTGATATAAAAAATTTCCAATATTTGCCTTACTTGGAGACAAGCTCTTAGTAATTTGAGCTCCTGAAACAACTGTCGCCAGGATAGCACTGGCTGCAAAGCCCAAGACACCTTTCGATCTCATTTTCACAAGAAGATTACCACCTCAGTCAGAATCACTTAGTAGTGGTGAACCAGCTGGATCAAGTTTCGTCAATTACGAACTTCAATTATGAGAAAGTCATGGAGTGATAGTTTCATTTTGTAACTCAAAAGTGATCCAACTGTTGAGGCTAATTTGGTAGCTCATTCTACGGAGTATCGACTCCATCTTAGCCGGTCAATAAATCCGGTGATAACCTTGGAAACTTATGAATCCCCAGATTTACCGAAGTCCACCCAAATAAACTTAACATGAAACTTTTTGCGTCAATTCTGTGATAACGTTGGTAACTTGGACCACATTATCATCCTGAGCCCGGCCAGACATGGAAACCCCGCTTCGAGAAATTGCTTTGTCAGATATGTGCTGATACTCTCTGCGGCGGGCCTGATTTCTACTTACCAGTAACCCTAACCGGTCTATAACGAACAGAAAGCCTTTTAGGGGCCAAGTTGATACATGTATCTCGGGAGGAATGACTTCGATCAAGGCTATCTTAGAACTGAGAATGTGTGTGATCTTCACTTTCGAAATCAAAGTAATTCAAGCTGATATCAGGGTATATACGGATAGGCGTCCTTTCGTTATAGCCAGGTTCTATTCTAATTACCATTTGAGTGGCAAGATCTGTGCATGTTTTGACGGAAACCCTAACAAGGGCAAGAGTAAACTCTTGAGACAAAGCCAATGCTGCTCAAGCACGGAGAATTAAAAGTATTTCGCTTCATAGAGAGTAAAATATAGTGATACAAACGCTCCTAGCCGTATGAAGAAGAATGCGACTCGCGAGGGTCCCAGAGTAGCTTTACTTCATAAGATTCCTCAACCATACTTACCTAGGCCGTGTCTATCTTCTACTAGCATCATGCACTATTCTGCTACCATTCCTATCTTGACTAGCCGGCAAAGTTCGGTAATTTCCCCTCACATTCAACGGCAATCCTTTGAAACATGCGTGATAAACTCCAATCAGTTTTTGATAAGGGGGGTTTGCTATCTCCAGAACCTTGATGGGAACACCACGCCACGTTTTGCGGGGGTTTGATAGACGTCGCCCTTCGATACTGTCTCTACTAGTATAATTGTACTTTAATAATTGCTTGTCCGGTGCCTGTAAACGGATAACATTTTTTATTTTCATTGTTCGTCTCCTGGCTAGGTACTGCACACAATGGGTGCCTCCGCGCCAAATACAGAGTCGCCCTTGATAGTCGGTGCCTTGAAGAACAAAGGTGCCACTTTCTCATGGCTTTCAAATGCTGGTATTGTTAAATTGAACTTGATGCTCCTTATTTTTCAGATATCAAGTTATGCTACGGGTTATGATGGCTCTATGATGAATGGGCTTCAATCCCTCACCACCTGGCAGGATTCATTCAACAACCCTGGAGCCTCTGAGCTTGGCCTGTAAGCATAACATTCCATATATATTGCAAAATCGCGGCGGCTTAGACTATTTTACTACAGTTTGAACGCAATACAAAATGTCGGTCAGCTCGTTACCATGCCAATCTGCGCCTTCAGCTGCGACAGGTTTGGCCGTCGCCCAGTGCTTTTTGTCAGCGCTTTTATCCTCTTGATAGGAGTCGCGCTCCAGGCTGCAGCACAGAATGTCGGAATGTTTATCGCGGCGCGAGGTATCATCGGCATGGGTCTTGTCCTCAACATCACCGCGGCACCACTTTTACTTCTGGAGCTAGCATATCCTCGCCAGCAGGGGCCTCAGGTAGCAGTCTACAACAGTCTCTGGAACCTGGGCGCCTTGGCAGCCGCGTGGATTACGTTCGGTACCTTTCGGATTGAGAGTACCTGGGCCTGGCGCATCCCATCGCTTCTACAAGGTCTCTCAAGCGTAATTCAGATTGGGCTTTGCTTCTTGGTTGAAGAGTCACCGCGATGGCTTATTAGCAAAGAACGTGACGAGGAAGCAAGGCGGCTGATTTGTAAATATCATGCCAACGGCGACGAGTCGGATCCCCTTATCATTCTCGAAATGGAAGAGATTCGTACCGCTCTTCGCCTCGAGGCTGAGGCAAGACGCAATACATCTTATTTGACATTCTTCCAAACCAAGGCTAATCTCAAACGGTTTTTCATCATTTTGTGTGTTGGATTCTTCTCGCAATGGAGTGGCAACGGTCTCATTTCGTATTATCTTACTTTGATTCTTGACTCAATCGGCTACCAGGCCGAGAGCACTCAGACACTTATCAACGCACTACTTGCACTGTGGACATTGATCTGGAGTGTCATTTTTGCCGCTTTGATGAACAGGTTCGGTCGACGTACTCTTTTCCTTATTTCCACCGCTGGTTCGCTCGCTGTGTATGTCGTCTGGACAGGTCTTGAGGCCACCTATGAAAAGAAGACAGCGCTGGACGGGACGGGAGGTGATGGCTACGCCAAGGGAGTTTTGGCCATGATCTTCTTGTTCAACTTCTTCTATTCAGTCGGATGGACGCCCTTGCAGGTAACGTATTGTATTGAGATCCTGCCCTTTGACTTGCGTGCCCGGGGTCTTGTACTGTACAATTTATTCGTCGCCCTTGCCAACATTTTCAATCAGTATGTGAACCCAATTGGCGTGACAAACAGCAAGTGGAAGTATTACATTACCTATGATGTTTGGCTGTTGTTTGAACTTGTTGTGGTATACTTTCTTTTTGTGGAAACGGGAAATCTCAGTCTGGAAGAAACTGCCGTTATTATGGATGGACAGGAGTATGAGAATAGACTGATTGAAGGGGCGGTATCCGGGGCTGAGAAGAAGCTTCATCAGGAACCGAAGCGCGATGTAGCAGTTGAGACTAAGGCACTGCCGAGCGATGGATAGTTTGATGTAGTGAATAGTTTGGTAATTTTGCTGTTTATATAAAGACCCTGAGCAATCAAGGTTTTCCAGGTGTTCCTGCAACTCCATACTGTAAAGGAATCCTATTTTTGCAGCGAAGCAGCGGTATGACCCAAGGGCATGGATCAAATATAACTGGTAGTATAACTATCTAGTTGACTGGATCCGTCTCATTTGTTAAGATACTCGACTACATTATCCTCCTCTCTGCGTCTTCCGAGCGAAGCAAATGTAAACAGCTTGTATGTTTTCATCTCACTTTCCTGATCCAGCACGAAATAGGCTACAAGTCATCTTCCCAACACAGAATATCTTCAGTGCATTTAGGAACCGAAGAAAAGAGCAGAGCTCAAGATAGTGCGGTCTCTACTAGCATGGATCTGTCTGTTTATCTCCGTCTTGATCATGTGGAAGGTTTACTTATGGAAGAAGAAAACATATGAAGCGGACCAATTGAGGAAGAGGGAACGTGAAAAACAACTGAAAAAAATAAACGGAGGAGCTCAATGAGGAAGATGAGAAATTCCAAGGACTTATTCAGCAACAAAATCTAACTTACTTAATCGACGAGATTGGTCATATCCAGAAACAACAAGCACCACTGGATATAAAGGAGGAAACGGTCTCCATCGATGACTAGTACGACAACAGCGACGATAAGCTAAAGTCCTTACGGCAAGAACTTGATTACTCTGTCCAGGAACTATGGCCTAGTCGAGAGACTAGACGATATGCCCGATGGGATGGATTACTGGAAATCATTATTCGCCAATGAACCCGAAGATCCTATCCTTGCTCTGAAGTGTCGGGTGAGAGGTGGATGTTGCGGACAACCATGTGGCTGGTGCAAAAGAGTTCGTCGCACGGCTGCTAGGGAATCTTTGCCGTACTGGAGTTTGAGGGAAGATTGTCCGGATGTTTATGTCAATTGTAAGGAGGAGTGTAGATGTTGTCAGGGGTATTGGGGGTTTAAGCGGGTTGAGAGGAATGAGGATGGGTCTTTGACGTGTGTTTGATGAGTTGATATGTGGCTTGTGTTGGATTGGAATATGCTGAGGTTATAGAAATATTACTCGCCTTTGTGAAGTATTTCCACTTTTTACGTATATAAGTACGTAAATCGATGCACTTCTTTGCTTTTGTTGCTCGTCCGTATGTAGTTAGCGCAGAATAACATCGCGTCCTCTTAAAAAGCGATCTTGAATAACTTCATCCCAACAACATTTCCTCACCGTCCAAACTCCAATCCATAAATACACATACATTCTTAACTCAGAAGAAATAGAGAAGAAGAAAGATGTCCCGCCCCATCCTCTCCCGCAAACCAGATCTCCTAATCCTCATCTTCTTCTCCCTACACATCTTCTTCGTCACATTCGTCGACTGTCTCGATCTCTGGCCCGAATGGCTCTCTACATCCCCGTACATCCCATTTTTCACCGCGGGCCGTTTGCTACGCGATTTTTATTTGCAGAAGTATCAGGATAAATTCCTGGTAGAGCAACCGGGATGGTTTGTGGTTTTTACCTGGTGCGAGTTGGGGTTCCATTTACCAGTTTGTTTGTGGGTCGTTAGGGGATTGTGGAATGGTTTGTCCCTCTTCCTATTTATCTGTCTCTGACCTAGCAAAGAATAGGGGATGAACTAATCCGGGGAATTGTTAGACGATCCTCTCGTCCCTCTAGGGATTATTCCCTGGACCGTCGAGACTTTTTTCACGACTTTGCTTTGCGTTGTGGAAATTTGGAAATGGGATGATCGCTCTGAGGCGATTAAATGGGGGCTGACGGGGTGTTATGGACCGTATTTACTTATTTGTAAGTTTCTTTTCCGTCCTTCGCTGTCGCTCAATATCTGTAATTTTCTGCTGTGGGATGGAAAGCTAACTTCTGTAGCCGCGTTGTTGTTTGTTGTCATGTATGGAAAGGTAAAAGAGGCGTTGCTCTTACAGAGACAGCAACAGGTCAAGGCCAAGGGGCAGTGAAAATGATTGTCATATCGCTGATCTATCTCATAAATTTCCAAATCATGGTCCATAATAATACACAAAAAACATAGAATCAACCTCCAAGCAGGAATTCAATGGCCTGATCTACATTGCCATTACTAGCATCCAAACCGGATATCGCCTGCTCACGACTAAATCCCAGTTCCGTAATCTTGTTTATTGAGCTCGCTGACCAGCGTGAAGACGCCGACTGCTGTGAGGTTGATGTCTCGCTGCCCAATGTTCGAGTTTGCTGTTGTTGTGCGGGTGGCTTCTCGGCTTGAAGTGTGACGGCGCCGGAGCGCGCGCCGATTTCAGCACCGTCTGCTCCACGAATGAGTGGTTCGTCCTCGAATTCGTCCTGGAATTCCTTGGGGATGTCGGCTTCTCCTAGAAAGGGGACTGCTTGGTCTTGAATGACTAGTGCGCCTCGTTTCAGGTCAATACATGCTTGATGGCGCTTCAGCATGTCTAGACCTAGGAGGAGATCAATGTGTTTTCCTTCCATGACTGTGAAAGAACATGGTAGAAACATAGAACCGATTTTTAATTGCGCCGAATGTACACGTCCAATGATCTTGGCTGTTCCCACTCCTTTTGCAATACCTCCATATCGCTGGTCGACGAGGCGCATGATATTACAAGCTGCTGCACACTCGGGCGACATGATTGTTACCTGAGCACCAGAATCGACGAAAGCTTTGATGGGTTTTCCATTGACTTCAACCGGAATGTAAAGCATAGTCACTCGGCCAAATGCTGCGAATTGTTAGCTGGAGCTCAAAAGAGTATAGACAAGGCAAGAAAATGTACACTCTGGATGATGTTCCATAGCATTATGTAGATTCTCGGTGACAGCCTGCTGTCGAATAATCTCCTCAATCTCTCGCTGAGCATCCACATTAAATGGATCAGCATTAAGAGCTGCAATTTTGGCCTCCTTTTCACGTTCCAGCTCTTGCTCCCTTCGCTTTTGAGAAAGTAGCACTTCCTGAAACCGTCGAGGGTCGTCTGCAACCGCTGCCAACTCTGGGTTCTGTCGACGCACAGTCTCCATAACACGCGGATCACCTAGCAAGTTTAACCGGAGAGTCTCGGTATCAAACAAGGGCTGTTGTTGTTGTTGTTGTTGTTGTTGTTGTTGTTGTCGCTGCAATGCTTGTGAATTCCCTGCAGCCGACGAAGAAGGACCACCACCCAAACTCCGTCCAGCGGCCTGAGGACGACCCATCCCGACATGAACCAAGAGCATATCTCCTTCTGATATTCCCACTTGTTCTAGCGTTTGAGTATCATTGTTGAGTAGCTGGTTGTTGTAGACTAATCGTTGTGAGGAAGGGGGTATGTTTGAGTCGCTTTCAATGACGGCTTTGAGGACTTCTAGTGTCATGTCGCCCGCTACGTCAAGGGATATGATGTCGGCGTCCGACTCGTCGGGTTTGATGACGCTTACGGCGATGCGCCTGAGCTATTAGACATTTTTTCTAAGTACTTTTCAAAGAGAAGATATATGCTCACATCTTGATGGTATGTTTAAACCCCGTTGTTCGTTCACACGTCCTTGTCGAGAGATAAGTAGATACTGCGGAGTTCGGTCGAGCGGTCGACGGAAGACGAAGACGAAGACGGCGGGGTTTTTTGATGACAAGCTGGCTGAATCAAGCACGAATAATATAAATGCAAGAAAAGAAAGTCCAGCTGTAATTAACGAGCAGGCAAGAAAGAAGATGGTGAGTTGTTATAAATGCAAGGGCATCGTTAGTCAGCGAAGAAAGAGCTCGAACTTCGCCGACTCAAAACTGGTCACGTCACTAGCGTCGACGCTAGAAGCAAGAGGTCCAAAGAGGATATTTAATAACGTGTACTAAGAGAATGACTGACAAGTCTGGGGCTTTGGCAGGGAAGTTGTCTCCAGGTGGGCCATTAACGACGGGGGCTACCAGAAGATGGTGGTGAGGAGGATTGTGAGGAGAATGTTGGAGAGCTCAAGCATAGCGTGGAGAACAATTCCGGATACGGTGAGGTGCATCTGGCGGCGCAATCGTCTTTATATTCTCTTCTACCATTACTGATACTCAACTCTATCTAGTTAGAGAAGTGATTTATTATTGTCTAGATCTTTGTTTCTACAGATTCAGTAAACGATACATGGCGTCCAAGTCCGAGCTCCGTAGCACTCCGATATCATACAAAACACATGAAACAGAATAGTTCAACAACAGGGCTTATGACAGCTGGATTTTACATACCCAGTCAAAAGGAGCTGCATGCATGCAGCCTGATTCGCATGGGGAACATCAAGCAGCCACTCGGAAAGCGTGCAATATGCAAGTAATCACGCTGGTTGTCTTTTGTGTATATCATGCAGAACCTGGCTATAACGAACAGAAGGCCTCTGAGGATCCAAGTCAGATACTTAGAATTCAGGGACGAGGAGCACCCCGAAATGATGATCTATCTCATATTGATCATTAGGGTGCTCTTCAGTTCCATATTAAAGTAGTCAAGGCTGAGATCAGTATAAATCTGGAGAGGCCTTCCCTTCGTTGTAGCCAGGCTCTACTGTATCGGCTTTAGAAATGTTCGTCCACTCAAAGAGTCGGTAGATGAGATGAAACAGGCAAATACTTGGCTGAAATGAGCTTATGCAAGCCGATGTCTTGCATTCATGCGTAAAATGGTGTCACAGCATGCTGTAATGGTCAAAATCATTGTTTTTTTCTGTCGAAAAGATCAAAAGATCGTCTGTAATTTATGGCTCAGCCTTATCGCGGGGTATCCAATTACGAAAGATACTGGCGTTATGAGTGTCTTATAATGGACAGTACCGTAATATTACGTCCCGGTCACCAGATCTTTCTCTTCTCGACGAATTCCTCGTTCAGATCTGGTCTGCATTTGGCATATCAGATCAGCTGAGCTTCAATTTTCTCAATCGAACATCTCCGCTCATATGTTGCAGGCGTATAACAGATAGCTTTCGTCTGTAACCTTCACTCTTTTTTCACCTGTTGTATCGGTACGTACAGCGGGGTCCAAGCTCAGATTGTGTATCTTCAGGATTTGACTTCGGTTCGCCTGGAGACACCCACCTTGTTGAATTATACGCATATTCGGTTCGTATGAATACTCTTGTCCAGGATTTCTGGTTAGATTGCTAATTAAAATTGCGATTCCCCAGATCACAAGTCTGTGAAAATTCGGACCGGATCAGTCCCTTGCAATCTTACCCTACCTCAGCCATTCACACCAATCAACAGCGTAATGGCGGAAAACATGGCATCACCGCCTGCTGAGAGCGGGTTGGCCGAGTCCGATGAGAATATCATGAGCGCTTCTACTGCCAGCGAATTAAGTCGAATCTTCAACAGCGCCGGCATCATTCCCGGGCCGGGCGGTTATTTGTCATTCAACCCGCGTGACGACGATGACGATGAGGAGGACGAGGATGTGGCTGAAGATTTCGTTGCCGTTGATCATAATGATGCTCACGACTATTCCTATCTTTTTCGACGACCATCGCGAGGAAAGCAGCGCACACCCTTGGACGAACTCTATCCTTTCACTAGCGTTTTGACAGTTGGTAATGTGGAAGACTGCGTGACGGTGGAAGAAGCATTCCCTGAACACGAACGTGCTTCACGAGAGAAGGTGGGTTTGTAACATCCCGGAAGTCAGAAGTGGTACTAACCTGTGACACGTCCAGTTTGTGTATCGTCTCACAAAATGCCCCGAGCTGAGTCTAGGGATATTCTCATTGCCAATTCTCGATCGAGATCAACCCAAACCCCGGCCCGAACTGATCGCACACATTATTGCTACCCGTACGTCAGCGCCACGAGTCACAGAGGAATCGATGGCTATTCCCGAGAATTGGCAGACCAGGAAGCGGAGTCTCCCAGACGCCGAAGAGAAGAACTACGTCGGACATGAAGATCAAGGCGGCACGGTAGCATTGCACTCGCTTGCTGTCAAGGAGGAGCATCAGCACAAACGGGTTGGGTCCACGTTGATGAAGTCGTATATTCAGCGCATCAAGGAAGCGGCGATTGCAGATCGGATTGCGCTGCTTGCGCATGACCATATGGTGCCGTTTTATGAAGCTCTTGGATTTGTGAATTTGGGTCCGAGTGCTTGCACATTTGGTGGTGGTGGCTGGTTCGATATGGTGAGTCTTCTTTTCTCCTTCTGGTAGCACATCGCTGACTGATTTTGCCTAGGTCCTCGAATTCCCGAAAGATCAGGCTTCCGAGTGAGCCATAACTTCTCGGCGTCTGGGATAACTTCAGTGTCAGGTGTGACTTTTTGTGCACTCATGATTGCTCAAACATCTCGTCTTATATTTCTGGTCTTCAGTTTGGGGGAAAAAAAGGGGGTGAGGCGTTACGTGTCTGATTTGGTCTATTCGCTTGTTTTGGGTCTGATGCAATGGGTGTGGCAGATGGCATGGATGGTAAGGGGATCTGGGGTTGGCGCTCATACATGCACGATTGGGGTGACAGATTTGTACAATAGGCTATCTTAGGTTGCTCTAAGGTTATGAATGATCTATTTATTTATATAACTCGTCTCAATAAAAATGAGGCTTTTCGTAGACCTGAAGTTCCTCCTCCCACACCACATACAGTTGAAACATGTTTATGTCTCCACCTATTCACCGGCACTTCATAGTCACTTCTGTACCTAGGTATCTACTTGAATAATCAATCTACTATTCACTATTTAATCAAATCAAAGCCTACAGACATCTCGTCTAGTCAAAATTTCCGATATAAATCAGCTCCAACTGCCGCACACAACAGCCTTCACCGCCTCGCGAAAACCTTCCCTTGGCGGCAGCATGTGTCCCGCTTTCCGAACCCAATCGATTAGAATTTTGATACAAATATTTTTTTTTCTCCTCTTACTCTAGCAACAACAGGCTTGGACGGATTGTTTTATTAGACGCTTGTCCGTTGCCCATCATGAAGACTACGTGGAAGGAGGTATGTCAAATTGTCTCTAATACGAAATTTTGTTTCACATTCTAATGTAATCGATAGATCGCTCCTGTGCCAACCAGCCAGGAATTTCTCGATATCGTCCTCAGTCGCACACAAAGACGACTTCCGACCGTTATTCGTGCTGGGTTCCAGATTAGTCGTATTCGAGGTATTTTCTGTCGATCGGAATATGCTTGGGGACAATAACTGACATCAAAAAGCGTTTTATACTAGAAAGGTCAAATTCACATCGGAGACTTTTTGTGAAAAATTCCAGGCTATCCTCGATGGCTTTCCTCGTTTGCAGGATATTCACCCTTTTCGTACGTATTCCTCCTTGTATATGTTGATTATTTCACGATCAGCTTCCTAATCATTTTATTGCACAGACAAGGACTTGATGAACACATTATACGATGCGGACCATTTCAGAATTGCCCTCGGTCAAATTTCTACCGCCAAGCATCTTGTAGAAACCGTCGCTCGCGATTACGTCCGACTCATCAAATATGCACAGTCACTTTTCCAGTGCAAGCAGCTTAAGCGTGCGGCTCTCGGTCGCATGGCCACTATTTGCAGACGTCTCAAAGACCCCTTGTTGTATCTCGAGCAGGTCCGACAGCATTTGGGTCGTCTGCCGTCTATCGATCCCAATACCCGCACACTTTTGATTTGCGGATATCCGAATGTCGGCAAATCCAGCTTCTTGCGTAGCATCACCCGCGCCGATGTTGATGTGCAGCCATATGCGTTTACCACCAAGAGTTTGTTCGTCGGACACTTCGATTATAAATACTTGCGATTCCAGGCGATCGATACTCCTGGAATTTTGGACCATCCTCTCGAAGAGATGAATACTATTGAGATGCAGTCTATTACGGCTATTGCGCATTTGCGGTCTGCTATTTTGTATTTCATGGATCTGTCCGAGCAGTGCGGTTACTCTGTGGTCGATCAGGTCAAATTGTTCAACAGCATCAAGCCGCTGTTTGCGAACAAGCTTGTCTTTGTCGTGATCAACAAGATTGATGTCAAGCGTCCCGAAGACTTGGACGTTGAGACTAAGGAGCTTTTGGAAAGCGTTTTGAAGCAAGGAAATGTGGAAATGCTTCAGCTTTCTTGCACCACTACCGAGGGTGTGACCAACGTCAAGAACGCCGCCTGCGACAAACTTATTGCAGAGAGAGTTGCTCAAAAACTCAAGGCGGGCACAAACAGCAGTGGAAACCCAAGCGGACGTCTCGGCGAAGTTCTTTCACGAATTCACGTCGCACAGCCCATTGGCGGTGTCCGCGAGACTTTCATTCCAGATGCCGCCAAGAACCTCAAAAAATACGACAAGGAAGACCCCAACCGCCGAAAATTGGAACGTGATATCGAAGAAGAAAACGGCGGTGCTGGTGTATACAGTGTCGATCTGCAAAAGAACTACACCCTTGCAAACGACGAATGGAAATACGACAAGATCCCCGAAATCTGGAACGGCAAGAATATTTATGACTACGTTGATCCTGACATTGAAGCCAAATTGGCTGCTCTCGAAGCCGAAGAAGAGAAACTCGAAGCAGACGGATTCTACGAATCAGACGACAGTGTCGAAGACGCCGAAGACGCCGAAATTCGCATGAAAGCAGATCTAATTCGTGAGAAGCGAGCATTAATGAAGAACGAAGCCCGGTTGAGAAAATCGCTCAAGAACAGAGCCGCGATACCACGCAGTGCCAAAGCAAAGAGACTTTCCGAGATGGAGAAAGCACTCGATAATGCTGGTTATGATACTTATGATGCCGTGGTGCGCGCACAGAGTCAACAACAACCTTCTCGAGGCCGTACATTGACTCGTGACGATGACGCCGACGCAATGGACGTCGATTCCACGTCAAACCCACGCGATGCCATCGCACGGGCCAAGAGCCGTGCTCGCAGTCAAGCAGCCACAAACAGATTAACAGACGGCGTTACAGATACAACATCACGCAGCAAGGCCGAACGCTTAGCGAAATTGGGACAGAAGAAGATGAATCGTATGGCGCGTCAGGGTGAGGCCGATCGTCACCAGACTGTGGCATTAGCGAAGCATTTGTACTCTGGTAAGAGGGGGATGGGGAAGACTCAACGTCGTTAATTTGTCTGGTCTTATATCAAAATGGTTCTCTTTTTATTAAGTAATGGATGGCGTTTCTATCGGTTGTGTCATGGGCTTGTTTGTTCGAAAATATCATGATTGTCGAGACAAGGTAGATATGAACTGCGTTTCTTTGTTTCTGCGCCGAGGTTGGGTGAACTCATATATACATGACCTCGTAGACCTTCCTGTAGAACCGTAGCCTGAGCCAGCCTTTTTGGCATAAAGCCCTAACCCTACCGCGAAGCCCTAATTCGGCGGCTATAAACAGAAGTTCTTATGACTGGTCATCGCGTCGTGTACAGTTCTTTGGTTTGTCCTATGCTTGTCAATAAGTATAAGAATACTTCTATCTGGGACTCTTCGAGGACTGTTATGGTCGTACCAAGTACCAGCTTAGATGTGACTACCCAGTAATAAATATCATTCATTCATTCGTTCGTTCCCAAGGACACACACAATCAAGACTAGGATGAATACCGCAGGATGGTGTCCGGTCATGTAGAAACGAACATACCGATGGGCCAGCCTCTTGAAACTGAACCGACACTCAGTTTCAGAATTCACGGCCTATCCGCATTTGTGGCCTTGGACAGCAGATCTTCTGTCCCATTTATAAATTCCTTACTTGCATCGGGGAGAAGAGGCCACAATTTTAAGAGATCGAGCTTTTCGTACTTGTGAGCCGTTATGACTCTAATGCCGGTCCACTCTCAATCTCTTTACCCCGTCTCCAATTCTGTTGATGCAGTCGCATATCGGTCGCGTGCTCATCCTTCCTGTCGATAGATCCGACGCCGCCTTTTCGGTTTGCTTTTTCAACGTCCTCCCAGAGATCTAGTGCCGAAAGTCTCCAACTCCCCTAATATGACCTTCTCCTTTTTCAACTTCTCAACGTCCATTGCTATACGAACCTTATCATGTGATTCTTTATTTTTTCATAAAATTCATTCGACGGAGAAACCACTAAATCAACCTCCTTGTTTAATGCGCTTTCGAGTCTTTCCTTCACCTCTCCTATCTTGGACAGGTCGGATAGTGTGAGTTTTGTGTCTCCGAAATCTATCACGAAATCGATATCGCTACGTTCTGTTTGTGTCCCTTTTGCGTAAGAGCCGAATATGGTGTCAGTAGAGATAGAAATTTCTTATTAGAGAACTTATGTTTGTGCAGCAGGTGGGAAGGATATGTGAATGTTCTGGCTTGCAGCAAACATTAACAATCAGGATTACAGCAATTTGTAATAAACCCCTGGAAGCCATATACTATTTAAAGAGAATAACAAACAAGCATCTACTCACACACATATTTTGCTATATTACTGTTCTCCGTATTTTTAGCAACTTTAACGACTGCGACAGGGATACACTGACCAAATATGCAATATCTTAATGCAGCCCATAAGAATGCGTTGTTCCACATGATATTGACAAACCAATCAAAGTACACAACTATCCGCTGTAACCTGCAAGGATTAATAGGATGATTACACTAGAGCACTTTAGCACGATACAGTATTATTTAGGGTCAGGGCTAGGGCTAAACTAACCTTATGCAGTCCAAAGTCATAACACGTCTAGGCGGCCATCCACTATTTATAGAGAAAGATACCAACAAGACTAGTTTATTGATGGACATCAAGAACTGCGTGTTATATTAGGCCCTCATATTCCTTTGTTTGCCTGCTCAGCAACACTTGATCCTCATACACTGAAAGTGTTAATGGAACATGGGGGGGGGGGTTAAAACAAATACTGTCGTTCACACGACAATTGATCAACCAGAGTTAATTTATCGTGTTGGGATAATACCCCAACTGCAGCGCGCAAGATTTACAGCATTACAATTCCTCTTTGATCCTAGTCTCCTTGAAAGAGCCCAGGCATATATCAAACCACTTGAGATTAGCAAGACAGTTATCTTTTTTGATTCTAAGAGAACTATTTTTGGCGCTGGATTGCATGATGGAGTTTCTTCAGCTCTATGAGCAATTCAAATATACTGAAAAAAATATGATACACTATGCTAGCCACTTATACCTAGAATACACGACGTGGGTGAGGCTTATATTATATCTGAAATACGGAAACCGGGAATAGAATCATCTATCAGAGTTGTATATGCTGCAGAGGCTCTTAGTATTAGGGTCAATCTATCCGATATATAACGATCAGTAATATATGGCCTTCCAAAGTATCTTCTTCCAGCCACTCTACTACAACGTGGTGGACACGCATGTTGAAATCAACAAGAAGGTGAAATCATCGTTTTAGTTGATGCCTGGACCACTGGTGATTGAGAGGACGCGTCTAAGCGGACAGAAATTACTATTGAGTCATCTAAAATCGATAATGACCTAGAGGAGGATATAGATGACGAACTAGATGAAGACCAGCTAGTTACACAATCTACTGCTGCAGAGCGAGAGCGTTGAACCAGATTACCTCAGCTCTGGTACGATATTTGCAACCACCAGCAGTGTATATAGCATAGGGTTAGGGTTATGTCTCTGAATCCTCGAAGCTTTCGAGGGACTCTGAGTGCTGATTCGGAGATCAAACAGCGATTGAAAGGGTGCCAGCAATACTGCAAGTAGACTCATCCTCTTCAAGTCCTTATCGAACTTACTCTCGCAGTCTTTTGATGTGGCTGTGCTATCGAACCGCACCTGAAACGGCTGATGAGCAATCTCTTCAGGTCCTTGTTGAACTTGTTCTCGTAGCCTTTTGATGGTGCTGCGTTATCGAATCACACTTGGAATAGGGCGGCGATTGCCCACCTGGTACAGAGGTTCCACTCAATCATGGCATGATATGCGTGATCTTGCTAATCCGTTCTAGATACCTTGCCAAAGTTTCAAGCGGGAATTCTACAACCTCTTCTCGCAGACAACGGCGAGGCATTATCAATTCTTCCTGTCCTTTCTCTCCAATGTCCAGCAAGAGAACGTTGAGAAGTATCTTCAGACGTCAGCGTGTCGCGCCATGGGAGGAAGAAAGATGTCTCCGTAACCAGGCAAAGGTGAATAGTCCATCGGAGCCCGGAGACATCAACATCAGGTCTTTTTCACATGGTATCGCTAGAAGGAGACAACTGGTGGCGATTTTCATCACCACCAAGTATAGCTGTTCCAGCCCAATCGCAGCAAAATGTGCTGACCACGAGCATTTTTGGACAAAGGCGTAGATCCCACCATGACAAAGGTACGTCTCGACATTGTCAGGAATATGGAATGTCCTTTTATAGGTTGAAACGGCAATAATGCTTGAGGAGGTGATGTTGACAGGATGGTTCCTTCACCTGTAGTCTCCAATGCCGCCTACCTACCGCATGTATTTTAGCGCCATTGGGATTTGGATATAATGTTGGGCTTTTGACCAACTAGACCAAAAAGCTGCGCGCATACTAGATGATCTAGTATGGATGTAAATAGCTGGCAAAGGTGATATGTGATGTGAGGTGATATTCCCAACATATAATCTCGCTCGCTAGCGAGATTATTCCTCTTCCCAACACACACACACACACACACACACACATCTGTTAGATAGAGCAATACACAGAAGATTGCGCTCATCCATCTCAAGAGGTGATGTGCACAACCCCCGTAAATCGGTATCGCTGCGCATGTTGCTAACCCGCTAGCCTTCCTCGAGGAGACGATACCGCCTGTGACGGTCGCTCAAGACCCAAAAACAACCTTATTCCTAGGCGTAGCTGCATTGTCGGAGAAACTAAGTGTGAGGAAAAGAGAAAAGCTGGCGCTGGGCCATGAGGCTCTTCAAATACATACTGTCATGGGATGAAGGCCTTATGGGAAAAGCGGTCTAGAATGGCAGAATTGCGAGATCATATCAACTTGTTTGTAGCTTAGACCTTCCCTTCCTCTCTTACCAAGCTTAGGATTTTCATTAGAATAAGCTTATCGAGACGTCACACCGCCATCCGTCGATGAATTTTCCTGCAGTGATGCAGAGACTTTATACCTCCAGGCATAGTTCGGAGGTACACAAACACTGACGCTTTCTTTTTGATCTCGCCCAGCTCGTCTTCTGCCGTCACTGTCCATAGAAGTGATTGAGTAGACCCTAGACATGGCACAGATTTGATGAACCAGTCTCTTTTGGTGCCGTAGTCTCCAGATTGAAAGCTCTCTGTCAGATGTGCTGAAGGCCCTCTTGCTTGTCCTGGGTATTTCACCGTCGATGGCACAACCATGTGGAGTACAGTAAATGTGTGTTTCCAGACGCAACTCGCAGGCAGACATGGAAGTTCTTAGTCGCTCAATTTGGCTCGAACTCTTGTCTCTGTCGAGCTTTCGAATTGGTTGCTGACGCTATTCTGGTATTGTGGTATGTAGTTTTTCTTGACGAGCGCTTTTTGCCATTCGTGGAGGACTGCTGACATTGATTGACACGACCATACATTTGGAGTGGATTGAAGGCCGTCCAGGAACCTGTTGAATTCATCCAGGCCACTGAAGATATTGAATTCTTTCACCAGCGCAGTACTTTTGAAAATCGTGGTGTCGGCATCATCCACTGCTGGTAGTAAAGTCTCAACCGCAGTGGCCCATATGATCATGATACAGGATCGATCACCCTTCTCATGCAGGGAGAGATGGGAATAATAGCATGACCCGTCGTGTGGGCCTGTGAGACCTCGTGCTGAGGAATGTAGGCCACTGGATCACTTATCCAGCTCGAGGATCCCGAACAGCCCTTGGCAGAAAGCAACCGGGACTTGACTAAAGCCTCATACCATCCAGTTTTCCCACTGCATTCTCTGCATTTTCCATAATGTTGTCAGCAGGATATATCGTGGCCGACTCGATGTATGTACCCATCGTACTACCATTCGACAATCGGAATCCAGCATATCTGATTCTCCGCCTCCTGGTACTATACAGACGGAAAACTGGTTTGTGCCGTATAGGATATCGTAACACTGTTAGCTGACTTGTTTGCAAACACGTAGGAGAGAGGAATTGAGAGTGTTGATCCTCGACATCTGGAGTTTTGGTATCTCTCGGTCCCCGTGGATATTGAATGGAAACCTGGTCTTTATTGCATTTGTGTTTCGGTCGATGAAATTTCCCATGCCCTCCACAATTTATCCTTTGGGGAGACAGTAATGGTACAC